AAAAATAGTAAAAGACCACTAAACGCCTTGCATAGTGTATCTGTTGCACTAGTATGGTACATTTGTCAAAGTGACCTTTTAACAGAGAAGAAGACAACTAAGGTCAGTTTTACAGTAATTAGGTGAAACTATTTCGGGACTTTGGTAAGCGACCGCTTAGTAGAGGTCCGTTTAACACTGGTTTGACTGTATGCTGAAGTGTAGTTGCAGCGGAGTACCAGTTATGCTAGTGATTGGCTAAGACACTTTCTTATAACGTTCGTATTAACAGCTGTACAACAAGTCTTATTCGTCGAACAGTCAGAGAAGCAACTGTGTCTCACAAAAAAAGACGTGTGTAATTGTCTTTTTCAGACCTTTTCAGTAAAAAGTGCATAATGTCTCCACGTACACAGTAGGGACTATTTCTGAAAAGAAGTCATCTCTGGAAGAAACTGTGGCTCGTGCGGAAAAGAAAACGTTTATTAACAATAATATTGCCTCGAGTTACAACTGTCGATGAAAGAATCCCTATGATATCCATATGATGCTATTGACTGGAAAGAGTTTTCCTTCTGTTTACCTTCAGAAATTTCAAGACATGAGTCTGTTGAAGAAAAGGAAGATACAGAACGCAAAGAAGAAAACAAGAAGCAGTCCTTTGACGGTGCTGACCGAGTAACAGTAGACATGATGGACTCCATAGACAGCTCTTCTCAAAGGTAAGTGGTCACCAAGTTTGCTCCAAAACAAACCAAAAATTTCAAATTTACATTTTATAACATGCATAAAACCAACAGTACCACGTGAAAGTACTGAGAAAGAAGTTCCATTTGAATGGTCACAGCACAGGGTTTCATCCTTTAATTAGACTCAAAACTTAGAACTACATGGTTAATAAATAGTTCCACTTGAAAGCACTAGTGAAAAGGTTTCACCATGAGATCCCATCCACAGACTCAAAACTTAGGACCATGTAAAAGTACTGCTGAAGTCGTTCCATTTGAATGGTCACACCACATGATTTCAACCGAAGACTCAAAAGTTAGATATGCGTCACAATTGACTCTCGGCGTCTCGCTCTTGTAGGCATATTTTTAGATTTTTTTTTTGTTACTGCGTGGTAAATGTTATCTCACTCTATATTATTAGATTTATTTCCCAATAAACCACACGTTGTTTTCGTTGCACCATGGAGCTGATTTGGTGACGCTATCGCTCTTTTATTGGCCGTTACAAAATGGTTAGATATTCCATAGTTATTAGAGGAGACTGGTTATGAAAAGCGGCAAACATCAATGATAAGAACAACAGTGCTGCAGTTTATGTTGGAAGTACCGTGAAAGTGCACAATCCTTTGTTTTCTGTTGGCAAATTGTTACGGAATAAATTAATGCAACGTTTTTATTGGTCAATACAATCAAAATGATAGCAATTCTTTTGAACGTTGTGCACTTTCAGGTCCACAAAAACATATAACAAAGGAGTCTGACGGGTTTCATAACCATTCCACTCAATTAACTATGGATATTCGTCCCCCAAAACCGTCTCATAGTGCATTCAACACAACACCGCTACCTCAAAAAAGCCAATAGAAAGAATGTTGCTGTTACAATTAAAAAATTGTCACTTGATTTTCAGGTTTTACCCACTTCCTTTCCCAGTTGCTTCCCAGTCCAGTGCGCGCGCTGTATCGACGCATGCGCTGAGTGAAAGAATGAAAGAAATGAGCGAAAGGATCGAAGCAATGGATCAAATCACGCAGAACATGGACAGAGAATTTAAGAGTTCGCGCGTGGTAAGTACCAGGCTGATTTACCAACAGAACGGGAACGTCAGTTGACGACGGTGCGAGCTAATTAAACAACTGGCTTGACCAATGGCAGAATGGCAAATTGGGCACCGGAAATCGAGTTTAGTCCTTTCTGCGCGCTCACTACGCCACCGTTGGTTTCTGGGATCGTAACTGAGGGTGTTCCGGTCAGTGAGTCTGCGTAGCAAGCGGCTCTCGTTCCACTTTTCGCGCGGCCAAAACCGAAAATCCCGTTCCTCGTCGTTCCTCGGTCTTTCTTTGCTCCGAAACCACACGGAAACACTTGCTGCGCAGGCTAGCCGGTCAGCAGCCCGTCAGCTATTAACCATTTTCTTACTGACCTTAGTAATAGTCCCAAAACTCTTTGCGAAAGTTAACTTGACCTAGTCTACTTTTCCTTTCCAAAGTGGTGAATCTGTTTGCAAGTTTACGTACCGTGAACATTCTTTCTCGCTCTATAACCCGCGGCAGTTTTACAAGGACGACATCCCCTGTGATTTTTATTTTGATAATAACTGGTCTCGCTAAAGTTTCTTCCGCGGACAGAACTATAGATGGTAGGGAAGAACTAGTTAAGAGTTCACATCTAAAACTCAGACTCAGTATATCTATGAATAACAAGCCACGAAAAAAACTGTTCATTCGCTTTCATTTTAATGACAACAAGGATCATTTCAACAGAATAAGAAATTGTACACCCGCTGAATGATTCATTATATGGGAAGAATATTGGTGCATAATTAGTTCTGCTTCTTTTTTCCAGCTTCTTTCAGCTATTCAAAGCATTGATGAAGTGCTAAACCCATCTCCAACGGAGGATGAATCCTTCCCGAGGTCCCGTCGAGGAACGCCCCGGAGATGGGGAGATAACGCACCTTGGAGAAAAGCCTCCAAAAGAATGCCTCAACAACTACAAAAATCTGAGGGTTGGTTACTTTACCATTGGTTACGCATATTATTGCTAATTCAGGAGTGCAGTTAGCAAGGCTTCGAAGAGTGTAGAGTTACAAACTGTTGGCTTAATTATTTTCCTCGTTAACCCTTTAAGCCCTAATATCTTTATATAAATTCTCCAAACTGATCTTCATACATTTCCTTAAAGAATTATTTGAGAGAATTTGATAAAAGATCAATGCATTTTCCCTTAGGTGATCATTTTATTTAATCTCATAACCTTTTCTCTTGATTTTGCACTGACATTGTTAGGATAAAATTGACGTTGGTCGTTCTACTTAATGGAGTTAGTTTCTAAGGAAACTGCGGCGCTGCCAGCGTGTTTGAGGAGTGAAACATCAAAATTTAGTTTTGTCAAATCAATGGACCAACTAAGTCAACCTTGTTCCCAGGATCCTACTCGTCCCCTGGAGTGAGAGAGAATCGAGTAGGAGGGACCCTGGGAACGAGGTTGCAAGTGAATTTGCCATCGCAATCAGATTCCAAAGCTGGTATCTCGAGCACTAGCTATTCCTTCCATATTCAAAACAGTTGATAAAACGTAATTTTTCCTTTCCTGTTTAGATACGGAAGATAGCGTTGATGTTGACGTAGAAACAGAAGCGAGAGTTGACGTGGATAAAGAAGGAGATGCTGAAGTCGAAGAAAGGGCCAGCGAAGGTTCTGAAGAACAGGTAGTTTCTGAGGTAGAACAAGATGATGACAGACGCTCCGATGAACAACAAGAAGAAGAGGTCGGAGACAGCGTTGAAATGCGGAGTGATGGTGCAATAGAAGAAGGCGAAACAGCGTTTGACGGAGAAGAGACAGCTGATGACAAGCATGAAGATTATAACATGGACATCAAAGCCGATGCTGAATGGGATCGCCAGAAAGACCAACCTGCAGCCCCTTCACAGCATCATGAAAGGTAACATACTTTCTAGCAGTTTTTAGTCATTCATATGTTTCGTCAAGCCATTCATTTGAACGACGTCGTTTCTCAAGTGTCCCAAGCCTTCTTGATTTATCGTTGTTTATCTACAAAAGCTTCTTTTTAACTGTTCGCTCAAACTTGTGAGTACAGTAAGTGTGGTAAAAGGTCTCCCTTCACGGAAATTCCTAATATTTTAGTGATCTAGAACTAATTTTTCTCTCCAGCATTAAGACATGTTTCCACCGTTTTCACTGATATCAGCATTTAAGAAATAAGCGCGATTTTTAAGCAAATAGAATAAGTAGATTGGTTATGATAGCATGCCGTCAATACACCTATGCACACCTAGAACTATTCTAATTTTGAAGTGGCATATTCTATTCCCTTGCAATGTTTTATTTATTATTTTAATTCACTTATTTATTTTTTGTTTTCTTTCAGAGATGCAAAACCTCAGGTTTATGATCATTTAGATTCTCTTTCATTAACACCGGAGAAGCTGAAGGACATACTCCACGACAAAGACATAAAAAGAACTCGGTAGGTTAATTTGTGACTTCTACACTGTAGATTTTAACAAGCGAACTCTCTTGACACATGTTGAATACCTGCTTAGCAAAAGCATAAGAAATGGAATGAGATACCAAGCATTGCGTGCCGGGCAGGAAGACGATTACTGGGATTGTTTGAGTGGACGAGCATTAGTTTTGATTGGTCAATGATATCCAAAGGCAACAATTAACCAATCACAAATTACGCTTGTCTACCCAAACAATCCCAGAAATCGTTGTCCCGAAGGCTTGTACCCATTCTCCCTCTGATGTATGGAGTGGAAAATTGCCTCCTATTGTTTGGCGGGCAAGGCGTTTGTTAAAATTATCTAGGACCGTTTTATGATGCTTTAATTGTCTTCCCGTAGCAGAGACCCCAGCCCAGATGCTAGAAAATATCTTAGGGAATGGATGAACAAGAAGCGTTCAGAAAAGCAAGCTGAATGGCGGAACCAGCAGGAAGAACTTCGTGCACAGGAACATCAACCTTTCATGTCTCCCACACAGGTAAGAAAGGATCGAAAAAAAGACAGAATTAGCTAGGATTGTTAAATCGATGTTAAGGCGCGGACACGCCATGTAGTATCGCACGGTACTTCAAATCCGCACCGTTTGTCCGCCCGCGTAATAGCTTGTGCAAGGACTCTGATTACATTGGTCCTGCAGTCCCTTAAATTGCTTGTAAGAAGTTGCACATGATATCATATCGTGTGGCCATCGGGATTTTAAAAGTTCTAAGCGAATTTGCATCGTGTGGCTTCGCCTTTACGTAATTATAAATCTAAAAACGATAAACCGCGGAGTCACTTTCATAGAGTTCTGGTTAATGTGAAGTTATCATGAGGTGGAAATATCATTTCTCAATCTACGGTTACAGTTGCCTCTCGCGTGCGTTCTTGCGTGACAACGCGTGGCTACCTCCCTGGTGGTAGCCAAACCTTCGTATTTATGTTATCTTGTTATTTTAAGGGCACCGTTACTTTTAAAAAGATGAAGTCGATGGAAAAGGAAAGAGATGTGAAACGCAGGTAAGATTCAACATTCTTCCTAATCATACTCAGAGAATGAATGATGTGTCGTTAGTAACCTTACAAACGCCAATAAAGACGTAAGTTTGTCCTGCCAAATAAGGCAATTATACAGTTCTGGAGAATTTTTTTTTATTGAATGATGTTGATAAGTTGTTAAGCACAAGTTATCTAATAAGATGCAAACGCCAAGGCTAAAGACGTAAGTCTGCCGTGAGAATAAAAATTAATAATTACAAGATTAACAAAAAAGGCAAACTATTACAACATATAAAGAACTATTACTGCATATAAAGCAAAATAAACATAACAATTCTGGGTTTAGAAACTAAAAAGGGTTTCACCTAACGTTAACTTAAACAGGAAAACGGAAGATCAACACCAACAGAAGAGAATAGAATCAGCGTCCAATCTTCTCTCGGAGATGCTGGCCGAGCCCGTTCCCACGGCCAATGTTCGTAAGCCTAATCTCCGCTATGGGGGAAACATAACTTCGCTTTCTACAAAACCTCTCCCAGGGAAAAAGAAAAGAACTGGCGAACGACACAAAACGTTACCTAAAAGTTCGCGTAAAGGTAAAGAGAAAATTGACCAACGAAGCGTTATAAATGAAACAGCACTTCAACAGCCTCGTTTTCCAGCGAAAGGTAACCATTCCGTTTACGATGGAACTTATCGTCCAGACTCGTTATTTTCCGAGGATTTTCCGGATCGCGGTGCCGCAGAAATTACAAACATCAGATCGCAAAGAACCCCTCGATACGACGTAATACGAACTGGCAGCCCGGTCGTTTCAGACGAACAAGATCTTGCCAGTTTAGTACCAGATAAAACTGACCGAAACGATAGGTTACATGCGAAGACAACTGCTCCGGGCGACGACTATTGGCGTTCGAAATCTCCTACTGGCGCCGAGTTTGTTACGAAGCAAACATATCGGGACTTTGCTAAGAACCAGCCGAAACGATTGAAAGCGCGCGAAACTGCCTTGCGCAGGACTCCCCCTGGGGGTATCAGTGCGCAAAGATTTTCGTCGCAGCCAAAAGGCGTTACAACTATGGGACGAACGTTCGCGAGGACACAACCAACTTACCCTCTCCTCCCTGGCAGTGAGACGTTAGCGGAAGTAGATCGGTTGTTAGAGGAGGACGTCGATGGTTTTTCGTTGGATGAAGAGAACCTTGAAGGAATAGAAAGCCTGTTGGAAGGTGATGAAGAATTGAAGGACTTGTTATCTGATGTGGACTGGCGAGGTATTAATAAGGTCAGTGTGTTAGTTGAATTTCGTATTCAGTTAACCTATAGTCGTGACCCCATACAACACTTTACTCTGTAATTTTACGACAAATTCTGCGTTAGGGTAATTTATTTTCAGTACCAACTATAGGTCGAATAAAACGCCCAATCGCGCGGAAAATCGCATCCAGCGAGGAATCGCGACGCGCGCGAGGCAATTTTGTGTTCCCTCGCGTGCCTCGAAAGCACTTTTCTCTCTAAGAAGGTAACAAACTATTCGCAGGCACTAGCGCGCGAGCGTAAACATTAGGACATACGTACGCGCATAATGTCATATTTGACTTAATTCACGATACCAGCTCTCCTCAACCCGATGATAAACAAGATGGCGAACAAAGCGTCCGCCATATTGCTTTTGATATGTTCGCATGAGGTCTGGGTCAAAGTGACCTAAGACTGGTCCAAGGCGTTGTGCTTATGCTTGTGCTTCTGTCGACTCCGTTTTCACCAGACAAAGCTACGACGCCAGCACGAGCACAAGAAGAACGAACTTGTCCGTTTTTCTTGTGCTTATGCTTATGCTTATCCGCTAGTGAAAACCAGGCTTAAAGCACCAACAAAAGTCTAAACCTTGAGTGATCGTGGTCGTCAGTACTTCTGACTCAACTGTAAATGGTTGGCAATGATAGTTTAAATTTAGAAACGACTGAATATTTCGGGGCTTTAGGGGCGACACCAGACACAAATTACACCCTCTTATCTATCAAAGCATTTGCATTGAATAGAAATTTTCTTTTCAATTAAAAGGCTTGTTTTTTTCACTTTTAGCCTAGAAGAGTTGAATCCTCCGGGCTAACTGGTCAACGCTCTAAGCTGATTAATGGAAGAATTAAAGAAAGGGAGAGAGAAGAAAGTAAGTTTTCTTGTCCGATCACGCAAAGAATACCTAACATTTCCTTCGTCTTACATCCTTATATAACTTTATTTCACAATAATTATTGCCTGAAAATATAATAAAGAACACAATTACGCCTTGGTAAACTGTCATGTTTTGGTACTTGCAGTTGATTGGCCATCAAACGCGAACAGAGATTACAGTCGACATGAAGCTGAGCCAGGAGTACCTTCAACCAGCGTTCTGTTGCGGGAGGTTGATATTGACGTCAGTCCGTGGAGTACTGGACAGAGTTTGCGCGCATCTGATGATGTTGCTCAGCTTCTGGTGAGTTATGGGATAGCAATTTCAGTTGAAAGCTGTTGTGCTCTACCAGTATTCCTCTGTTTGGTCGTCAATTTTTTTTTCTCTTCGACAAAAAATACTGCTCAGTAGCTTTCATTTGAATGGTAACACTTTAGAATTTCTTCTACAGTGTTAAAAATTATGATCACCTTCAGTGTATAGGCATAATAAACAGCATAACAAGAAACTAATGCTCAATATATAGCCTTCATTTGAATGGGCACATCTGAAGAATTCTTAAACCGATACAAAAGTTACGACCACCCTGTAAAGGCTAATAAACAGCACTTCGACACTACATTCAACAGTTTTCACAACAAATCTAGCCACGTTCCTAAACATTCAATAGACTTTTATAGTCGTGTAGAATAAGTGGTCAACAAATCCCCCGCGGTTTTTACTTCCATACGCGCGCTCGACGATCTCTAAAGAGAAAATAGACGGATTGTGAACAGGCTAGAATAATGAACTCAGAAGTTTGATGTAGCACCCAATCATTTTCTTAGATTCTTTGTTGTTGTGTTTTATTCGAGGCTGATGTTGATGAGGCTGTAGGAAATATGTCTGAGAGCACAGGAAGTACCCGAAGTCAAATAGACTGGGAAGAAGTTAACAAAATCATGGGAGAAGCATAGTTATAGACAGAGCCAACAGCGAAAACAACGTTTAAATCAGCTAAGTCTTGATCCGTCTGTGTGTTCCTTTGCCCGTGGAAGTTTTGCTAGTTTCTCAGTAATGCCATGGTTCTTGTATTATCCAGTGTGGGATGTACATTGGTATATACCGAAATTTAGCAAGCATCATGATTTGGTTGGCATTTTCCCTTTGCTTGGTTTTCTGTTGATATTTCACATACTTAATATTCAGCATATCGACAAAAGCTGAGGATCTCAAAATTGTAAAAAAAGTAATATATCACGCAAATCTATAATTATCAGAAGCTTTTAAAGTTACCGGACATCAATCGTATTTATTGATAAATAATTGATTGATTTATGTGTTTGTCTGAAGTGGTCTGCGAATTTCCAAGACATGCATTACCTTACGTGACTTCTCTTGGTCACGGGAGAACATTATTTATGTTACTGTGTCTGTAAATAGGTTAAATTTCACTCATCCGGAAACAAATATTTTCAAAATAAATGAATATAAATAAATTTACCATTTGTTTCTCTCTCTCTCTCCATAAAATATTTTTGTCTCCTGAGGGAAAAAACTCTTCTATTTTTTTTCCACCAGGCCATTTCTGAGTTCCAAAAACCTCTCACTTTCAGCACGAGGCCAAGTGCCAAACCTTACATGTGTAAATGAGTTGTATTTGCATGAGAATCAAAAATCATTTTCATGTCAATAACTTCGCACTTCGCACTTCGCACCTCGCTTTGAAACAGAGGCTTGGGGGAACTCGGGAATGGCCTAATATTTTCTTATTTCTTGATGTATTTATTTCAAGATTTTCTTTAATACCACTATAGCTTATTTAGCAAGACGCTTTCTAGAGACGCAGCCCATTCAATGGTTAGCCCATCTTTTACACTTTTCTTGTTTCCTTGTAAATGGCTCTGTCATGTTCATTATGCTTTGCTCAAAAGATTAGCTACATTATCATTTTAAAATACATTAGCAAGAAAGTTTTCTTAGGTCACCATTGAACTAATTGACTAATTTATATATTTTTAAAGCATACATTTATTTCTTATTTTCAAGATTTGATGTTTTTGTAGTTTACGGAGATCGGGTACAAGCACAATCGACATCGACCTCAATCGTTTTGCTCTTCCAGTCGCCTTGAACCTTGCCGTACAATTTGTAATGACGTTTTATCTTCTGACATTCTCCTTGACCGTTAAAACAGATGGCAACATTGCATTGGACTGGCCAAACCTTTAATCCTGCAACCTGATGTAGGTTATACCATTTTGCTGTTGTTTTTGTATAGCACCCCCCGCATGGGTTACTACAATGTCTCTTCTCTAATCGGACAGTCGCTGGTGAGGCGTGATCCTGTGGCTGGGTCGAATTTGACATACGAATCACGCTAAAAAGAAGGACAGAAAAATTTGATTTGTATATCTTTAACTGAAGAAATTCGCGCTCGCTCATTGGTCGAAAGCTATTTTTCTTGTAAACTGCAAGGAATCCGAGGTTTCTCTGATGTTGAAGGAAATTTCGGTTGATGATCGTTGAGCTTACCTTACATTGGGAAGGTCCAAAATACCAATATCTCGTAGCTCTTTAACAACGTCTTCAAACGAAAGTGATTTGCTGTGATTAAACGCTTCCTCGTCCTTGTAAGTTTTCGGGAGGTAATATATGTTATCTGTCAGGTCGAGATTTCTTGCATGCTGCCGACGATTGCCGAACTTCCAAGTCTTGTGTGACCGAAATGAGTTGGTCTTAGCAGTTATAGGCCATAACATCACGAGAAAGAATATAGCATTTGTATGCATGATGAACACGCTGAAATTAAGTCAAAATTTTCAGTTAAAACAGTAGTGTATTTTTGGCGTTATTTTTTTGAGATAACAATCGACCTCTTGTTTAGAGGTGCGGGATTGTTCTGGACTGACCCAAAACTGAGTTTTTAATCATTTAGGGCCTGTTTACAAGGAGAGAGGGTTACCCTTGTGCTAGGGTTACCCTAGCAAGCGGGTTAAAGTTAGCTCTGGTTTACAAGCAAATTTCACTGGTTGGGTTACCCTATCACCTGGGTCAACTTTACCAGCTTTGCCAACGTGTTTCGTCATGCGTAACATTATTTGTAACGGTCCAAAATTTGAAAGAATCTTGGAGTTCTCTATGGAAAACACGTTAAATTCAAGAAAAAAGGGAACATGTTATCATCGTAGACAGAAAATATCTTTTTATTTTTCACTAGCTGAGCCTTTCCAAGGCAGGTAGGGTAACCCTCTTGCTAAGGTAACCCTAGCACTCAGGTAGGGTTACCCTAGCGCTAGGGTAACCCTAGCTGCCTTGTAAACACGTCGTGTTAAAAAAGAAGAAATATGCGAGTGTTAAGGTAACCCTCTTGATGGGGAAACTCTAGCACCACGATTACCGTACCTCCTTGTAAACACCGTCCTATAAGTTGTGCCAATATGTTGACACCCTTGTGTCGGGGACTATGAAATTGTTTATCATAGCCTCAGAAACTGTTTTACTTCGTCGTTTTGTTTGTCTTGTTTACGTGTTTGTTGTTGCTATTAAAAGATATTATTTATCTAATAAATTGAAAGTTTAATGAAATTACGGTGGTACGTCAGTAGGGGAACGAAGAAAAAGAAAACTATTTGATCAGCTGAGTTGCTAACATTTGAACCAAGTCCCTGTCTGCGCTGTAGCTCAAGGTTTTAAAAGCAACTGTTCGTTGAACATCATTCACTGAAAACCAGACCCATTCAAAAGTTAGATCCCCCAGGGCAGCCTGACAAAAAGCACCACTTTAATTCAATTAAATGGTCAATTTGATTAAAATTTGAATTTGAATGATCAATACAATCCCAGTCGCAAACTGAGGGTCAACATAAATCAGTCTGACAAAGGCACCATTTGAACTGACGCGGCAAATTCCTCGATCCAGTTGCTGTTGTGGTGGAGTCCAACGTATGGGCATACGTCTTGGAGCTACAACAACTAGAAAATGAGGATCACTATCGAATTTTTCGCTTCTCTGCCCTCTGTCTTCAAAGCCCAGCATGTGGCTTAAGGAATACTGTTTCTTTATCTTCTATGAATTAAACTATAAACCATAAAAAGGTCAAAAGAAAAACCTCACCTTTTACCTGAATGAAAGATTTAAAAGCCTCTTGATAGCGCATGAAGCCTTTTAATTTTGTTGAGCATTTTTCGTTTATTCGTACTTTGTAAACCTCTTGACACTTAATGATAAGTTAATAAGTTACGAGGCTCTCAGTGCCACCTGTATCGACTTGCCGGTGTTTTGCGAGTGAAAAATAAAACAAGGTATCTTTTAATTTCACGGTTGTCACTGAAGACAAATTTGCAACACTTTTTATCAATAACATAATTTCAAGAAGTTTAAAGTTACGTTTTCTATCATTGTAAATAAGGGCACCAAATTGGGGCGTATTTTTTGCAGGTTTTACTCCAATGATGCTGCCACAGAAAGTCTCTCAACGAATATTTTTCTCAAAGCCACGAGATTGCCGGGGTACTAAGAAGCCGGTTAAAAAAGATTAGTGACAATCGACAAATGAGTCAGACGAAGTAGTAACTCGCTGAATTAGTCTAAATGTTTCACAAACAAGCATTGTCTATAGGCAGGATGAGCCAATTTCGAGTAGCCTCCCACGCAGGCGTTTTTAGGGGAGCTCCCCTAAAAGCGCCTGCGTGGGAGGCTAATTTCGAGCTTCTGATCTCCAAATTAAATAACCAAACATCACAAAACTTCCCCGTAATTGGATAAAAGGTGTTTCAAAGCAATACAAATATTAAAGCGACAAAGGGACTATGGGGATAAAGTACTGGATTGCAAATGATTGGAAGTGTTTATTTGGTTTCCGACAAGCAGATTCGAGAAAAATATAATACCTATTACCGTGCTATGAAATTTTGAGTTAAAGAGAGGATACAGAGGTATGGCTTTGCCGAGGGGCACTAGGGACGAGATTAGAAAGCGCCTTCGTCGCTTCAATGTTAGCAGTAAAGTGGGCCTACTTTGAAGAGATTACGTTGGATGAAGCAAACATGGATTAGAACAAATAACTATATATATTTTTTAAGATGGAGACACCTTGTTGTATCAGCTTATCAGTGTCCTCCCGCGAGCTTCCTAGGTCGTCGTCACGTGTTCATTCCCATCAAGCCTTAAGAACGTCTGCGTTGGAGGTGAGCTCATTAGATACCAAAGTATATTAAAGACTGAATGACTGATTGGTTAGTTGATTGAACGTTTATCATTGACTCGTGACTTTTTCGCCTACAGTCCGCCACAGGTAAAAATTGCCTGTTTATTTATTTATTTATCTATTTATTATCATGATTATTTCACATCAAATTTTTTTTATATTACTTTAAAGGAACATTCCTTACCCCGATAATATCAAACGAAGACTTAAATCTCCACACAGAAGATAAAATTTATCCCAGCTAATCCGGCTGATATATTAATCCGGGGGATATTGAGTTTATTCCCTCCAGGATCCCTGGTGTTCTTCTTACAAATCATGCAAGGAAAAACACCGTCAAATTTACATGTTTTCAATCACTTTTTAGTTCCAAACAGCATAAATTAAAAACATTATATCATGAACAATACAACATGAGAACACATGGGAGAAAAAACTCAACTTTTTAGTTATATGTCGAGGTAACCATATTCTCATTATTTTGCTATGTCTGTCAAGTGCGCCATGGCTTTCGTCCAGGCCTCAGACAAGGGTGAAAATAGTGGCGTAAAGTAACTCGGTCATTTTCGATACAGTCGGAAGCTTGATGTTACAAGACCTTGAGAGTATTAAACTCCTAGGTGAAGAATGGACATGTGAGTGTTTTTTTGGACTTAAAAAGGGAGGGCTGACGACTTGCGCAATCTCCTGCCAAAAAAAGTAATTTTAAAACCCTTCTTTTTTTTCACAGTATCCTGCTCACGAACCTAGTGTTTATCAAATTGTTTCTGTTAAAATAGAAAGTGACCACACACGTATTACATCAACACTTTTTTTTATCTGAGCTTTATAACCAGCACAAGCTGAGTGTCAGTGAGGTCAGATGGGATTTTGTGGCTTTCACGTTTTTTAAATTTCTTGTTTCGGATGCGATTTGTCATGATTTTTTAAATAAAAAAATGAAAGTATTATTTGCAACTTCCTCCTATAACCAGGTTTGTTTTATGGACAATATTCACAAGATCAACAGCCATTTTGAGAAAAATTGCCATTGCATGGAACTGTATTTATTCATTCGTTCATTCAATTTTTGATGATTGATTACGTGTTAAAGTAAGGTTAAATAATGTGTAAAAAAAAAGGTGAAAAAAAAGTAAATATGACTTGGTTACAGATCAGCCTAGGAGGCACTCTAGAACCGACGAAGCTGTAAAACTGACAAAACTGCCGCTCCAATAACCCCTACAAACAAAGCGCACATGTTTTTCTTAGCGCGGGCAATACGGAAACTACATAGGGCGATATATAAAGATTCCGACCTCGTTAGCCACAACTACGCAGGCTATTTTTATTGGTGCCTTTAGGTTTGTTTTCGTTTCGTGATGGTGTGATTTTGTGGAAAATTGTTTTTGAAATAGTCTGCTCGTGACTAAGTTTGTTTGTCCAAGCTCATCCTGTTACGCTTTTTGTTTCGGTAAGTGAAGAAATTGGCGAAATACGAGAGTAAAGATAAGATAGAGTCCGTATGTACATATGTCAAGCTATTAGTCGAGCTGACGGCCGGCTGACGTAATTTAAAATTTAAATTGTCGCGCAGTTTTATTGGTACAACAACAGGATCATCACCGGTTTTCGTTTTAGCGAAGGAGCCACCGACTTTCCAAGGCGACGTTAGAGTTTGCAATTTTTCGTGGCAGATGGATGCGAAAGTTTGGTTTTGCAACACTTTTATCACGCCCTTTTTACAACTATCAGTCTTGTCATTTTCCACATGGGTCGTAATTTTCATGTCAATATTTCTCGCGAAGCTTGCACACTTCCTACTGACAAGCTTTGCAATGATGCGGCAATCTTACAGCTCTGTTAAGAATTTTGATGGACCTCCGAGTCACTGGCTTAAAGGGCACACGGATTGGGTAAGTGTTAGTCAAACCTTTACACTTTTTTCAAGAAAAAGCGTGATCAATATCCGGTTAGCGGCACAAGAGAATGTGTCAAATTTAAATCGGGAGAAGCCGATCAGTTCGAACCGTCGGATATGTCAGAAGTGAACTACTTTTCTGATCACGCTTGAAAGATTTACATTAAGTGACTTAGTGATGTTTTGAGCAAAAACAAGCGTTAAGTTTTAGAAAACATATTAAGCTATTTGTTATGTCAGATAAGATTGTTCCTCCAAAAGCTTTCAAATATCTATTCAAACGGCGCCCTTGTATATTAATTGATTGTACAATTTTTGGCAGATGTTATAACTAATATATTTCTGAAAAGCGATTGGAGCTGAATATGTTTTCCAGGGTACAAATCTTCTATCTACGGCCATTAACAATTGATAACTTAGAGAAAACATGGGCGTCAGTTGATTCAATTTCATCCTACGTTAGCATGCGCATTCTTAACGAAAATATTTGTATATCCAGGTGTATATATTCAATACTGAATACATAATAGATATTGAAAGGTCAAAAAAAATATCTAAGGCCTTGAAAACTCGGATACAACCGTGACCTCGGAGACAAACAGAATGCGTTCGCTGTTTTGAAAAAATAAAGTAATCCCTTTGCAAAACAAACAAATGGGAAACGCTTATGCTAATTTAACGAAGAACTTGTGCGTTATGGCTGATATGTTCTGTAGATATGAATACTAAGTATTAGCTGTTTATAATTTCTCGGTAACCCGCGCCCCAAAGTCATCACGCATCACTAAGTTATGTCACAGGTACCTCAAGTTCGGGAGTGAGAATCGTTGCGTAACAGGAATGTTATAAGGAGCGCTTATCATTTGCATGGAAATTTCAGTGAAAAATTTCTGTCAAATGGTACTGGTATTTTTTTTTTGGCACCGAAAAACAGGAACGGGATTGAGTTGTACCATTTACAAAATACCGCTAAATTTTTCGCTTTCTCTCGACATGAAGCCTGGCACTAGTAATCCAAACAAATGGTACAAAAAAATTGGGTCGTTTCGGTAAAAACGAGAAAAAGGTAATACCTCAAAAGGTATTACTTTTTTCCGGAAAATTTCCACAGGGATGAACCGTTCCATTCGAATTCTCCCGGAATTTCCGGGTTTTCCATACAAATGGTAAGCGCTCCTAAGAGCCGGGTTTGTATGGGGGTTTTAATGATCGTTATTTAGCGGTCAAAAATGGTAATAAACAGACATCAGAATTTCTTACCTTTCTTTTTGTTTTGATGTATGATGTGTTTTGAGTAGTTTTTGCCGTTTCAGCTCGATTCCAGCGAGTTTTAGTTCTGCTGTTGTTCTCTCTTTATATAATAAATGTTTTTTTTTTTACTTCTTAGGCAACGTTTGATGGCAATGGCTTGAAATTTCATGTTGAGTGTGCTACAAAGTACAGAACAGCCTATCCCTTGTGGTTTGGCCCTCTCCGGGCAGCTCTGATCCTCTGCCATCCAGACACACTGAAAGTTGTGTTTTCCAGTCATGTTCCAAAAGAGGAATTTGTCTACAGCCTTATTGTACCATTCACTGGTAAGACACTTTCTAGTCTCCCTCGCAGCCGTTTTTTGGATGTCACGCAACACTCCCAAACAATATGTCTTGGATTACAGTTTAGCAGTGTGGGGATCGTTGCGTGACATCCAAAAAACGGCTGCGAGGGAGACTAGACACTTTCTTGCGAGTGAATTCTTGGATGGGGTGGGTGTAAGCAGCAGGTGGGGGTAAGGGGTAGGGGAAACGACCTTCCACCTCTGCCCCAGGAGAGTGCTTACTTGCAGGATAGTAAGACATAATACGTAGATTTTGCTGAGGCTAAAGGCGAAGCTCCCCTTAGTGAAAAACATATTGCAATAAAGAAATCCAATTAAAGTTGAGCCTGCGATCAAAACAACACTTTAAAAACATTTAACCTCGAAAAAGCACTTTAAAAAACACTTATTAACCTCCATGGGTCGACACCTGAGCCCGCGATACGGTCATGTGAGACTAGCCAGCGGATACCCTGTTTTAACAGCTGTCGACAACATAAATTTGCAATATCAAATTGAAGGCTTCCACACTAGCTAGAAAGTGTAGAATTTCACGTTGCTTTCCCTGTAGTACCGACAGACAGCGGGCGGTCGGTCGGTCGGACGTACGGTCACGTGACTAAGAAAATTTCTTGGATGGACGGGTAACCAAATATTTTTTAGCTATGGGGCTCCACTCGCGCGCGTGGAGCTCCGCTATAAATTTACTCTAATTCTGTGTTCGAGTGGCGACCGTGGCTGGTGTGATAGGCTGTGTACATGTGTAAGGTACTGTGCATACTGCAGATTTTGGTAGAGTGTACTTCCTTGGTATTTTGGTGTTGGAAGGCCCCATGTTGGATTTCCTGTGCGTGTGCCACTACGTTGCGTTTACTGTGCCTTCCTGCAGCTGCTTGTAAATTAATACCATGAGCGTGATGGGTATGCCTCCTATTCTCACGTATGGGGCTCCGCCCATAGAGGTCGTGGGTATTCATAGGAGCTTCGGATGTTTAGAGTTATGATCTGAACACATTAAATTTTATACCTCCTGATTGCTTGCCTAATTTGTGCCCATGGTTCTTACCTATAAAACAGGACACAGCCTGACGATTGTCAGTGGGAAACGATGGCAGCAAATGAGGAAGCTTTTAACTCCTGCCTTTCACGCTGACATCTTGAAACCATATACAAAGTTGTTTCAGGAATCCACCAGAACATTACTGGTACGTAAGAAATGGCCAGATCAAGGTTCACATGCTAACTTTTAATTTGCTCTTTTAGTGAGCTATGAGTCACCACCCCATCCTCCAAGGGACTAAATGATCTTCCATTTTCCACTTATGTGCTTAAATTCCGTGCAGGACAAGTGGTCAAGAAATCCAGAAAAGATGGAATGTTTTGAGGATCTTGGCTTGATGGCCTTGGACTCGACACTCAAATGTGCCTTTAGCTTTAATAGCAACTGCCAAACAAACCTGTAAGTACAAAGAATTGTGTCTTAAGTCAAGCAAGCCTGAAGAAATATATGTTTAAATATCATAGGAACTAGACGTGATGGCCACATTAGGATGTTTTATTTGGTCTTGATGACAGACTTTGGTATACTTCAATCAGATGTCTTATGAACTACAGTCTCAGACAAAAATAGTTGGGACACTCAGACCAAACACTGTTTTTTTCCTTCTCGTGCTCCCTTTGTCCCTCCCAAAGTTGTCTATCGCGGTTCAGTCACCAAACCTTGTACACCAACATTGAGGGGACAAGGAGACACAAAAGTGTCCCAACAATTTTGACTGAGAATGTAGCTAGACATACTGATGGCTATACTGGGATGTTTTGTGGGTCTTGATGACAGACTTTGGTATACTTCAATGAAAGTAACTAAATCATTCATCAAAGGGGAAGGGGTAAGGGTGTTCTCTGCAACCGTCCCGTTGGAAATACCTATGTTTTTACTTTGACGTGATGGTCACACTGGGATGTTTTTCAAAGTAACTGTAACATTCATCAAAGGGGAGTTGGCAAGAGTGTTCTGTGCAACCGTCCCGTTTGAAATACTTGTGTTTAAACTTTGAAATAAAATTTTACTCTCCTTAGAAATCATGATGCATTCACTCACAGTCTCACTGCAGTTTCCAAAATATTAATCAAACGATTAATGTAAGTGAGAAAGAATAATTATATGAGTGTTGAAAAAGTGGTGGTATTTGGGGGGGTACGGCTGCTGAGAGAGGTGTCAGCTTGCAAGAGTGAGGTCCTTGAGCCTCTTAATGGGTATTTCCGATGAAATCAAAGCAGCCACGATCGCCATGGTTAAAGCGACATTTGTCGTGCCATGACGGCAAAATATAAAGGGGTGCTTGTTATTTCGGGATATTACTGTAACGGTAGTCATTATATCGGGATTGTTTTCATATCTTTACGTTAACTGAGGCGTAGAATGCCATTCGCTGTTTCGGTGTGTTCGTTACAGAGGGGTTCGTTGTATCGAAGTGTCACTATACACGCTCGGAAACATCTGTGTTACAAGCTAGAACTCTTTCCTGGGTATTGTATCTTTTTGCAATGTTTATTTGCTGAAAAAATTGTCTTCTCTTGTCCTTTTATAGAACCCCTATTCTGCATCCAGACTGGATTTTTAAGTGGACTCATCATGGAAGAGACTTTTATCGAAACTGTGCAGCTGCTCATCAAGCCGCCGAGGAAATCATTAGAAGAAGGAGAAAAACTCTTCAGGACAAGGTACAAGCCTGAAAACACAACTGATATTTCACGACTCCACCACTGCTTTCCCGTGAAATGACGTCTGAGAACGGCTGTGAGAAAGGAGGACATAAATTCCATACTGATGACGTCCACAACTCAGATCTGGGTAGTGCTTTTGATTGGTTGAAGCAAATCTTCTACTAATCAGAAACATTACCTAGATCTGGGTAGTGACGCGTCATCAGTATGGAATTTCTGTACTTGTTTCTCAGACGTCATTTCGCTAAATCTCGCGAAATGTTGGCTGTTTCCTGAGGCTAGACAAGGTACCAGCTTACGTCTTCTCCTGCAAAGGCTCCTAGTAAACAAAACTAAGCGGAGGAGTAAGCTTGTAACTCAGCTTATATATTTTAGAATTTGTCAGTTTCCTGCCCTAGTGTTGGTTCATTCCTTCGGTGATAAATCTATCGTGCCTTTATAATGAAAAACAAAGAAGCAAGCAAATAAAGAAACAGAAGGATCGAGGACTACTGAAGAGAGCCTTTAGAGTAAGATATTGAAATGCACTTCTTATCATTATCATATTACAGGGTAACCAGATGAATTCACGGGGAGACCAGCTGAATGGAAGGACAAGAAAACTGCTAGATATGGTTGATATTCTTCTTGCAATCAAGGTATTTATCGTAGACGCTATGGGCGAAAAACTTAGCCCCTTTCGTTGCGTATTTTAAAGGAAAACGTACAGTGTACGCTGAATTGACAACGGGCACGTGTTAAGATGGAAATAGTTACTATTCATGTTTTGGGGTATGGTATTCATGTGTAAAAGGCGTAGACGTTACTTCTGGTGGCAAGTAATCCTTAATTTTTATGTCTGTGAACACTTTGTCCTGTGAAAACATCAATGACCAAAGTCTGGAAGGGCATTGCTGAGATCTGGGGTTTGGCCAAAAATACAGCGGGGGATTCGGTAAAAAGCAAAATGTCTTCACGAAATACGGGATTTGATAGCTACTCGTGAAGCGGGATTCGCCAAAATCTTAGCACGGGATGCGGTATTAGGAAAAGGAAACAGTATTCGGGATAGAGATGACAGAGGTTCGGGATCAGACGGGATTGTCGTGGAACAGACTCGTGAATACGACGTTATCATGATCCCCATTCCAGACCCTGCAATATTAATAATGTGCGACACATCTTTGTTTTTAATTACAGACCTGAGTAAAACCTGCCCTAATGATCGATCTCCTTAGCAATTAATAGATAAAGTATATGTTGGTCGTAGGATGAAGATGGAAACGGTCTAACTGATGAAGAAATACGAGCAGAGGTGGTAACGTTTTTCTCCGCTGGACAAGACACAGTTGCTGCCGGTAAGAATTGTTTATGTCGCCACTAAGTTTAACAGTTGGATTTTAGTGTATCGCTGCAATATTGCATAAACCCGTGAATAAAACCAGGGGCAGATTCAGGTGACTTTCAGAAAGAATGCGCTGAGGCTTGTTACGTGCCAGCATTATAGACGCTATTTATTGATAAAAGAACTTTGACAGCATTTTTGTCCAGAAATTAAGGCTCTAGCCCCAATTGTTCGAAAGGTGGATAACGCTATCCCCTCTCTCTCGGCTATCCAGCGGATGACGCGTTGGTTTATCCAATACTTATCTAAATGGTTAGCGATTTATCCGATGGATAGCGCTATTCAACGATAGAACAAACGACAAGTGGAGAACAGACAGTGAATTCTTTAAGAAATTATTTAAAGTTTCGGTCAAATAACGAATACGTGGAACATTGCTGTCTTGCTAATCTGTCCATCCGAGCAAACAAATTTACCCCCAAGAACGCCCGTAGAACAGCCTACCATTATATGCGAATTAACCTCATCCACTTTTCTCTCCTTTGAGCAAGGAATTTCGTGGACCCTTTACAATCTAGCTTTATACCCAGAGCATCAACTAAAATGTCTGGAGGAAGTCAATGAAGTTTACGGGAAAAAAGAAGAATTAGAATGGTAAGATTGTTTACTTAAGTCTAAGAAAGTCTCTAACTTGAGGAGAGGATGTGGTACTCCGAGATTTTCTAGACCATATGAATTAATCCGTACAACTGAAGGCAATAAAAACAATACATGTGGGTACAAAGCTTGTTTTACTTTTTTCTTTCCTTTTTTTTTTCCTTTTCTCTTTTCCCCTTTTCTTTTATACGATATAGAAGGCACAACAATGGACCACACTGCTTAACTGTAATCCAAGACATAACGTTTGGGATGATTTTTCTCCATTGGGGAGAAGCGATGTTAAGGCCATATTTAAGAGTGTTAATTGTCGGTTACTTGCAAATTTTGTACAAAAAAGGGCGAGAGGACACTGAAATGTCCCCTACTTTTCGGCTATTATCACAGCCTGGGAAATGATTCAATCTAACTGACTAAAAACGTTGTATTTCACCAGGGAAGACTTGCCTCATCTTAAGTACGTTACACTTGTGATCAAAGAAAGCATGAGACTTTATCCGCCATTTCCTATGTTTAGTCGCAGCTTAGACAAATCTTATGAGATCGACGGAAAATTAACACCAAAAGGTAACGTTTGTTTATATATAAGTTCACGTTCTCCATGTGAGGAGAAACTGTAGGAAAACGTTGATGATTATGGTGCAAATTTTAATGGTATTGTTGGTGGCATTAACTAAAGATGATGATGACGCCGACAATATTGGCCAATGTTGGTCAATAATAGTAATTAAATTAAATCAAATGAATAAGCAACGCGTGACGAACCCCTAAGAAGGTCTGCGTGGAAGGCTAGGCCTGTGTTCGAATGCTTCAAAATAAGAAAGAGAAGGAAATAGAAGTAGATCAAAATAGGTGTTATGTATAGTGTAATGAATAGCTTAGCATATATAGTAAATTTAAATTATTTAGAAAACGGTTGGTGTACCAGCTGGTACTAGACCCCAAATAAAATATTGTCTGTTGTCCTTTTAATCATTTTCGTCATTATCATCATGAAATACAACGGTAGTGATAAATGATTTAAGTCTCCTTATAATGATGCGCTGTTTCCGTTTTGATGATACGTCAGGAACGTGGATCATGATCAACGCTTATGCATTGCATCACAATCCTCATGTATGGAAAGACCCTGAGGTAAGCTAGGCCTGTAAATCTCTCATCATTTTTTAGGAAAGGATAATTCATGGGGATATACTTTGTTGCGATTAACTACTCCTTAAATCAGCAACATTTTAGCTCGGTTATTATCTCCTTTGCAGCCGTTCTTTGGGTCATCACGCAACGCTCCTGCCACGAGCCCTGTGTGACAACACCTAAAACGGCTGCTTAGTTACGTTCACACCGCCCCAGACGAATTTTCAACCGGTTGAAAACTCATGCGTTTAGGTGTTCCGTTCATACGAGACCACCTTAACCGTACGAAAATTCAGACGCCTAACTGTTCAAAGTTCCTTGTGAACAGAGTGAAAATATTGAACTTTCCCGTGTGAACGAAGTGTCTGGTCAAATTTTTTCGCCGGTGGAAAATTCGTCCGATGCCGTGTGTTTTGTGCTAAACAAGTTATACATCAAAGTTTTCTTTGAGCATAGAAATTTATGACATCACAAGTGCTACAAGGACCGTAGTTTCACATTGTTGGTTTCTGTCGCAGGGTTTAGGTGTAAATAAGGGTTGACCATGGTGTCTTTTGTTACAGACCTTTGATCCGCTGCGGTTCATGGTGGAAAACAAAGAAGACAGGTCACCATACGCATATATACCATTTTCTGCTGGTCCAAGGTGTGTCTCTGTTTCTATTTATGTGAGGCAACAAAGGATAAAATACCTCTTTATCCTCTCTCTTGTAATACAAGAAAGGAATCTTTTTTATTGGTAAAATGCCTTTGGCACGACCATCCATTTAGGAAAATATTGTACAACATAGCCTTCGAATACAGCCGTTTCTTCTCGCTCATCGCCGCTGGGAACGTTTCGCGCTCGTTGACCAGATTCCGGGCAAATCCACGTCATCAGCATAGAATTTATGGGATCGCAGACGTCTCTCACGTGAAACGTCCCCTGCAGCGAGGAGCGAGTGGAAACGGCTGTATTCGCAGCCGGCTTTGTACAACAACATGAACAGTACCACAGAATAGTACATTTGTTTTCTTTTTGTTGTTTACCCTTTCACACAAAACCATATTTTCGACCTAAATTTAGACTACAGATTCAAATCTGTTTTTTTAATCTCCACAGAAACTGTATTGGAATGAATTTTGCTATGGCTGAAATGAGGGTAGCCGTGGCCATGATTCTCAGAAGGTTAGCTTGTTTGCGACTTAAATAATGCATTTTTTCTTGATATCTGTTTCCGCCATGTGTAATAATCATGTTTGTGTTTAATTTCAGGTTTAAATTATCGGTAACTAAGGAAAACCAAGTAACATCAGAGGATTTGTTTCCAGAAATTTTTCTCCGCACAAAAAATGGGATTCATCTTACTCTGTCGCCACGGTTTCAGAAGTAGCTGCTAGTCTGTACAAAGGCCTTGTGTTTTTAACCTCCTAGACGCAGAAATTTTCCTCTATTCGACAAGAAGACGCGTCACAAGCCTCGAACATCCATTAACGAAATAGTGACTTCTAACGAAATAGCTTGAATGTTGGAGTGGAAATTTCGAGATTCAAGGAACATATCCTACCCTGTCTGCGCGCGATGACAGTTGTTTTCAGACGAAGAGAGACCCTAGAAAGAATTTTTTCAGTCTCTTTTAACAAGATAAAGGCGTTTGGTAACTTCTCTTTTTCCTTCCCAATAACAAGTACAAAACAAACAAACAAAAGGCTGAATGTAGTGGAAACGTTTGTTTCCCTTCCCCAGTAAAACTAGAAGGGAACTGGGCCGAGTTAACTTTCGCAAAGACTTATGGAACTGTTGGTAGGGACAGGGAAAAAAATTGGCCAATAGCTGACCGGTGCGATCCCAGGAACAATTGCGGGACTGGTTCGGTACCAGTCCCCTATCGTTTCTAAAGTGGTGATTGCTTTTGAACCACGAATACTTATAACTCGAAAAAAAAGCTTTCTTTTCCCCAGGAGGTTCAGAAGATTGGGATTCCACGGCCTGGTAAATATCGTTCTGCCCCGGACTCGTCTCTCAATCTCCTATTTTTTAGCGACCTTAAGCAACGAGAACTTCGACGTCCTGGACGTCAAAAACGGCAACCGGAAGTTGATGTTTTCTCGCTTTTTGTGCTCTTCTCGACAAATTCGTACAGCGGGAGTTACAACTAAGGCATTTAGATTCGTTGAGTAAGACAAAGTGTTCCATCAAGCGAGACATCGAACTTCCGGTTGTTATCATGACGTCCGGGATGTCAGCGTTCTCGTTGCTTAAGTTCACAAAACAAAAGAAGCGCGTTCAATGGGAACGCAGGGGTTGATGGGAAGGAGGACCATGATTCCTAACGCTGTGTCTGTAAACAATGTCATTGTACTATACAGTGCTTATCATTTTATGTTCAATTATTGTTTAATATTTAACGTTTCACAGTAATTTATATATCGTATTTATCAAGATTACATAAAAAAAACAAATAAATAAATAAATAAATAAAAACATGTCTGAAGACTCTTTATAGAAAGACGGCATATTTGTACTTCTCTGTATATCATAGCCTGTTGTTTGTATCCCAGTCAGCTAATAACAGGTAAGTTTCGAAGGAAAAAAGCGCAAGCTCAAGGAAGTAAGACCACTTGCACATACAGTGGCGAGGAGAAGCGCGATCTCTTTCTTTCCTGCCGTCGTATTGATCTTCGCTGCCACCTCGTGCCTTTTGCAGATTCCTTCTAAGACAGTGGATGGCTAAAAAAATGTCGAGCCCTCCGGAGGCTTTTCATACAGGATGTCTTTTGGGGTGCTGAGGTCCACCATTCTGCAGGTATCCTTAGGCAAAGTGGTAGGTGCATGTTAGTAGAGTCTGAGCGTGTCAGGATATATGTATTTTGCTTGACCAAAACCGTAGACTAACCCCTTTGGAAAAATCCCAATTTTTCCACTTTTTTAACTTCGTGTTTTTACAGTCTTGAAAGGCTTTTTTTCGTGCTAGAATATTCTCAAAGACATTTTGCTGGCCTATTTTGCCCATATTAAAAACATAGAAAAATTGCCAATTTTTGACCAAAACCATGGACTAACCCCTTTGGAAAAAAACCAATCAATCCACTTTTTTAACTCTTTAATTTTTTAGTCTCGAAAAGCGTTTTCTCTTTCTGGAACAGTCTCAAAGACGTATTCCTGGCCTATTTTGCCTATATTAAAAACATAGAAAAATTGCCAATTTTTGACCAAAACCATGGACTAACCCGCCTATTTTGCCGATATTAAAAAGATGGAAAAATTACCAATGTTTTACCAAAACCATGGACTAACCCCCTTGGAAAAATCCCAATTTTTCCACTTTTTTAACCTCTTGTTTTTATAGTCTGGAAAGGTTTTTTGTCGTGCTACAATATTCTGAAACAAAATTTCCTGGCCTATTTTGCCTATATTAAAAAGATAGAAAAATTGCCAATTTTTGACCAAAACCATGGACTAAACCATTTGGAAAAATCCCAATTTTTCCACTTTTTTATAGTCTAGAAAGGCTTTTTGTCGTGCTAGAATATTCTAAAAGACCTTTTTCTGGCCTATTTTCACTATATTAAAAACATACAACAATTGCCAATTTTTGACCAAAACCATGCATTAACCCCTTTGGAAAAAAACCAATCAATCCACTTTTTTAACTCTTTAATTTTTTAGTCTCGAAAAGCGTTTTCTCTTTCTGGAACAGTCTCAAAGACGTATTCCTGGCCTATTTTGCCTATATTAAAAACATAGAAAAATTGCCAATTTTTGACCAAAACCATGGACTAACCCGTTTGAAAAAATACCAATTTTTCGACTTTTTGAACTTCTTGTTTTTAAAGCCCAGAAAGGCGATTTTTCGATCTAGAATATCGTAAAAGACATTTCCCTGGCCTATAGTGCATAAACAAAAAAGTTGGAAAAATGGCCATTTTTGGACCAAAACCATGGGTTAACCCCTTTGGAAAAATGTGAATTTTTCGCCTTTTTTAAATTCTTCTTTTTATAATCTAGAAAGGCGTCTTTTTGTTCTAGAATATCGTAAAAGACGTTTTCCTGGCCTGTATTCCCTAAAAAGAAAAACTTGGAAATATGGGCATTTTTGGACCAAAATCATGAGTTAACCCCTTTGGGAAAATGTCAATTTTTCGACTTTTTAAACTTCTTGTTTTTATAGTCTAGTAAGACGTTTTTTCGTTCTAGAATATCGTAAAAGACATTTTCCTGGCCTATATTGCCTAAAAAAAAAAGTTGGAAAAATGGCCATTTTTGGACCAAAACCATGGGTTAACCCCTTTGGAAAAATGTCAATTTTTCGACTTTTTAAACTTCTTGTTTTTATAGCCTAGAAAGGCGCTTTTTCGTTCTAGAATATCGTAAAAGACATTTTCCTGGCCTATATTGCCTAAAAAAAAAAAGTTGGAAAAATGGCCATTTTTGGACCAAAACCATGGGTTAACCCCTTTGGAAAAATGTCAATTTTTCGCCTTTTTGAAATTCTTCTTTTTATAATCTAGAAAGGCGTCTTTTCGTTCTAGAATATCGTAAAAGACATTTTCCTGGCCTATATTGCCTAAAGAAAAAAAGTTGGAAAAAAGGCCATTTTTGGACCAAAATCATGGGTTAACCCCTTTGGAAAAATGTCAATTTTTCGACTTTTTGAACTTCTTTTTTTTATAGCCTAGAAAAGCGTTTTTTCGTTCTAGAATATCGTAAAAGACATTTTCCTAGCCTATATTGCCTAAAGAAAAAAAGTTGGAAAAAAGGCCATTTTTGGACCAAAACCATGGGTTAACCCCTTTGAAAAAATGTCAATTTCTCGACTTTTTGAACTTGTTTTTATAGTCTAGAAAGGTGTTTTTTCATTCTAGAATATCCTAAAAGACATTTTCCTGGCCTATATTGCCTAAAATAAAAAAAATGGAAAAATGGCCATTTTTGAATCAAAACCATGGGTTAACCCCTTTGGAAAAATGTCAATTTTTGGACTTTTTGAACTTCTTGTTTTTATAGCCTAAAAAGGCGTTTTATTCGTTCTAGAATATCGTAAAAGACATTTTCCTGCCCTATATTGCCTAAAAAAAAAAAAAAAAAACGCCATTTTTGGACCAAAACCATGGGTTAACCCCTTTGGAAAAATGTCAATTTTTTTGACTTTTTTTTTTAACTTGTTGTTTTTATTGCCTAGAAAGTCGTTTCCTCGTTCTAGAAGATCGTAAAAGACATTTTCCTGGCCTATATTGCCTAAAAAAAAAAAGTTGCAAAAAAGGCCATTTTTGGACCAAAAGCATGGGTTAACCCCTTTGAAAAAATGTCAATTTTTCGACTTTTTGATCTTGTTCTTTTTATAGTCTAGAAAGGCGTTTTTTCGTTCTAGAATATCGTAAGACATTTTCTTGGCCTATATTGCCTAAAAAAAAAAAGTTGGAAAATCGGCCATTTTTGGTCCAAAAGCATGGGTTAACCACTTTGGAAAAATGTCAATTTCTCGACTTTTTGAACTTGTTGTTTTTATAGTCTATAAAGGTGTTTTTTCGTTCTAGAATATCGTAAAAGACATTTTCCTGGCCTATATTGCCTAAAGAAAAAAAGTTGGAAAAAAGGCCATTTTTGGACCAAAACCATGGGTTAACCCCTTTGAAAAATGTCAATTTTTCGACTTTTTGATCTTGTTCTTTTTATAGTCTAGAAAGGCGTTTTTTCGTTCTAGAATATCGTAAAAGACATTTTCCTGGCCTATATTGCCTAAAAAAAAAAAGTTGGAAAATCGGCCATTTTTGGACCAAAACCATGGGTTAACCCCTTTGAAAAAATGTCAATTTTTCGCCTTTTCGATCTTGTTCTTTTTATAGGCTAGAAAGGCGTTTTTTCGTTCTAGAATATCGTAAAAGACATTTTCCTGGCCTATATTGCCTATAAAAAAAAAGTTGGAAAATCGGCCATTTTTGGACCAAAACCATGGGTTAACCCCTTTGAAAAAATGTCAATTTTTCGCCTTTTCGAACTTGTTCTTTTTATAGTCTAGAAAGGCGTTTTTTCGTTCTAGAATATCGTAAAAGATATTTCCTGGCCTATATTGCCTAAAAAAAAAAGTTGGAAAATCGGCCATTTTTGGACCAAAACCGTGGGTTAACCCCTTTGAAAAAATGTCAATTTTTTGACTTTTTGAACTTGTTCTTTTTATAGCCTAGAAAGTCGTTTTTTTGTTTTAGAATATCGTAAAAGACATTTTCGTGGCTTATATTGCCTGAAAAAGAAAGTTGGAAAAAAGGCCATTTTTGGACCAAAAGCATGGGTTAACCCCTTTGGAAAAATGTCAATTTTTCGACTTTTTAAACTTCTTGTTTTTATAGCCTAGAAAGGCGTTTTTTCTTTCTAGAATATCGTAAAAGACATTTTCCTAACCTATATTGCCTAAAAAATAAAGTTTGAGAAATGGCCATTTTTGGACCAAAACCATGGGTTAACCCCTTTGGAAAAATGTCAATTTTTCCTCCTATATTGCCTTTTTCCCAAAACTTTGTTTTTTTTTTTTATAGCCTAGAAAGGTGTTTTTTCGTTCTAGAATATCGTAAAAGACATTTTCCTGGCCTATATTGCCTAAAAAAAAAAAGTTGGAAAATCGGCCATTTTTGGACCAAAACCATGGGTTAACCCCTTCTGAAAAATATCAATTTCTCGACTTTTTAAACTTGTTGTTTTTATAGCCTAGAAAGGCGCTTTTTCGTTCTAAAATATACTAAAAGACATTTTCGTGGCCTAAATTGCCTAAAAAAAATAGTTGGAAAAATGGCCATTTTTGGACCAAAACCATGGGTTAACCCCTTTGAAAAATGTCAATTTTTCGACTTTTTGAACTTGTTCTTTTTATAGTCTAGAAAGGCGTTTTTTCGTTCTAGAATATCGTAAAAGACATTTTCCTGGCCTATATTGCCTAAAAAAAAAAAAGTTGGAAAAATGGCCATTTTTGGACCAAAACCATGGGTTAACCCCTTTGGAAAAATGTCAATTTTTCGACTTTTTGAACTTGTTGTTTTTATAGCCTAGAAAGGCGTTTTTTTCGTTCTAGAATATCGTAAAAGACATTTTCCTGGCCTATATTGCCTAAAAAAAAAAAGTTGGAAAAAAGGCCATTTTTGGACCAAAACCATGGGTTAACCCCTTTGGAAAAATGTCAATTTTTCGACTTTTTAAACTTCTTGTTTTTATAGCCTAGTAAGACGTTTTTTCGTTCTAGAATATCGTAAAAGACATTTTCCTGGCCTATATTGCCTAAAGAAAAAAAGTTGGAAAAAAGGCCATTTTTGGACCAAAAGCATGGGTTAACCCCTTTGGAAAAATGTCAATTTTTCGACTTTTCGAACTTGTTGTTTTTATTGCCTAGAAAGTCGTTTTTTCGTTCTAGAATATCGTAAAAGACATTTTCCTGGCCTATATTGCCTAAAAAAAAAAGTTGGAAAATCGGCCATTTTTGGACCAAAACCATGGGTTAACCCCTTTGAAAAAATGTCAATTTTTCGACTTTTTAAACTTGTTCTTTTTATAGTCTAGAAAGGCGTTTTTTCGTTCTAGAATATCGTAAAAGACATTTTCCTGGCCTATATTGCCTAAAAAAAAAAAAGTTGGAAAATCGGCCATTTTTGGACCAAAACCATGGGTTAACCCTTTTGAAAAATGTCAATTTTTCGACTTTTTGAACTTGTTCTTTTTATAGCCTAGAAAGTCGTTTTTTTGTTCTAGAATATCGTAAAAGATATTTTCCTGGCCTATATTGCCTAAAAAAAAAAAGTTGGAAAATCGGCCATTTTTGGACCAAAACCATGGGTTAACCCCTTTGGAAAAATGTCAATTTCTCGACTTTTTAAACTTGTTGTTTTTATAGCCTAGAAAGGCGCTTTTTCGTTCTAGAATATCGTAAAAGACATTTTCCTGGCCTATATTGCCTAAAGAAAAAAAGTTGGAAAAATGGCCATTTTTGGACCAAAACCATGGGTTAACCCCTTTGAAAAAATGTCAATTTTTCGACTTTTTAAACTTCTTGTTTTTATAGCCTAGAAAGGCGTTTTTTCGTTCTAGAATATCGTAAAAGACATTTTCCTGGCCTATATTGCCTAAAAAAAAAAAGTTGGAAAAAAGGCCATTTTTGGACCAAAACCATGGGTTAACCTCTTTGGAAAAATGTTAATTTTTCGACTTTTTAAACTTCTTGTTTTTATAGCCTAGAAAGGCGTTTTTCGTTCTAGAATATCGTAAAAGACATTTTCCTAACCTATATTGCCTAAAAAAAAAAAGTTGGAAAAAAGGCCATTTTTGGACCAAAAGCATGGGTTAACCCCTTTGGAAAAATGTCAATTTTTCGACTTTTTAAACTTCTTGTTTTTATAGCCTAGTAAGACGTTTTTTCGTTCTAGAATATCGCAAAAGACATTTTCCTTGCCTATATTGCCTAAAGAAAAAAAGTTGGAAAAAAGGCCATTTTTGGACCAAAACCATGGGTTAACCCCTTTGGAAAAATGTCAATTTTTCGACTTTTTAAACTTGTTGTTTTATAGTCTAGAAAGGTGTTTTTTCGTCCTAGAATATCGTAAAAGACATTTTCCTGGCCTATATTGCCTAAAAAAAAAAAAGTTGGAAAATCGGCCATTTTTGGACCAAAACGATGGGTGGTTAACCCCTTTGAAAAAATATCAATTTTTCGAGTTTTTGAACTTGTTCTTTTTATAGTCTAGAAAGGCGTTTTTCGTTGTAGAATATCGTAATAGACATTTTCCTGTCCTACATTGCGTAAAAAAAAAAGTTGGAAAATCGGCCATTTTTGGACGAAAACCAATGTCAATTTTTCGACTTTTTGAACTTGTTGTTTTTATAGTCTAGAAAGGTGTTTTTTCATTCTAGAATATCCTAAAAGACATTTTCCTGGCCTATATTGCCTAAAATAAAAAAGTTGGAAAAATGGCCATTTTTGAATCAAAACCATGGGTTAACCCCTTTGGAAAAATGTCAATTTTTCGCCTTTATGAAATTCTTCTTTTTATACTCTAGAAAGGCATCTTTTCGTTCTAGAATATACTCAAAGACATTTTCGTGGCCTAAATTGCCTAAAAAAAAAAGTTAAAAAAAGGCCATTTTTGGACCAAAACCATGGGTTAACCCCCTTGAAAAAATGTCAATTTCTCGACTTTTTGAACTTGTTGTTTTTATAGTCTAGAAAGGTGTTTTTTCATTCTAGAATATCCTAAAAGACATTTTCCTGGCCTATATTGCCTAAAATAAAAAAGTTGGAAAAATGGCCATTTTTGAATCAAAACCATGGGTTAACCCGTTTGGAAAAATGTCAATTTTTCGACTTTTTAAACTTCTTCGTTTTTATACCCTAGAAAGTGGCTTTTTAGTTCTAGAATATGGTAAAAGACATTTTCCTGGCCTATATTGCCTAAAGAAAAAAAGTTGGAAAAAAGGCCATTTTTGGACCAAAACCATGGGTTAACCTCTTTGGAAAAATGTTAATTTCTTGACTTTTTAAACTTGTCGTTTTTATAGCCTTGAAAGGCGCTTTTTCGTTCTAGAATATACTAAAAGACATTTTCCTGGCCTATATTGCCTAAAAGAAAAAAAGTTGGAAAATCGGCCATTTCTGTACCAAAAGCATGGGTTAACCCCTTTGAAAAATGTCAATTTTTCGACTTTTTAAACTTCTTGTTTTTAAAGCCTGGTAAGACGTTTTGTCCTTCTACAATATCGCAAAAGACATTTTCCTGGCCTTTTTTGCCTAAAAAAAAAAGTTGGAAAAATGGCCATTTTTGGACCAAAACCATGGGTTAACCCGTTTGGAAAAATGTCAATTTCTCGACTTTTTGAACTTGTTGTTTTTATAGTCTAGAAAGGTGTTTTTTCGTCCTAGAATATCGTAAAAGACATTTTCCTGGCCTATATTACCTAAAAAAAGAAAGTTGGAAAATCGGCCATTTTTGCACCAAAACCATGGTTAACCCCTTTGAAAAAATGTCAATTTTTCGACTTTTTTTCGTTCTAGAAACTTTTGTTTTTTTATAGTCTAGAAAGACGTTTTTTCGTTCTAGAATATCGTAAAAGACATTTTCCTGGCCTATTTCAATTTTTTCGCTTGTTCTTTTTAAAAAAAAAAAAAATTGGAAAATCGGCCATTTTTGGACCAAAACCATGGGTTAACCCCTTTGGAAAAATGTCAATTTTTCGTGTTTTTGAAATTCTTCTTTTTATAGTCTAGAAAGGCCTCTTTTCGTTCTAGAATATCGTAAAAGACATTTTCCTGGCCTCTATTGGCTAAAAAAAAAGAGTTGGAAAAATGGCTATTTTTGGACGAAAACCATGGGTTAACCCGTTTGGAAAAATGTCAATTTTTGGACTTTTTAAACTTCTTGTTTGTATAGCCTAGAAAGGCGTTTTTTCGTTCTAGATTATCGTAAAAGACATTTTCCTGGCCTATATTGTCTAAGGAAAAAAAGTTGGAAAAATGTCCATTTTTGGACTAAAACGATGGGTTAACCCCTTTGGAAAAATGTCAATTTTTCGACTTTTTGAACTTCTTGTTTTTATAGGCTAGTAAGGTGTTTTTTGGTTCTAGAATATCGTAAAAGACATTTTCGTGGCCTATATTGCCTAAAAAAAAAAGTTGGAAAAATGGCCATTTTTGGACGAAAACCATGGGTTAACCCCTTTGGAAAAATGTCAATTTTTCGACTTTTTGAACGTCTTGTTTTTATAGCCTAGAAAGGCGTTTTTTCGTTCTAGAATATCGTAAAAGACATTTTCCTGGGCTACATTGCCTAAAAAAAAAAGTTGAAAAAATGGCCATTTTTGGACCAAAACCATGGGTTAACCTCTTTGGAAAAATTCCAATTTTATTACTTTTTCAACTTCGTGTTTTTATAGGCTGGAAAGGGTTTTTTTCGTGCTAGAATATTCTCAAAGACATTTTCCTGGCCTATTTTGCCTATTTTAATGAGATAAAAAAATTGGCAATTTTTTACCAAAACCACGGAGTAACCGTTTTGGAAAAAATCCCAATTTTTCCACTTTTTTAATTTCTTGTTTTTATAGGCTAGAAAGGCTTTTTTTCGTGTTAGAATATTGTCAAAGACGTTTTCCTGGCCTGTTTTGCCTATATTAAAAAGATAGAAACATTGCCAACCATGGACTAACCCCTTTGGAAAAATCCCAATTTTTCCACTTTTTTAACTCTTTATTTTTTTTAGTCTGGAAAGGCTTTTTTTGTTTCTAGAACATTCTCAAAAACATTTTCCTGGCCTATTTTGCCTTTTATTAAAAAGAAGGAAAAATTGCGAATTTTTCACCAAAACCATTGACTAACCCCTTTGATGCAATTTACCTCGATAGGAGGTTATGGCGTGTGCAATACACTCAGACACAAGAAATAGTTACATGAAATTTAATACGTAAAATTAATTTATGCCAACGAAAACATCTGGTAATCTATGCCCAGAGATATTATTCTGATACTGCACTGGGAAATCTTAAGTGTTAAATACAGGGTTGTCAATAAGATTCAAGGGCCAGGGATTTCCGCTAGCTGCTATGAGTGTGGTCCCCAGCTACTTTTATTGGAAAATAGAAGAAAAGTAGAACCAAAAGAAATCCCTAGCTGTTTGATTCCCCGCCTACTTGTTGTATTTACCTGGCAACTTGAAATCTTAGCGGCAACCCTGTAAATAGTAATAAAAATAATTGTAATATTTGTGATGTTATCTTGTGACGTTATCAAAGTGACAACAGCAAGGAAGAGCACCTTTGCAAAGCTTCACCTTTTTTTGGGTTTGTGTAATGCAGTGCACTATATTTACTTGCAAAGAAGAGGGAGGAAAAAAAAAAACACAAAACAAAACCATATCTTTGTTCACAAATGTTGAATCAGAAAGTCTTCCTCCAATTCACAATCAGGACTTTTTATGTATATATTTGCCAAAACTTTTATTGCAATAATTGGTGGTTTAGAAATTTAAGATAAAAAAATCTTTTGTACGGGAAGATTAATTCACTGGCTTTTTACTCCAGTGACAATGAAATTCAATCTGTAAATCAAATCTGAATATTATCTGTATAAAACCTTTGAAAATTTTGTCATCATGGTAACAACCACATGTGGCTATTTTACATATGAACATTAAATTCCCATAATAGCTTCTGTGCTAACCCTGAAGCTCATGGTAGATGTAGTTTGCCAAACACCTGAAAAAACAAGACCAAACAGACACCTGTCAGTCTTTGAAAACTGTAGCATGAGAAAACAGCCGACATTTCACAACTGATGCCACCGGTGGTTTCCCTACAAAATGACGTCTGAGGAATGAGAAACGTATACAAATGGGGTTCTTCTTCTGTCAAAAGGGTTCGGAGTGGAATTTTTTTTTTTTTTTTCGGAGGGGAGAACCTAACCATGCAAAACTTTGCTGAGTAGCCACCCGTGGACTTTGTGACAATTCTGACAGAGAGGGTTCATTTAAATGGTAACACCAAACGATTTTTTCCACAGATTTATGAGACAAATTGTCTCACCATAATCAAGTCTAAGAGTGAAAGGTTTAAAGCAAATAAACTTTCTCGGCATGAGCCTTTTTTTCTTGATACAATGTACATTTTCCTGCCATGTAATATGATCCAATTCAAAGTATCATAGAAAATGTGAACTTATGGCAGTCAATTTTTTTTTCTTTAAGAAAACTTGAAAACATTAGGCACATTCTGCATAATATAAGGCAAAGACATAATTATCGAGAAAATAAAACAATTTCAGAGAAATTTGAAACAGTGAAATTTGGATGATAATTTTCACTCTCTAAGGTATTACCATTGTAAAAGCTGAAAGTCCCAAGCATCTTATGAAGAAGAAAAAAGTTCATTTACCTATTTTCTTATCAATTTGATTCCGACTCAGTATCTTCCAAGCTGTCTTCAATTGCCTCGTCTGAACTTGGTGTTGATATTTTGACAACCTCAACTTCAACTTTGCTTGCAGGAGTGGAGGCTAGAAATAAAGCAAAAAACATAATTCATGAAAAAACTTTAAATATGTTACAGATAAAATTTGATTTCAGGTTATAACTTTTTAATCACCTAGGTTGATTCTCTTCAAGGGCTAGTATATGAAGGCAATAATCAGGGTGCAAAGAAAATCATTTTTACAGCTTGCCATTCGGGCAAGCTGAACCTAGCATTTACTAGCCCAGACATTATTTTAACTAGCCCGAAAAATGTTTTGACTAGCAGAATTGATTTCACAGTTCTTCTGTTGCTTGAATTCCTCAAAAAAACATCACTTGCCCGTCGGGCAAGTTAAAAACAGAAATCACTAGCCCAATAGCAAAATCCACTAGCACCGGGCTATCAGACACTAATTTATTTGCAAGCTGGTAATAATCAACCTCCGTTAAATCAAAATTAACCTGAAATCAAATTGGACCCGTAATATCTAATACTATAATAACCTGTCGAATGGCATGACTTACTTTGATTAACTAGTGAAGAAGTCAAGGTAGTGGTGGCTGTTGAAGATGATGTACCATTAGTTGGCAAAGCAGAATGCAGCACAGAAGATGCATTTACATGAGAGGATGATGCTAATGGGGCATCAGTAGCTTTTTCATCAGAGTAAGTAACATTACTTCCTGGTGTAAGATGAGGCTTCACATCTTCAACTGCCTCTTCCTCTTTTTCCAATTCTTTATCACTTTTATCAGTTTCAGGCAAACTTTGGTTTTGAGTTACAGTGACACTTGCTTCCAAATTTGCTGGTGTTGAGGTGACTTCTGCAAGATAAAAATTCGCATAATAGAAATTGGCCGAAAGCTTGCTTTTGACCCACAATGAGTGATTAAATCAGCCCAGTTTTGGGTAACTGATTGAAGGATAAATCGTTATCTAGTAAGTGACCTAACTGTCTTTGCCAACAGATAATGTTTCCTTTTTTCCCTACTTTTTTCTCAACAATACTAACCCACTGATTACCAAAATCCAATAGTTTCTAGCAGTTTTTAAGAAGTTTACTTTAAATAGATAATGAGCCTTTGTCACAAAGCAGCCACTTCGTCCCGAGAGACTAAAGTAATCTCTGTTTTACCTGTCTTGCGTCACTCCCAAGTTTTTCACTGCAAAGTCAAGGGTCGTAAAACAAATTTTGTACAGTCTCTCGGGACAATATGGCCGCGGTGTGAATAAGGTCCATAATAAGAGGCCTCTCCAAGAAGGAAGTGAGAGGGCCAAAGGGCTGTGAGCATTGGCCATATTTAAAATGGGCATCACACACACGTTTCACTAACATTGCTTTAACTCTGTGTCTAAAACCAGTCCATGCTGTTTGTGAGAAGTTCATGGAAACATTTCCCTGCTAGCAGAAGCCTCTTTTCTCTAGTATTTGGTGTGCAGAAAAGGAAAAAGTCCTTACATGACCCTTACTGTCAAAGTTAGAAAACCGTGAACACCTAAAAAAATTTCAGGAATGTTGATTGTGTACTGACCAATCACAATAAAGTTCAGGATACGCACGCAAAACTCAAAACCACAAACTAATTACAGTTGTTGTTTGCGGTTTAGTTGTCTCACGCATTGTTGGTTGATTAATTGCAACACAATAACATTCCATAAATATTTCTGGTGTTGAATCACGGTTTTGTGAGTTTCACAGTAAATAATTTGAGACTTTACAAGACTGTAGCTATAAAAAAAAACTTACCCGGTTCATTTTGCCTCACAGGTGTTTGCAGCATTTGAAGTTTTTGTTGCATTGATTGCATGTCTAATCTATTTTTTGACAATTCTTCCCACAACTTGCCTACTTCACTTGAACAGTTGCAAATAACAGATTTCTCTTGAATTGCTTCAATATGTTGATTATCATTCACAGTTCTGTTGACTTGCACCATTTCCAACATCTGGAACAAATTGCGCAAGACAAAAAACAAGGACAACGAACAAAATTTGTTTAATATTAGCCTCCTCATCTTTGAGAGGTAGCTTCTAGCATTATACAATTCCTTTATTTGTACAGCTAATAAAATCATACCACAAACATAATTTCCAACACGAGGGGCACACCAAGTGGTTGCAAACTGTTTTTTTAATTCCTTTCATCACCGGCTTCCCAAGCTCACGTTACGAGAGTGGAAAGTACTTTACTTTCTCACAAGAGAGTTGGTGTCGTGTTACAAGCAACTGTTAAGACGTTGTATGAGAAATAAAATACTGAGGTCTGCAAACTCTAAATATCATTATATTTTACCTTTTTTCTATAAAATATATAAAGGAGACTTACCTTTGATGTATTCCTCTTTCTTTTGGTGTGAATTCATCAATCAAGTCAACTTTTTTGGTGTAGCGATGATATAGAACTTTGCCTCTGGTCGAAAAAGTCTGCAATTCAATGGGTTTTCAAGCCACAAACCATCTTCAAGTAGACAAGGTAAGGACTGCCAGTCGTCTTTCTATGCAGCCTAATTGACTTTGTCTTATGAATGGAGTGTCAGGGGTCACACAATAGAGCCAAAAAGTTGACCAAATCCATGTATTCACACCAAAAAACGCAGAGATACTTTAAAAGTAAGTCTCCCTTATTTATTTGATAGAAAAAAGGTAAAATATAATGATATTTAGCGTTCGCAGACCTCAGTATTTTATTTCTCTTACAACTTCTCAACGGTCGCTTGTAATGTGACGCCGACTCTCTTGTGAGAAAGTAAATTACATTCCACTTTCAACATGTGAGCTTGGGACAGCTGTGTTTTTATCAGCTTTAAAAAGACACATAAAAAATAGACTCATGTAAACAAACACCAACAACAACAAAACAGTCAATAATAATTGATAAGTTCACAAACCAATTCAGCCAACTTTCTGGATTGTCTGTGGACAGCCTCTGAGATTTCAGTGACATCAACTGTCAAATTTAACAGCTGCTCTGCAACATCTCCTTGTTCCTCTCCTACATGTCCTCCTGATTTTATGCTGCTGTTATTGGGGGTCAACACACGAGACACTTTTGTTTGTACATCATCAAGGGTAGCCTGAGAGAAAAAAAAATATAGCTTTCTCAATTTGTTTAAAAACTGTTTGGGTAAAAACAGACAATATGTTGGAGGTGGGTAATCGCTTTCTGGAGCATAATACTAAATACAAAATATAGTTAGAACCTCTCATAAACAATCTGTCATAAGTGACTGCAACCACATTTTGGCCTGATGGTTTTAGAGTTTTCCACTGTTTGTAACCTCGTGAAAATAACCACTTTAATACATGGTGTAGTCTCCTTGTTTGCGGTATGTTCATGTACTACATCACTCAGTATACAAAGAACTTTCAAAGACAACCTCAAACTACACTCATTCGTAACTTAGCAATTGCATGCGGTTCTCTACCAAAAAGTAGATGTGCCAGGACCTCTTCTTGGAATATACACCCTGTATATTCACCTATAAGCACCTCCAATAAATGACCACTAAATATCTGTATTCTGGGAGATCACTTACAGGTGGTGCGACTGTATCTAATCCATCTGGATTAGCTGAATTAACATAACGGTAATTTCATGGTCTCAGTAAGGCACAGCTTAGTCACAGGGTTAAAAACGTCATATAATTTTTCTTCTTAATCTCTCACAAAGAAACCAGACAACTGCCCCAGCCAAATACAAACAGCAGACCTGAAGGGAAAGTTAAACTGCAGCAAGACACGGGGAGGGAGGGCTGTCATAAAACTTACCACATGTTTCTTAACCTCCTCAAGAAGATTTTTCATCAGAAATCTGATCCTGTTGACTTCATGAGATAAAGTGTGATTAACTGATGACACAATTCCCATGATCCTTGCCACCTCCTTTAAAAGTAACGGATAGAGACAAGGCATTAGAGGTTAGAAATTTACAAATCTTTGAGGCCAAGCTTTCTTAACAAAAAACTTGGCTTCCCTTAACAACTGAAACCTTGATCGCAGCTTTTCCAAAAGTGTTATGAGGAATTACTGGCAGTTGCCAATGTTACTTAACCCTTTAAATCCTCAGATCAAAATTAAAATTCTCAGTGTCACCCCTATTCATTTACCATAGAAGCAGTGGGGAGAAGTTGATAAAGTATCAAGCAAATAGATCTTGTGTGATCATGTCCTTAATTCTCATGACCACTCTGTTTTACAAAGCATTGATATTACAAGGAGAAATTTGATGCTCATCACTTTTAGGGTTTAAAAGGTTAATAAAAATAACCAGAAAAGATAAAGAGGAAAGGGCTGCCACCAATTCTTGTATTAATCAAAGAAATGGAAAAAGAGGCCAGGAATCTATTAAGTTTCTTAATACATTCCTGGCCTTAGAAAATTGGCTACAGCTTAGAGGTTACCATGCATGTGAAAAGGCATTTTTATGTGACACCATAATCGGCACTGGTTTTACTCTGGCTGACTTTAAAAGCCAGAAAACATGAGACACTTCCTATACTAAAACCAATAAACATTATATAATGCTACTCAAACATATCAACAATAAGTCTCTCTGTACTTACAACTGAAACTATTGTAGACACATTTTTAAGAGTAAGCTTCTCTTCTGGTTTTGCCCTTTCATCTGAACTGATAGGCATTCGCAAGATCAGTGGTGGGGTTCCAGTATTTTTGGGAGGTTCAGGAGTTGGTTGTCCCATGACTTGAGCTACTTGAACCTGTTTGAAAAATATGACACCAACTTAGAACAGTATTAAAAAAAAGACAATCACATGCTTCAATGCTAGGGAGTCTAAAGTAACTTGCCATTGGCCCTGGGGGGAGGAGGATGGGGGTGGGTGGCTACTTTAGATTTATGGTTACAGGGAGGTGTGAATAGAGACATCAATTTAAATGCAAAACATTTCTTCACACTTGAAGCACCTCTGAACCCAACATACTCCCCCTCACCAAAAAAAAAAGAAGAATAAGAAGAATAGTGAATTAGAACCATACTGAATTTCAAAAACAGGGAAATATGTAACGTGCGAAAGAGACAGTTGAGGAATATTAAAACAAGTGATTTTTAAAACAACAAATGTGTGCAGATTATACATCCATACCTTAAATATTTCATTAACTTTTTTCTACTCAGAATCTATTCATTTTGGTGAATTCCCAGAAAAACCTTACAGTTAGGGTTAGGGTTGGGCAACTCATGACTCATGATCAATGACTCATTAACCCATTTGCACTTAATTCTAAGAAAAACCCAGTAAAAACAAATTATCAAACAAAATAAAGTTTTCTTAACCAAAAAAGTCCTGAAATAGTTTCAAACCCAGAATAATCCTCTGTGCCATTAGGAAAGCTAGAGCAAAACCATGACATGGTTTGTATTCAAACTAACCCATAAAAAAGTGATGGCATGTTCTCCTTACCGAAAGATTAAAAAACTTGTTTGTCAGCGTGTTGACTTGATCATTTTGCTTTCCAGCTAAATCCGTAAGCTGTTTTATTTTATCTTTGACCTCAGTTATATCACCTCCAGTGTCTGCCATTCCCTTTTTCAGTAACTGAATGTCACCAGTGATTTTATTTGCACTTTCTGGACTTTCTACTCTCTTTTGCAAATCATTAACTGTTAAATTCAAATGAGCAATCTGAAAAAGAAAAAGAAAAAGTAAGATACTCTTTCTGAATAGTTAAAGTGTAAGCACTTACTCAGATTTGTGTTCCCATATTATAGAGGCTGCTAATACAGGTTTTACTGTGGAAGACTCAACAAAATTGCTTCCGTCTAACAATGGATGAGAGCACTGCAATGTAATCTTAATTGCACTATGTAGAAGCCAGATCACTCACCATAGGTTTCCAAATTATCTGGAGTTAAACCAAAGTCTATCAGTATTCAAAAGACCTCTTAGGCAGGGCTGACATTGAGTTGATCTAAATATACAAGTACCATAAGCTCCGGGGGATTTCTTCAAAGCAATGCATTCCTGTCGTCTTTAAACATGTCTTCTAGCTTACCTGCTTAAGAATTGATTTATAATGCTCATTTTCTTGTTTGATGACTTCATTTTCACTCTTCTTCAGTGCATCATACTTGCTACTAATGTCTTTACTGAGGTCCCCATATTCTCTTGTAGTGCTTCTATCAAATGACTCCACTGTTAATAAAAGACAAGACAATTTAGGCTCATGCACATGCAATACCCAAAGTTGCACTTGAACAAATCTGATGGTATTTTTCAAAGTAACCAAAATGAAGTTGCCAACACTGGTTTCTGCAGTGTGATGCATAAAGAAGGATTACTGTCATATCCCTTCAACCCCATACTAGGCCACAACAAGATTATTCTTTTATTATGAAGTAGGCACTATTTTCTGCATAGAAGCACCATTACAGTAAATTTTTACAAGCAAAATAACCTTGAAACAGTAACTTGAAAAGGCTTGAGGTTAATCAAATGGCAACCAAAAACAAAAAACGTTGCATTATAACTCAGCCTAAAAAATGTCTTTCTTTTCATTAGGTGAAAGGGAAGTGTTTTTAAATTCAGATTTGAAACATGCATACCCCCCCCCGCCCCCTTTCCCTCTCAACCAAATGTCTCAAAATGGATCCAGGAGTGGCAAAGCTGTGTAGAGCAAAATTTGCATTTTGTATTTTTAGCAAAACTCTGACAATCTACTCTAGAAATAAACACACAAACAAAAAAAAAAACAAAGTTAAGAAAATAAAGTTTTCAAAAATTTAATATAAAATAATTTTATTATCAAGAGTTCACAAAAATAATATATTTATTGGAAACAACCTTCACATTTTGAGGACAAAAGAAAGGAAATGTTAAAATTATCTAAGCGTACAACATTCTCTTTTGTTCTGGTATTTCTGGCATTAATAATGTATATTTCTCAACATTAAAAATTTAGAGCATGTCACTAGCAATGAGTGTGGAACTTAGTGAAAACCAAAAAAAAACATTTCAAAGAAGTAAAAATTGATACATATATTGAGAAAATTCAAGAAAATTTACTGTGCTAAAGGAGATACCTCATCAACCTTTTAAAGTTTCTGAAAAATACTGCCATTTCTGTGACATTATGTACAGTACAATATACATTCATATTTAAATTTCTCTTCATATGAGAAAAAAATATTCCGTACGGCTGTAGCTGTGAAACCAACCAATAAAACAAATTTCATTTTAAAAACTCTTTCCTTCAGCATACCACTGGGAACGTGAATAAAACGTTGTTATACAAGTAGGCACTTAAATAAACAACTCGGGAGGTATCAGATACGGTATATCCGTATTGTATTTTGTAAATATTAGGAACCAACGTACAAAACATTTAAGAGACATCAACAACCGCGCGCGTCGAATTTGAAAAAGCAACTCTTTCATCTACTTGACTACTTGAGGGATACACTTCCAACGTATAAACAAGAATTTTGGTTTTGAACCAGCAAGACAATGTAAATATATTTGTTATTCCCTTGAAATCCGAATATTATTACTTTTTGTTTATCAAACGCCGAGTGGTAAAAATAATTCGGAGATAAAGGAAAAATGTTTTCACAAAACTAAGATTTCTATGCCTACGGCCGGCACGAGCCGGGTAATAAATTTTCATTCAATGTACAAAATCGGTCTCCACAGTCTACATTGTTTAACTCGATTATTGAAACCTACGCTTAGACTGTTACTTATTTTATAACTGATCAAATAGTAGTGTTTCAAGAGCCCTTGTAAATTCATTATAATATAAGCAGGTCGTACAATATACTGTATATCCATAATTAGCCATTCGATCGCGTGTCTGAACATTCGAGATTTAAATGTAAAATTTGCTTCCCGATGTTTGTTCTGTGCTAAAAAAATTCAGACTAGCTCGAAGTGTTTGGTGATTATTTCTTAATTTTCTCAAAGTGAATAATTGATGAGCTTCCCAATGAAAGAAGAACTCTTGATCAGAAAACTAATTTTCAAGACCACAAGCTATCGGAAAATCACGACACGCTCCAGGGTGAATAGAAAAACACCAGTGTCCACGTTCATAATAATCTCTTGACCGCGAACAACATTAAATGCTTATTAAGGAGTGGTCGGTACAAGCCAAAATATTAATATTTTTCAACTGTAAGGTGTGTGAAGAAAAGTTTGACGCCTTGGTGAATTTGCTTGCGATTATTACTTCGACAGCATTCAAGCATGATCAGTGAGAATGAAAACCGCACCTATGAACTTCCTTCAGTGCGGGGTTTGTAATAAAAAGATTCAGAGAAAAGAGTTAACAATCTGGGCATCCGGTATAACATATTTCCTGTATTAAAAAGCAATGAAAATGCAAATTCATACTGTGCACAGACTCGAAATCAAGCCATTGAAATTTGATCCCAAAGAGTGATACAAGAAACTCCTCGCCACCACACTCACCTTTGCTCAAGCGTTTCCTCACGAAGTCCAAATCACGCTTCAGTCTTAGACTGAACCACCCCAAAACGACTACACATAAAACCGAAGCAATAAGAAGTACAGACAGGAACACAGAAGCGCATACACGACAGCAGCCACATCGCCTTCTGAAACGTTCGAAAGTGATTTTTCGTGAATTCATAAAATTTACAAAGCAAAGTAAAAATACCAGAGAAAAATACAAGCACAAGCTCTTTCTATGCTCTTTAAACAAGAGGTTTTGTCAGCGCCAAAGTACCTAACCTTGCAACAAACGTGGACTTGCCCGGTTTTATAATTCTCTTCTTTGGCAGAGGAAATTCCTGCAGGTCGGAGTCCGATTCGTCGTCAGAGATGAGCGTGCCATTTTTTCTTGAAGAAAGCTTCATTTTGGTTTTATGCTTTCCCATCACAAAATCTGACAATATCCATGGTCTTTATATAGAACTAATTGACTATATTTGTTTCAGACGAAACAGTTGTTGAATTTGTTATATTCGTAAGCATAACATGCTGAATGGATGCAAATCCACTAGACGGAGGATACATAAATCACTAAGATTAAGAGGGGACTGGGTACCACAACACGAAGTTTTAATGACGTAGCGATAAGCGTTTCAACTCTTTCACGAACATAGGAATATTTTGAGGCAGTAAAATAACGATACTTCAAGCAAAAATGGAACAGCGTTGATATAATTTTAATTTTATGACCGAGATGAAAGAAAATCTTGCTTCTAATGACATCTGGGACAATAAGTATCAAAGCAGATTAAATTAAAATAATAAGCAGAAAGGAAATGTAAAAGAGAAGTGACATTGGACTTAACCCAAGAAATCAGCTGAAGAAATTAATAGCAGTTCTAGAACAAATAAACAAGCTGTCTTGTGTACCTTTTGATATTTCAGTGAAGTTGTTGTAATCACACATTCATTATGTTAAAATGTCATCACCTTATTTCTAATTAAATTGTCGTAATAAGTGAGTCACAAGTGTCCATAAGAAATTTTATTGTTTTAAAAAGTGCTAAAACAGTTATACTGTCTTGTTCTTTCTTAAAATTAAGGAACAAAGACCCAAGTCTCAATCTACGATACTGGTTGATTTAAATTCTTAGGAGGCCGGTTTTATATAAAAAAATTTTTGCAAGCCTTGTATTGTTTGTTTGCTTGTTTCCTTTATATATTTCATACAACACAATTAAGTTAGTGCAGCAAGGACTACAGACATTTTTTATCGTCCAATAGTACAGTGGCCCTTAAAACCTGAGCTTACACAGTTGGTTTCCAAATGGACTCTATGAGTTACATGTAATTGCAGGCGACAAGAGGAGCACGCAGCCTAATCTTGACTTGGTCAGCGGCACTTTATTAACTGTATAGTGAGATTTTGCTCGATCTGTCCACATTCTTGAAATTCCCGTGTTCTTCCGACTAATATGCACGGTATGTGGCCGTGAAGGCCCAAGTGTTGAGTTTAAGGTCAGTGTGATGTCATGGGAATCACATGAATGCACATACAAGTGATGCAACAATCATTATTACATTCGATTTACAAGCACACGAAATTCAGGTTCACAAGTACTGTACTAAATGGGAGACTTTTCGATTTGCCTTGCCAGCATGGAAATTACCCAGGAAAATAAAAGTGGAGCCTGATCTCTGACAGCTTAGTGCAGGACAAGTTTTCAGTAAGATACGAGTGTTAGCAAAGTCTAGAAATCGATGAAAGTTTCTTCAGGTTTTACTACAGAGCATGGTTTTTTTAATTTATTTCCAGTTTCAACTTCCATCAGGCCACCTTTTGCGTTTATGGTTGTCAAACCAACACAAACTTTTTAGATAAGTTTATCAGTTAACCATTCCCTAAGCACCAAAAAATTCTGAAATGTTAACAATGGTTTTCACTGAGCAGTTTCACTCAACCTTTGAAACATATTACTTTGAGCACCAATTAATAATAATAATACAGCATAGTAACCTGTACTTACATGAAGTAACTCTTTTCTTCATGGTTTCAAGCGAAGTTTTCAGTATGAATGTAAACCACATCATTGAAAACATTGTAGCAAGGGTGAAGAGAACAAAAATCACTTGAAGAGCATTCCATGGTGAGTAGCAACCTTTTGACTGAGGAGTTACTTGAAGTTTTCTAATGTAAAATAACAATAACATTACACACTTAATGATAATTCAACAAGAACAAGAATTAAATGGAAAAAAAAAGTTATTCAGGTCTCCCTCTGAAGACACACAGCATGTGTCCCCATGTCATATGAACAGGTTATCCTGGTATGTGATGCTCAATGGGGTGTGGTTTTTGCTTTTCTGACTCTGGAACAGGGTATAAAAATCAACCTTTATTTCTGGAAGAGGAGTGGTCTGCAAACAGGCTCCCCAAGCCACAGTTGCAATGAATAGCTTCACTTGGCGATTTTCATTTCGCTCAGCTCCACTTGGGAGCCTGTGCACAGGCTAGAAGAGGGGTATACTGTATGTACTTCAGTTTGACTCTATAAATTAAAAGAGTTGATTTTTTTTTCCTATAATCCCTGAATTCTTGAGCAAGCTTTGGTGTAAAACTATGCTCCTCCTGTTGTTTCATAACTGAGCTAGCCACAGACAAAGCTGGCCAAGTGAGTTCTTGTTACATAAGCCATTCCCTGTCAATTTTACAAAATAGTTTCCATGTTGCCGTGCGTCTTTGTTCAGTAATAGATCAGAGATGAAATCAAGATTTGGTTAGGACAAAAAGTGGCATATGAGCTTCAGGTGCATATGTCACTGATGTTCTCACCACAATTTGACATGTTCTGTCATCTATTATTGAACAGATGCATAGCAACATAAAATCTTTTCACCTTGTACCATAAATAGAAAATAAAAATGACAAACTTCCTTGCACCGCTTGACCGTTGGAGGAGTTTTTGTGCAAGTTGAGGCGTTTTCCAAGTGACAAAAATTACATTTTGTCTATGCTTCTTCTTTTCTACTCTATCTTACTTGTAGACAGTTTCTCCCAAATGTTTTTTAAGGCCTTCACCTGCTCAAACAGGGTGCAAAGAAAGTACTGTCTGATAGCCCGGGGCTAGTGGATTCTGCTCTTAACTTGCCTGACGGGCAAGTGACGTTTTTTGAGGACTTCAAATTACAGAAGAACTGTGAAATCAGTTCTGCTCATCAAAACGTTTTTGGGGCTAATATATGCTAGCCCCAAGTATATGCTAGCCTCAGCTTGCCCGAGTGGCAAGCTGTAAAAATGACTTTCTTTACACTCTGTCAAAGTAGAATCATTGCCGAAACATTTTCAGAACTGTGAGTCTCACATACCAATGACACGTGATGGCAACTGCTGTGAAGATTTATTCCACTTTTGGCTTCTTCAAGTAGTCAAGAGCTCATTTTGTCTTGGTTTCTCTGGTTTTTCTTACTTGTACACAACTCTTGTTAAACTTTTTTTCAGACATTCACTTGCTTAATCACAAACTTTTTCAAAACCATGTGTCATGTTAGACCACACAAAGAAGACAAGTTTGCAATGATGTCAATCAAGTGCCTGCACTCCAGCAGATCATAAGCAACCACCAATCACATTGTGCGTGGCATTCACCACATTGTATAAAACGAGTTACATACATTTTTTTTGCATCAGATGGAATTTCTGTCTTCACAATTATTGACTGGAAATGGGTTCAAACTCATCTAACTTTGTCTGGTACAGGTCTAGAGCACACTCCTGCGGTAAATTTACAGGAGTACCCTCCGGGACGAAGATGTGCTACCTCCATTAACTTTAATACCGTACAATTTCGAAAATAAGCCCCAAGGCTTATATTTTTCAAAGGCCCTTTTTGCGGGGCTTAATTTTGGAGGGGGCTTATATTCAGAGGGGCTTATGTATGGAGGGAAGTTTGCGTTCAAAAATCGATTGGGCTATAGCTTATAGTTGGAAGGAAATTTACCGTTTTTACCTTTTTTACTTTGTATTTGGGGGTAACTTCCAAGTACAAGCCCCCGCGGGGGATTTACCGGAGGGTTTTTTGCGGTACAGGTTTGGGGGGGCTTATATTTTGGAGGGCTTATACATTTACGGTAGTTGCATTGCGTTGCATTGTAAGAGTGAAAAATACTTTTACATGAACACCCTTTTAAATGATTCGTGTTATCATTGTATTATTAAAAAGATTGTGTTGTAATCGTTACCTTGATTTCGGGCGTCTGAGTCGTGTTGGCGGCAAATCGAGTGGTGGTACATTGGTGTCCGATTCACTGCTTCTGTTACAACGATCATTTCCTGAGTTATATGCAATCAACAACGATTCCTCCTTACTTCGTTTCGCCTTCTTTGAATTCATAGCGATAACAATCGAATTCCACCTTCCTCAAAAATTAACAGTTTGCTTTTCCGTTCTTAGGAAATATGCATTGGAATCCACTTATTAAACTCATCTGAAGAATGAAGAAAACTGCTTCTTCGATTGTCAGTGTTCTGTCAGATGTATTAAACAACACAAAGCCATTCCTCATCTCGCAAACGAACAGGACTCAGTCGTTTACAGAACGCCTACATTGATTTTCGTTACTCGCTGCACTTTAAAAAGGAAGAAAGATATGTTCTTGGGCCAAAATCACCCGGAGAAACAGTCAGGCAGAATTGCTTTCGGACAACGGTTTCTTTCACATTCACGGCCGTTCGTTTCCAATTTTATTACTTCTATGGTAGGGTAAGTCTGTTTCCCCTTCTGTCACACGTTGGGGATATTTTTTGCCTCATTCCCAGGGCTCTTGCAAAGGTGCAGAAAGTACTCGAAAGTACATGGATATATAAATCATTAAAATATTTTAGTATTCCCAAAAGTGTGTCCTGTGCCCTGTTTTTTCAATTTGCGGTCCACTATTTTACACCAAGGTGGTCTACACTTCTAGAAAAAAACTGTACAATTAGTTTTCAGATGATGAAGATGTGCGCACGCCCCACCCCTAGCACTCCCACTGTGTTCTATTTTCTACCGTAATAGTGAACCGGTGTCAGACGAATTCCAGTTTTACTTCTATTTATCATTTTAAGAAAGCATTCAATTCCGTAGCTTTTAACTGCAAATACATGTAGAAAACAAGTTTTCTACTAGGAAATTTTTTTTGAAATGTCCTGGGCTCTTGTCGTGACAGGATCCCATTGTTGTTCCTGCTCTGCACTATATATATGAAAAAATAACATTGTCAGAGCTGCAATTTTGATTCAATATCAACTATGATATGAAACAGTCATCAAACAGCTCTTTTCTGTGAAGTTTGGAGAGCTTCCAATCATATGGCGATGGCGAAAGACAAACCCCCTCCCTACCCTACTGGAGATTAATCGCCCTCAAGAGTGTTTTTTTGAAAGTCCTTTTCGGTCATTGTTTAAATTTTATCACTTTTATTCGTATATCAGAATAAAACAAAAAACTAAAGAAATTATAATTACAGCAATGATCTTTTTTTAAAAAATATCGACAGTATCAATGTCATGATCACCCCTCCCATAGCCGGTAAAAGATTTGTTTCCCCACCTTTTGGCAGCCCGCCATACGTTCAGAGACAGTTGGGTAAAATTTTGATTTTCGTCCAGAAGAAATAAGCGGGATGGTCATGAGAGGAACACGTAGAAAAATGGTCGATCAAAAACCTCAGCTTTTCTTTGAAGTCAAGGAGTTGCCACAAATTTTATTTGCCGTGGCTTACAAACTCTCACTCACAAAAAGTCACCCGAGATTTCAACTTCTGAACGACAGGTCTTCGATGTGGATCACCGGGTCATCTAGTTGGGTCTCTTAATTTTCATTGCACTGAAAAGGGAGTTATTGAACAAGGTGAGGCAAATTTGTATGTTATATCTTACGTCTCCGTTTAGAGTTATTTTTAACTTGACTAAAAGATTGTCCCTTGCTTCTAACAAAATCAGAAAATTCATGACAGACCGTTTTGCTGTTCGTTTCACATCAAAGGCCCCGACAAAGGTCTCTTTTAACAACCGTTTACAGTTCATAAACCTAACATCAGCTTTTTCCCACGAAGCTAAAAATCTCGAAGCTACGTGAAAAGGTGCCAGGTAGTTAGATTTATATATCTTAATTCATAAAGGCTGCTTTTAAACACACATGAATTGAAGTCTCTCATGAATAAGTCTCTTAGGACCCGTTGGAAGCCAAGAAATTTTGAATATTTTAGAAATTTTGCTAATTAAAAATTCAAACCCTAATAAGCATATTCAAAATTTCAACCTTTTAGATTTTTCGAAAACTTTTTCGTTTATCTTTATTTTATTATATAAAGAAACACTAGTGTAAGTTTTGAGGTTGGAATTTTTACTCAAAAAGCATGCATCTTCAGTAAACAGTTATTGGGCAAGTGAGTAAAACGCAAAAATACTGAGGGCAATAGGTACATAAAGATTTCCTAATTTTATGGTAACAAGATCACATCCCTTCGGAGAAAAGTAAATATTAAAACCACGCACAGTGATTTATCATTTTTTGAAATACTTTGACTACAAAACCCAACCACCTCTGTAGTGATGACATTGACGATGGCAAATTGAAGGTGATATTTTATAGAAAAATATGAAAGATATAGCAGATTTCTACATCAAGAGCGCAATATTCTGCTGCTGTTTTTGGCCCCATTCCACGATATATCAGATGAAAAATGCATTGCTGATTCCACCTTGCCATTTACCTAATGAAATAGAATTAGAATTGAAGAAAATTGCAGGGTTTAATTTATATATCAGATAGATATCAGAAAGATATTCTTTTTAAAATCAGTTTCCTACATATACAAAAGAAATGCCATAATTCCACTTAAATTCACCCCCTCCCCTCTGAAATAGGCCTTAGACACTCCCCAAAATAGATTCTTCCCATAATTTCCTCTTTCTCTCACATATTTGTGCATTTCACACCGATTTTAAGCTTCTTTCTGCATTCCAACAAATTTCTGTTGGACCATTATATATTTGCATGTGCCTTGTGAGACAAGCTATTATCCATGCCATCAATTAACCCAGAAATTTAAGACAGAGTACTTGAATGTGTTTTTTTGCAACCTCTAAGATTAACATCAATAGAACTGCAGCAAAGCTAAAAATCAAATTCAAAAAATTTCTTTATATCTCAACTGAAATTGTTTACTTTCATTCAGATTTGCAGCAATAATATTGCTGAAAAAGCTTAAGGAAAGTACATGATTGACTTACAGAAATTGTACCAAGTTACTAGCTTCTCACTGAGAAGAAGTAGAGATTTGGTTCTTGCAGAAAAACTAAATCTGTCTAGCCAAAAGAATTCAAATAATGTCATCAAAAGTCTAGGTTATCTCTGCTACACAAGACTATTATAGAGGCCTTCTTCACAAAGAGACAACTGTTTTTATTGTTATTGACCAGAGGCAAAATTCACTCCCGTAAGTCAAAAATTTTAAAAACCAGAATTCATCTGCAAAATCTAAAACAAAGAACAGAAGGTTTATGAAAATATTTTGAGTACAGGATAACTTAAATTCGTTATGAAAAATGCCTAATGCTAGATCCATGGTTTATTTTAATAGGCAGTATTTAAGAAGTTGTGACGTCCCAGGTTTTCCACCCTTTGACATTCCATTCCCAAAAGATCATGTAAATTTTCCCCGCACAATTTCTTACATTTTTTTTTTACCTTGACTACTGTTTATATTATGCAATAGTTCTTAGACCCTGAGGTGTTTTGTTTGAGACAGGAGCTTGTGACCATGGCACCGCCTAAATCCCTCGCCATTTTCACCATTGTTTTGCATAATTTTACTTTTTGGCTTGCTGCATGTGAGGAGAGAAGGATGATTGCTTGCCATCTAAATAGTTTTGCACTTGGTTGAATTGTGTGCCAAAATAACAACAAATTGGAACATTACAAAAAAATTTTAAAAAATCATGCTGTGTTCAAATCAAATTTTTTTTTGCAGGTGTGTTGTTTCCTTAAAAAAATGTTTTTTTTTAGGAACTGTAATGGGTGCTTAAACATTATTATAGCAATACAGTGGAACCTTGATGTAATTAAGCCTTTAAGCCCCAATATCCACATATAAATTCTCCATACTGATCTTCATACATTTCTTTAAAGAATTAGTTGAGAGAGTTTGATAACAGATCAAAGCATTTTCTCTTTAGTGATCATTTTATTAACTATTATAACCATTCCTCTTGGCAATATATGGATATTGTTAGGAGAAAACAGAAGCATATAACCCGGGGTTATATGCTTCTGGAGAAAATTGATGTTGGTCACTATTGGAGCTTAAAGGGTTAAGGACCAAGGGACCGGCAAAATTTGTTTGCAGTAACGAGGTTTCGTTATGTCAAGGTTATTTTTCATATACCTTACTATTACTGCGGTAAAGAAAATCATTTGTTATACTGAGGACTTTGTTATATCGAGGTTCCACTGTTGGTAGAACAATGTTGCCCACCCCTCCCCTTTAGGTTCTCTTTTGTTTGATCCCTGAAATGCCCTGTTAGGGTAAATCTATGCTTGTAAACATTTTGTACTAGCCTGTGTAGCTGTCAGTCTTGTCTGCTGATCACACAAATGATCAGGGATGCTGCAAAAGTGGGCATTGTTAGTTGTTTCCACCTTACTCTTCTCTCATTTTTTTCATTTTAATCACTCACCATTGCCCCCACCCACCACCCCCTAACAAAACTGCAAACAATGCAGGCTAATTTTGTACAAAAGTTCCATCGGCTCATTCAGGACAAGTCAGGGAGTTGATTTTCTTGCTAGGAAAGTACTGTAAAATTCCGAAAATATGCCCCACCATGTATAAGCCCCTCCAAATATACGCCCCCCAAATTCGTAACGCAAAAATGGAAATTGCCCTCAAATACAAAGTAAAACAAAGCAAAAATGGTAAATTTCCTTCCCACTATAAGGCTAGCCCAATCGATTTTGAAATGCAATTTCCCTCCATAGATAAGCCCCTCCGAATATAGGCCCCTTCAAAAATAAGCCCCTCAAAAAGGGCCTTTGAAAAATATAAGCCCCGGGGCTTATTTTTGGAATTTTACGGTAACTTTTTAAGCTCACTTACCAATGGGCAATGGTCCTGGGGCGGTTATTTGGATTAATTTTAGGTGAGTACTTTTCCGCTGGCCTTTCAGAACCCTACCTCATTATAGCCCATTCTGTGGCCAGTACACCCCATCTTGGTCACTTTGAAAAAAATCTTATAAACTAAAAAGCCTTTTAACTAGGTCATCCTGTAATGAATTGACACATTGTAGGAGCCCATAACCTGGAGTGAGCAACTCCCATACTAGGCCTATGTCACAACGTTTTTATGGACCAGTTTATTTTTAGACACATTTTAGGGCATTTTTTCCCGCAAAAAAAGAATCTCCTCCATGTCTGTGAGCACATTCAAAGTATAACATATCAAAAAGGAAAACTAAAGGTTATTAAAAGGCAAAAAATATCATTTTTAGGTCCATAGGATTAGTTGACTGGTTTGTGGAATTTAAAAATATATTCAAAATTCACGCCAAAACTGTTCCAAAAATAAACTGGTCCATGACAACACCGTGACACGAATGCATGGAAGTTGCTCACTCCGGGTTATGGGCTCCTGCATATTGTTAAGCTTAATGTGGTAAAAATCTTCCCGAAAATATGCTACCCCATTCTGTTAACTCTACTGAAAATGCATCCCCATTCCAGTCAAGTCAGTGGTGAAAATGTGACCCAATCCAGCAACACATCCCCATTAGCCTACTTCTAGGACGTTCCCCCACCCCCCCTTCCCCCTTCCACCCCAGGGGGTAAGGGTTCAGGCTGGTCAAAAATCATCAAGACAAAAAAGCAATGGCCCCATGCAAGCAAAATTTGAGACGGCATCAGAACAATTTAATTTTTTCACTGGATCGTTACATCCTATGCTTCTGATTATGACTCAGACTCTGACTCCATCAAAATTTGAGATGGAATCAGAATGCTGTTTTCCCTAGATTGTTAAGTTGTGGGTGGGGGTGGGGGTACTCCTTGGAATTCTGGGTAGGGATGTGCCACCTTGTTCTCCAAGTACTGACCCTATTTCAGACCAGAAAATGTCATTTTTCACACTGGTTTTTCAGACCACAACGCTTAACAGTGCAAAACACCTACCCTTAGGGGTGGCACTAGCATGAATTTCATACGATTACTTCAAGTCGTTATTACTCCCTCGGTAATATCTGAATCGACCAGCCGTTAATGCAGTCCAGTGACGTCATGTCTCCTTTGCGTTAATTCATACAAAGAGTAAAACACGATTTTCAAGTGGCAAACCAAGAAATATCGTTTGGAAATGTCTACATAATACAAAACAGCTGACAGAATTTCTTTACTCTTTTCGATCAAAATTCATATTTAACATTCAAACTATCAACTACATGCAGCACTCTGAACCGGCTGTAATTCAAACTCGGCGCGATTGTGCAATGAAATAAATACACACACAGAACACTTTGTTCAAAAACACAACAATTTCCTTTAATTGAAAAGAATTGGTCCTTAACAAAGAGAAAAGAAAACATGGAAACAAGAAAGAAAAGCTAACAGAATCATTACACTTGACGGTGAAAATTATTAGCAAGAAGGTCGAATGATAACATGACATTGGTCTCAGAAACCTCGCTTAAACAAAATCACTGCAGAAACCACAAAGCGGCTCTCACTTTAGCTATTTAGTTTCGAAGACAAGGGCAATTTTGCTATTTACGATAAAGATCATCGAAATGTTTGAAACTCCACATGCATGCTACCGATGCGATCCGCTGAATATCAAGTGACAATCCCGCTAAAATTTCTCATAATTATACTTAATTATGCAAATGTTTAGACAATCAACCAATCAAAATCACTAGCCAGTTTTTGGGTAGTAGTGACGTCACTGGACGTCATTAACAGCTGGTAGATTCAGACATTGCTGAGAGGAGAAAACGACTCGAAGCAATTGGATGAAATTCAGGCTAGGGTGGCACATACTTATATTGCTCATATAAGGGAGTACCCCTCCCAGGGTTAAGTCCTACGCTTCTGATTATGACTCAGACTCTGACTCCATCGCTAGTGAAAACCAGCTTTAAATGATCACCTACCATTGATTTGTTTGCCCTCTGTAAAGACCCACAGTGATGTTTTCTCAGCTGCATATTCATGCCAATCTTCACTAGTATATTGTAATCCATTTTGGTCTGACACATGGCCCAGTAGGCTTTCTTGTAACCCAATTAACGTGAATTTGCCACTTGTATTCTGTTACGTTTTAGGTAGATATTATTGGTCATATTATTATCATAGTTATTGCTATTGTTATGATTACAATTGTGATTATTTATCCTCTGAGCGGAAGCTATCCTGCCAATTCCAAGCTCTATACCTTAATTAGTTGGATATGAACAGGGCAAGATGAAAAACTTTTAAAAAATCTTTTGCTGTTTGAGCAAGCTGTTGCTGAAGGTTACTATCATTCATGTTATCTTGGAAAATGTTGATTGCCCATTTGGCAACTTTTATTAAAACATGTTGGCCCAACAGGTTGCCTCATTAGCCCTCCATTAGGCAACAGACCTTTCTCAAGGTTTTTTCCAACTTTTGACATGCACATGTTAGGGAAAATCTGTTGACACCACCGGAAAGAGTGTCTTAAAACATAATATTAGTATAATTACTAAGTTTAAAAGTAATTTGTTGAAAACTAACAAAGGTATATAGTTTTGTTTGCTAAATATTACTTGTACATAAATAAGTTAGCTCCTAAAGATTTATCTTTGGATGAATTTAAGGCTAAAGTCAGTTGGAGATATGATTTTGAAAAACCCCCTCCTTCAATGAGTTAGTAAGTATCCCATCTTGCCGGAATAATCTGTTAATTAGCAGGTCTAATGTTACTGTGTGAATTATTACAACTGCTGTATTATTTTTATTTTTTCTCGTCTTTATGTAATTTCGATCCACTCTGTAATATCGTTATAAACTTTCTTTTATTTTTAAATTTTGCAATAGCTCCTTAAAGTTGTGAAATTTTATGGATGTTTATGTATGGTGGGGGCACAAACTTGCCCCTCACCATACAAACGTCTGCTAATTTTCTTAACTTTGCAGAGTTCTTTCTTCGCTCGCTTAAGACGTACTACTTTCATATTTGGCAATTTTACTAATTTTAAGGTGGTCTTTCCAATGGTATGGATGGATTTTCCCTAACTGGTCCATGTCCAAAGTTGAAAATACTGTGAAAGGGTCCATTGTTGGTTTGCGCCTGACATCACGGTGGCCATGTTGGTAGTCAAGAACAACAGCATTTCTCTCCTCTGGAAACTAAACACCAATTTCATGTAAATTCTTCGAGAAAAATGTTATTGTATTGGCCACCAACATGGCCACTTTGTCACGTGGTTGCAAACTAAGTATTGTTCAACACTTTTCTGATGTTTTGTCAGCACAAATGTGGCCCACTGCTGAACACACACTAACTAACGAAATGAGGCAGGGAGTGGAGATCTAGCACTGGGACATAGGTATCCAAATGATAGACAAAGATATGTCGTGTGTATGTTGTGACGAGAAGAATAAGAAGAGAATGATTGTTTGGCCTTTATTTCCAGTTCTTTCAGAGGTGCAGCTTTTTTTAATGTATTGTGCAAGTTACACTTTAATATTCCTCCACCATAGTTGTTTTTTTTTATATCATCCACACTTGTCAGCCACAAAATGGGAGTTAACTTTCTCTAGAATGCGGGTGTTGTTGTAATCAGCTTGACCTTTTCCCTTACAAGATTGACTTGATAACGGACGACAGAAGTAACACTGAATTGATTAACTTCCACTTAATTGACATCACAATACACACCCACATAGTTCCTGTTATGATTGTTTTCAAAATTGGGCTTTTGTTCTTGGTAATTTCATAAAGACATTTGTGGTTAGTAGCATTAAGTTTATTTACTAAATCGTTTAAACAAGTTAGTCTTGCATATTTAGATTCAGATCCCTACGACTACAAAACGACGGAATCTTTCATGACAGTGCCCTGTGACGTGAATGAGACAGAAAAGATTGTACAGAGTTATTGTTCTCCATCAGTTAATCCTAGATTTTGTGGTTAACGAAGAATCGATATCATAGGTGCAGCTCCTTGTAGTTGCACCTAATATGGTTAGATGCTTGGCCTTCTAATCCATCCTATCTCTTTGATATTTTTTTCACTCTGCCCACTTCCTGTTGATGACTGCGTTTGTCCTCCGCCTTACGGAACGCTAGTACATGTCCCGCTCTTGATTAGTGTGTTTCCGCATCATCGTGTAGCAAATCTGGTTTAATCACTCGCGTTTCTTTCATTGAGTGGATATAAGTTCCTAAGTGTGTGTTCTGCGGCATTTTCTAATAACGACAGAACAGTGTGACCAACTGATGCGATAGCTATTGTTTTTAACTCGTTTGAAACGCCTTTTTGAAAGCGGAAATGGAGATCTTTTATTTTTCTTAAAAGGGTATTTTTCATGATTTACTCAAGAGGTTGACCCCACCCACGACATCACGCGGTCTTTTCTTGAAACTTCCTGTTCTCGACTGACTTAAGAGAGCAATACGTGACGATGTTACCCTGATCTCAGTAAGGGTATTATACAAAGGCAATTATCGCTAAGCCGCCTTTCGATCTTCCCCATTGTTTTGCAAGCTGGGCTTGACGAAGTATGACAAATCAATTACTACTGCGCTCGTGAATTTTCTGGGAGAATTTAGCTCGACATGTTTTCGTGACAGCCTAGAAAGTTGACGTGCGGGTATGATCCATTTTCGTTTGAGCATATCGTTGCTCTTGAAGTGAACTTCAACAAGCTGATTACGTTATTTAATATTGAATGATGTTTATGTCACTGATGCATTCTTATCAGGAGAAACACGATCATAACAACTAGATGAAAAGTATCGTAGGTTACGAATCCAATGGTAATTGAATTTTAAGACCGATGTTTTTTAAAAACAGGAAATGTTAAGCTGGCGAAGGGTTAAAAGAAGTGTTTTGATAACCGGGTGCGTTGAGAAAGATCGTCAAAATACCGCTACATAACAAGCTCTGAACAACTAAGGCGTCATTTCCGATTGACTTTTAACTTATTTTTCGTTTAATACAAAATTGTTATCAAAAGCTATTTTCTGACTCCGCAAACATGCTTTTGTTTATAAATCGTAAATTGTAACACTTTGATCTTGTTATCACCGGCATTTAACCAAAGAATCTTCAATTTCTACAAGTGTCGTGCGTCCAAGTTCATTTTTTGGGGGTCTGTACATGAAACTTCAAAGTGCGATAGTACTAGATGACAGCTACTGAGAGGCACTCTACAAACTTTGCTGTTTTCCCTTTTTTTTCATAGGATGTTTCTCTAAAGTAAGACGTTTGCACTTCTAAGTTTTAATCGCATATTAAAGGTGTTTGCAATGGGGGTATTAACCTTCGATAAGTTCGTGACTGGGCAGGCCACAAAATAAACTAAAAAAAACTTCTTCTCTGGAAGTCAACCTGATAAGTGAGGATTTTTCTAAAAGGTCTTAAATACGACCACAATATGACCAGTTACGACCGCAAGGCGCCTGACAATTCACATCTGTCCATCAAAATTGTTTCAGAAAGTTTGAAAAGGTTTTGTCTCAGGAAACTGTGGTTGCAACAAATTCCTCGCGATCTTTACTCAAAATATTTACCTGCCTCTTTACGTAGCTGTTCTTTTTCTGGAAAAGAAAACAAGTAGATGAAAATAATCGTGGGTTATGTAACAGCAATGTGCAGATGCGGATATATAAAGCTGAAGCAACAAAATCTTTCAGTTTCGAGCCATGCGCTGGAGCAAGAAAAATAAATTCTTATAATTACTAGGTAATTATCATTTTGTCAATTACTTGTTGTTAATGATACGGAAGTTAGTGTGGAAATGATGAGTGTTTCTTCAGGTCTTGCGTCTAGGTTTACAGAAAAATCTTTTGCGTCCGGGCTTGGAGATTGAAGTTTGAATTCTCCGCTCCGGTGGCGCCATTTTGCCTCAGTATTTCAATGGTCAACACTTGACAGCTTTTGTTTCCTTTTGTTATATACCTCAGCGTTGATTGGCTGATCGTGCCATGATAGACAAACGGTTTGCGTTTTCGACACGCATGACACCAAGTAAACAGAGTGCGTAGATTGGAAGAAAAAATCTATCATGTCCTCAGATGGGCCTCAGTGCACGGGGTAAAGCGGTTGACACGATGGTTAGCGGCGAGAGTACATCTCTTGTGGACTTTGTTAAAATGACTAACCCCGGCTTGTTCGATTTCCAGGATGAAATTCACTCATTCATCGAAGCACTGCTGCCACACGTTAAGTCGTTCGCGTATACGTGGTTTAATTTGCAAGCAAGAAAGCGAAAGCATTACAAAAAACATGAGGTGCGAATGACTCCAGAAGAGGAACGCAGATGCAAAGAGGAGCTCGATGCTGAAGCTCCAGAAGTGAAGCAGAAATGGGCCTCAAGGCTTCTGGCCAAGCTGCGAAAGGACATTCGTCAAGAATGCAGAGAGGACTTCGTGATGTCGGTGGTTGGAAACAAACTCGGCTCGTCCTGCCGTTGCGTCATTTCAAACCCCGATCAGAAGGGGAAAATGAGACGAATAGACTGCCTCCGTCAAGCAGACAAAGTGTGGAGGCTGGACTTAGTAATGGTAATTTTGTTCCGAGGCATACCCTTGGAAAGCACAGACGGTGAACGTCTAGGCAAGTCACAACACTGCCAAAACCAAACACTCTGCGTTCTGCCCAACCATATTACAGTGACAGTGCGAGAACTCGATCTATTTCTGGCTAATTTCATGTGCAATCGAGGTAAGAATTGCTCTTCTACTGGATAGTTTATTGTGTTCAAGTGTACAACAGACATGGCCAGCTGCTGCAGTGCCAAAACATTGCACCAACGAAGATGAATTTTGCCAAACTCTTGCTATTCTCTCCTATCAACAAGTTGGAGGTGCTATGTTTCTCTTTAATTATTAAAATCGAAAACTGTTTAAGTTCTTTGGGTGTGTAATTTAATCATTTTATTACTCAAACCAAACCGGGATCCTTCTACCGTCTGTTTTATTGTCTACCTTCAACCACAATTATTTCCTTAAATTTTATTCGCAGAGCACAAGCAGGATTCCAACAGTCCGGTGCGAAGTTCTGCGGATCCGGAATCTCATCAAAGTGAGTATAAATATTTAATGTCTTCTTTGTAGGACCTGTTCGCATATGTATTTAAAGTGAAAAATACAGATATTACGTGTACTTTGCGAACTGACAGCAATTACCGAAGGTATCCTTTTTTAAGCGCAAATACTCCCTTGTTGTTGTTTTGTTATGACACGTGCGTGCATTTTAACAATCCAAATTAATTCCCCCATTCGGCTTTTGTTTTCGTTCTCGTTGCGTTATTCGCTTGCAGTACCACGTTTCATTGTTTTGGAAGTGAAAACCAAGCACTCTATTTGGGCTCGCTTTATAAGTCGTCGTAAAATAAAGTGAACCCCTCGGGGCTCCACGTGGAATGAGCTGTTGTTTTGCACACGCATACTGGATAGTTCCTTTCCCCCGCTAAAAATCGTGACGGACTTTCCTTTTCAGAGTTAACCGACTAAATTCCAGCGCGTGTTATCAGCATGTAATACCGATTACATAAAACAGGTTTGGTTTAGTAAACATATAATGCATTGTTCTTTCGCCTCCACACGACGAAACCTTTAAAAGTTCGTGCGGAGCCGGAGAAAACAAGATCGGTCAGTTTCGTATTTCACCTTGAGTTTTCGCGGGTCGATGGCAATTCACGTTCCATGACATTCATATTAATCTTTGTTTGTGCAGTAACGTGCTAAAGGAATAATGGTGTTGATAGTTAACTTTGCTATTTTTTGTCAGGAATTCTCTTTCTCTTTCGCAATGTACGGTCGACTTAAATACTTCATGTTGAGAGGAGCAAAATGGCAGGGCTTGCATCCTTTCGGTTTTTAATGAACACCACTTGACTGATAAAACATGTTTATGCATATTTATATTATTTCGCTTCAGGTAAATGCTTACATTCCGTTAACCACGACAAGTAACTTGTGACATTCTCTCTATTGTTGTTAGTATCAATTTTGTTGGAACGCTTATTTACAATGTGTTTTCCGCTTTTGAAGTATAAAACTCCTCCTAAAAAGTAAACGTGCCTTAATTAATTGTGAAGCACTTTTAGACCCTGAGCTCTAGATTATTCAATTTTCGTGCAGAATCATGATCGTGATGCATTGACAGATGCATCTAATTCATTAACTGGTAAAAGGATATTTTTGTGTGTTCCTAGTTTATAATACGTACACTTTGTACTGTGTGGGTTGAAGAGGAAATTGAGCAGTGTCGTATCATTCGAACTCATAATTAAGTAAAAAAAGGCACTTGTACAATATAGCCAGATACATATAGTTGACAGGATGAACAATCAGAGATGTACATTTCATTACTGCTGGTTGTAACAATCTATTGTTTTTTTTTTCTGGTCGTGAAATGAGATGAATGTAAGAGACATGTTTTTGTGGTTGTCTTTAACGTGACCTGGTGATCTGATCCTTTTTACTTGAATTCCTTCAAAGTGAAATTCAACTCTTTGAGTTAGAATAATTTGCAAGGTCGTGACATTGTTTTTCGTGTGGGAGTACAACACATCTTTCATCATTCTTGGACCTTTTTGCTGTAGTTTCATGCTTTTGCATTCTATCCAGTTCTTCTTTTCTTCTTTTCTGGGTTGAGAAGATTACCCCAAGAATAACATTAATTTTGTCCTGAAACCCACTCTGATTGACGGAAGTCCTAATAATAAAATAATGCAATTGGTGAAAACTATTGTTGTGGAAGTGACTTGACAACTTATTGTCTTGTAAAATGTCACAAGGGTGTGAGAGATAGTGGGTTGACGTGGTAAAACAATCGATGGTGTTTTATGGGATGAGTCAAGGTCATGGCTTAAAATGAACACCCTTTCAAAATATGAAATCGTAGTGTTTTAGACTGCAAGATTTAGCTTAACATTCATTTTATGTATTGATACCCATACCTGTTACTGCTCATAACATGGCATTTTCATTGTTTTGGGGATAAATAGGGTAGAGTAGTTGAGATTAAAGTGGCTTTCGGGGATTAATGACATAATCTGACCTCAGCATGTGTTTTGCAGTAAGATGGTTCAAGAATGTGAAAGATGTTTAAATGTTAGTAGTGCATGCAAAACCGTAAACAAGCCGCTTTGTGCTTGTTTGATCAGATTCTACTGTAAGAGTTGTGAAATCAGTGCCTGTTTTGAGCTTATTGCAAAAGAGCAGAAGAATAAAGCATGTTCACTCCTGACCATTACATCTATTGTTTGCTATTAAAACACATGTCACTGCTCTAAATTAACCCTTTAACTCCTAACATCAACATGCATCTTCTCCACACTGTTCTTCATACATTCCTTATGGTCCTGCTTGAGAGAATTTGTTCTAACATCACAACATTAGCGTGCAAAGAAAGTAGTATCCTAAAGCCCGGGGCTAGCGGATTTTTCTATCGGGCTAGTGAATTCTGTTATTTACTAGCCCGACAGGCAAGTGAAGTGTTTTGAGGAATTCAAATTACAGAAGAACAGTGAAATCAATCTGCTCATCAAAACGTTTTGGGGCTAGTTGAAATGATGTTTGAGCTAGTAAGTGTTAGTTTCAGCTTGCCCAAATGGGAAGCTGTAAAAATGACTTTCTTTGCACCCTGCAACATTCCATCTTTTGGTGATCATTTCATCAGTTCTCATGACCTGTCTGTTTGATCAGACAGTGTTATTGTTGGGAGAAATTGGATTTGGTTCACCATTGGAGCTGGGTTTTAACATGCCAGTTCAGTCATTCTTTGCAGTAGTACAAAAATGTGTTTGAAACACTTCTGAATCTGAATTTGTTCATATTTAAACACGCACAGGTTTGTTTATGACAGCAAGTCAGTACACCTTAAACATTAGTGAGTCTCGTTGACAGTCTCAGAAAAAAGTTATTAAAAAATATAGTTAAGATAATAAGTTTAACCTTGTTAGTATTGCAAAAGACCTAATTTTAAACACACTCCAGACATCAAAGTTTGGGCATGCATGCCAATTGCATAATCACATCTAATTTTCGATCAGTTCAAAGACAATATATCCTGCATTTCTGGCAACTTCACCTAATTATATTTGAAATGATTGAAAGAGTTCCTGGTCGAGTTGTTTGTTTTCTAGAACAGTCAGAGCTACTGTGGAGCAATTTAAGTTAATTTTAATGAGGTTCTTGAAACATCCATTTTTGGGTTATTGTATAATTTTTACAGGTACTTTTAAAAAGAAACATTTCTTATTTTACTGGAGAGAAAATTAAAGCTGGTAAATGAAAATACTAATAAAGCAATTAATAAAAGTTAGAAATTTTAAGTCGTAATCAATACTTGGATTTGAAATTATTTTATGCATGTGCACTTAGAGTAGAGGTTTTATGTACATTTACTTCTGCTCATGAACTAAGAAAAAATTGCGCAAGTTGTCAGATGATTATAGAAAGCAGTAATTGTTTGATGAAGCGGGTTGTCTCCTTTCTTATAATGTTGTTTAATACATCAATTCCATGGTCTGTAGTCTGACCTCAGTGGTGAGGTCCCAATGCCATGTTTTTTAATCCTGCTTGAAAAATGCAAAATTTTGTACAAAGTGTGAAAGTGTTTATTTTCTTTTTTAAGCTGTTCTTGCAAACACAACAGACAGCTTGCTTTGGTTGTACATGTGTAATCTCTTTCTACTTGGACTTCTTTTTTCAACTGTAAACATGTATCCTCAATGTTAAAAAAAGAAATTACTCTGTGTAGACAGTCTCGTCTTTATGTGTCTATTTGAGGTATTCCCTCATTGAAAATCGCATTGCAATTTTTGCTTTCAAAATGTAAGTAATTAAATATTATCAACATGCAATTTGTAGTTGCGAATTATTATTGTTAAGTTGTGTGAAATTTTTGGTAAAAAAGCCAACGTCAACAGAAATTATTTCCTCCATCAAAAAATGATGATTTTGTAAAGAAAAGTGCCAATACGAAAATAAGAAGATCGGAGAAGCCCCTCAAATTGAATTGGAATGAACAGCTAAAACATGTTAATGTCAGTATTATGTCATTTCTACTCCCAGTTACTGTTTTTCATTTGTAAAAAGTATGATGTAATGTTGTAACTACGTGTTGTTTTTTTCTTAAATGTGTGTTGTATTCAATGCAACTGTTACGCAACATTGTAATCAGCCTTTTTGTTCTCTTTGTTTGTTATTATCAATCTTTGTTCATTACACTTATATACTACCCCTATTCTGTTTACATCCTTTAACTAATGATAGATGCTGACATATCCAAAACATGTTTTCCAAACTCAAATGTTGGGTCGTGTTTTTAAAAATGCTTAAATAAGAAAATATCTGTGCAGCATACCAAGCATTTTACATCATCATGTCTACTGGAACATGATTGCATGCACACAAAAAATGTTTTTCTTAGCTTGAATATTTCACAGCTGTTATAGAGTATTTTGGATGAAAGATAAGGCAAACTTTACTATCTTGCAGTTTGATGTTATTTCCTAAGGTAGTAATATTGACAGAATTGTATGTAGCAGTGTGAGGTGAAAAGATATAATTGTTGTGTCATGTACACAATGTACAATACTCATCGCTGACTACAAAAGAGGAACTGCACAAGCCTCTCTCTGATACAGGAAGATATGGTAGCTGTTTGATTGTCAACATAGTTTATTTTAAGCCTGAATTCTTGGCTGGAATCATTTTTCTTTCCAGAAGGAAATGAAAGTGGATTAAAATTTCAAGGATTCGAGACAATGAGGCTAAAAAACTTGTTCTGTCACATGGTTTTATGTTGGGTGTTGCCATGTTATTTTTTAAATGTCACACTTCACAAATTTATTATTATGCAGAGGAAAAACAGCTAGTACGACATTTCAGAATTAAAAGAGTAATGCATTGAGTTGTTTTATTTGGACCAGAAACTTATTTAATATCAAATCATTACTTTTTTAATGTTGTAACACTTGATTCACCCCTAAACTACATTGAACTACTGCTGTAGCATGCATAATAGTTTTTTTCAGGTCAGGAAAATACATGAAGTTCTCATGGTTGAAACTCTTATTTCTGCTTGTTTGCTAAGTTGATGTGAAACTTAATCAGATAAGATACTTTGCTTTTTATAGCACAAGCAGGCAAGCTTAAATTACAAATAATTTGACCTTAGTGAAATTCAAATTCTGAGTTTCCTTATTTTCAGCTGGAATTCTATACCTAGTAAAGGTTTTGCCATGCAAAAAGTGACAAATAAGATGTAAACACTTCTTCTTGCTCTTGAACTTGGAAGTTTTGACAGTTTAGAAACCAATACCAGCTCTTTTGACAGGAAATGTCACAATGCGATTCATGTTGTGTTGAAATAAGCCATTAATATTTCAAAGAGTTTAAGGATGCAAATAATTGTGAAAATATGTGTACTTGAAAAAAATAAGGATTTTTCCTATTGAAATTCACGATTATCCTTTTAAAATAAGAGACAGACTTGCATTTCTCCAATTCTTGCATAAGTGTTTGTTTTTCATCACTGTTACAACTGTATTGGAATGTTGAATGCACACGCTATCACAGTGTAAAGTAAATTATACCTTGCACTGCATGAAAGAAAGAGGATTCTTAGAAGTCATTGCAGTATATCTCTGCAATTCTTTTTCTTTCTCAAACCAGTGCATGTATTACATAATGGTATACGTTTTCGTAATTGAAAGTTCCTTGCACCCAGCTGCATAGTAGTCTGTGCGTAAATAATGTTATACTTAATTCTGTCCACATAAAAAAGTGCAACCGTCCTTGTATGGATATTATTGTTATTGAGCAAACAGAAAGCAAAAAGTATTCAGTATATACAGTATAAGGAATTATATGAATTTTTTTTTTTGGGGGGGGGGGGTTGTGTCTAAATATGCTTTCATTTTAATTTTGTTTAGGGTTAAGGCTATAAACTAAGCTAGATAAATATTTTCTTCTAGAATTTATACCGGATCACCACAAATTAGTGTTAAACATATTTTTCATAATATTACATGATTTGTCAGTTTTTAAGAAACTGAACCGAAGTAATATGGATTTGTTTCATTTAATTCCTAGTTCAGTTAAGTGTGTAACTTCTTTTCATTGTTTCTTTTTAGTTCTTACAGAACAGAATTTGGTTTCATCTGGCGTGTTTACAGTAGCAGAGCTTTATAACTATGCCAGAAGTAAGTACCTTTAACTAATGTAGCCATAGATTTGAGATTCATACGGGATTAAACTTTTGTACGGCCTTCACAGATACAAAGAGGAAAGAAGCTCCTGTCATATATATATCTTTCATTTATATGGGCAAACTAGTTGGTTCATGGTTGAGGCAAATGGAAAGAAAAATTCATGAAAGCCTGAAGTTGGTATCAATGATGGCTGTTGACAAATGGAACCTCAAATTTCCTTTTAGAAATTTCCCTCCAGGAAAACAGGACCAGATGCTCAAATACTCCTGAACATTTTCCCTGGAACGATGCAAAAAGATGTGTTCCTTTTACCTTTTAACTGGATTTTCCAGCAACTTTTGGTAAATGGTAAACAACCTCTGAGTACTGCAAAAATTTAGCCAGAATTTTAGAATCACTTGCATAGTGGTGTTATTTATTAAAAAATGTAAAGTTTATCAAGTGAATGTCTTGTCATATATGTATGTAGCAGTGCCTTTGAAGAACTGTCCTTTCTGTAGCGAAAAACAAACAGCGCTTTATGCCATGAGAACACGTCATGAAGTAGCTTTCACGTCTTATTGTGTACATATTATTGATTTACACATACTACTCGACTCTATCACAGTGTTCATATATGGAAAGCAAGGTCAAAAAAATTAACGTGCTGTGAATCTCTACAGAATTTATTCTTACTGCAATTTTAAAGCTCATAAGGAAGTTTATCTTAATTTTGAAACAGATCTGGATGCATGAAAAACTTTTGAGTGGCATGCAATGATTCTTAAATGAAATGAAAGTTTATCATCAGAATGTGAATTACTTGAATTATGGCATTGTGTGTTGTTTAACCAGAATTTTATCTAACTTTATCCAATACTTTTGTACATATACTGTATGTGGAAATTAAATGTCACTATACAGAGAAAAGAGCTCTTTTAAAAGAGCTTACTTTCGACATGAACTTTATAAATCTTTTGAGGATAAGGCAGGCCAAAAAGGTTGGGCATCCTCAGCTCACAGTTTATATGTTTTGAACGCTTTCTTGGACTGAAAGAAGTGTAGTCGTCCTCTTGACTAACTGTATCCAATCATTTATTTTTGTTATGTTTACTTCAAAGTTGTAATAGTTTAGGAAACAAGCTAAAATAGTACACTGCACTGAAATGGTGAACTCTAGAACATCTTAGAAGTGACATGTGTAAAGAACAGGCTAGCTAGCTTTATCATTACTAGCACATGATATTTCAATTTTTTTTTGTAATACACGTACATGAAACAGGTGAACTGGAAAGTGATTTCTATATTAATTGCAAGTCACCTGACATATTAAACTGAACAGGAGCCAATTTTATTGTCATTCTTAATTGGATACGTGCTTTTTGTATGTACCGTGTGATGTAAAATTTTTACAGGAGGTTTTTTTTTTTGGCAGATTGGCAATTTTTTGTATTTTGTGGCAACAATATTTGCGATTAGGAAAGATTGGTTTTTCTCGCTGGGAATAAATTTTCGCGATTTCAGAAAGTCCTGGACAAATCTTTGATAATATTTTCGTTTTTACTGAGTACGTGCAATGAGATAATAAATAATTACATATGTTCAGACAAGTTGTAGTTGAACAGACACAATTTCTTAGTACTGTATTTTTTGTAGCGAGTTTGAGTAACAGAATATTTACTCTGAAGTAAATTTTCCCAGGAAAAATATTTGCAGTAATTAATTTTTGCAGACCGTTAGAAAATTCACAAAAATGAGAACCTGCAAAATTCCATGCCACATGATATCAAGGCCATTAATAGCTATAGCAATAATTTAGGGTGGATTCATTTGTAATATGTGATTATAGCAGTTACATTTGCCTGTAAGAAAAAAATTCCAATGGGCAAATGTGACAGCTATATTTGTATGTTGCAAATGAATCCACCCTTATTTTAAGTCAAAGGTGTGGAAAGTGTTTGCATAATCTTTCAAGCTAGAGAGGTTCATTTTAAAAATGTTCTACAAACTGATACACTGTATAATATGAAACTAAAATATGTAAAGAAAGTGTAGCCATACATTTTATATAGTCTATATAAAAAAATTTTTTGTACCTCAAATGGATTCTCAAAAATGAGTAATGGACATACGAAATGTAGAAGTTGGCGTGTTTTTAGCACTCTTCCTTCTCTCCCTCTCGTTTGTTTGTTTGTTTGTTTGTTTATTTCGTTTTTGCTTCACTCTTTAACACCACTCCTCAGTATCTGAAATTTTGGTAAATAGAACTGTTAGGGTTCAATTACAGACTCAAAAATTTTAATGACCTTTTAATGACCTTCGTAGAGAGATCATGAATATTTATTTTGGAACCACATATTTCACGTTAATTTGCCACTTTGGTAACGAAAAGGGAACTGGGGCCATGATTTGCCCCACAATGGTTTGTTCGATTGTTGCTGGGGATGCACCTGTCCGCCATTGGCCAATTTTTTGTTCTTGTCCCTCGCAGCAGTCTCAGAAGTCTTTGTGAAAGTTAACTTGGTCCGTATTTCTTCTTGATTCTTAAGTGGTGAATTGTTGTTATTTTGATTTTTTTTCACTTACAGTTTTGCTTTTTCCCTCTAGCACCCATCAAGTGTGTTGGGTCATCACATGGTCTTATCTTATCGGAGTTGGAGAGTCCAAATAATTATGGTGATTCAAGCCTTGAACATCGGTTTCCAAATGCATTAAACATTCACCCACGACCAGAAACATTTGACCCTAGGTATCGGAAGAGAAGTCGGACAATTAGCTCAGTCTCATCTGTGGATGAAGACTGTGATGATGACGACAGGGACAGTACAGGGCTTTATGTACAGTCACCAGCGAGCTTTTCATCTCAAGGCTCTAACTGGCAAAATGATGTGGAGTCTGGTTAGTTTTCCTAATTTCTCCCTTTTAAGTCCCAAAAGTGACAAACATCAATTTTCTCCTAACAATACACAATCAAGAGTAAAGGTTGTGCGAATCAATGAAATAATCACCTAAGAGAAAATGCTTTGATGATCTACCAAATTCTCTCAACTTATTCTCTAAGGAAATGTGTGGAGGTCAGTTTGGAGAATTTGTATGTAGATATTGGAGCTTAAAGGGTTAAACAACCTTATGTCAATCATAATAAAATTGTAAGTGATAGTAACATTAACAACAGTAAAGCCAGCAAGTTGTCTTTATAAAATAATGCACTCCCTCTTTAAAAAAGTGTCCCTTATTTTTGTCTTAACCCTTTAAGCCCTAAGAGTGATCAGGATCAAATTTCTCCTGATAATATCGCTTCTTTGTAAAACAGAGTGGTCATGAGAATTACAGACATGATCACACAAGATGAATTTGCTTGATATTTTATCAACTTCTCCCCACTACTTCTGTAGGAAATGAATAGGGGCAACAAATGAGAATTCAAATTTTGATCTTAGGGTTAAATTGAAATGCTTGGGCAGATAGGTACCCTCTGAAGTTATGAATTTTGGCAGGTGAAGGTCAATTTGAGCTTCATTTTTGAGGAATTGGTAAATGAAAAAAAGTGTAGCCTTATCAGCACCTTTTCTTTGCAGTAATTATTTGAAGTAAGTAAAGAATTTAATTAGATTATGATGCTTATAATCACCAACCAAGACTTAATTTATCCTTAAATGTTTGATAATTATCAATACATCCTCTTACCTTCAATGACTGGGCTTGAAAAATTTATTGCTGCCTTTGTAAAACAAAGGGTGTTCGTCTCAGAAAAGTACAAAAGAATCTTTCAAGGTTAAATGTGATTTTGTTCTGTGTTCAGGGTCCAGTGTCATTCATTCCCCGATGGTGCCATTTCCTGCCAAGATCAAGCCGGAACAAAACTGTTCAGGGTACAGCGCAATGGAAAATCACAATTCTGTGATAACCTGTTGTAACATGAATGAATCCCATTCACCCGCAGTCACTTCATACGGTGGTCAAACCCAGCAGCCACACAGCAGGCCAATGAGAGACTGCAATATGAATGAAACACCATTTATCATGCAGCTAGCATCAGCTAAGAGTCATATGCCATCAAGTTGTGGGTTTGGTATGAACTTTCAGCAGCAGGGGTTTGCATTTCGTCTGCCAATGCCAAATGCTCATATGCCCGCTGTAGGTAAGCTGTATTTTCCTTAGATGCTCTAAACACATTCTTAAACTTTTGGACCATTTATATTCTTTGAAGCATTGAAATCACTTCCAAAACCTTTGCTTGCCTCTTAAAGTTCTTTCATCAAATTTGAGAAATTATTCAAGAATGATAAGATAATAGCGAACTCTGCGTGCAACATGGATAGCAGAGAAAAGAAGAGGGCAAACCTTATGTGACAAGCATGACAATAATTTGGTTGGAAAAAATGTTCTGCCAAACCTCTCCTTCCTTGAAACAGATCTCTTTGAAAAAGATCAGAACACACTAATATTAATCTAAGGTCTTGAAAAAACATGCAAGTAATAGCTGCGTCATGTTTGTCACATACAAACGTTTTGCCGTCCTGTTGCGTAGGCTCTCTGATATTACTCAGAACTCATGCTTATTTTTTGTTTTTGTTTATGTCAAAGGTTCTGCCCCATCACGGACCGGCACGATACCTAGTGATTATATCCAGCTTCTGGAGCGGCCAAGATCAAGTTCAGCACCAAATGGTAGGCATTTTAATCCTGGAACGTCTGCAGTAATACCTCCACCTTTGACAAGGTCACAAAGTGGTAACAGTATTATACAAAGTACTGGTGGGAACAGCGTGCCAACAGATCCACGGAATTCTCCAGGACACCAGCAGCAACAGTCTCCAGTGTCTACAAATGCAAATGAGACAAGCACTCCTTCTGGAATTACTCTAAACACTACAGTTCAGATTATCCAGGTAAATTTTCGAAGCAATTCAATTCTTTTAAGTAAAAAAATATTAAGATACTTAATATTAATATCCTCTCCCCTTATGAATCTTTTCATGAATCAAACAAATTCCACTGAGCGTAATAAGGTTAAGAATCCCATCTGGCAGGAGGTGAACCAGTGGGCTATTTACAAGTGTGACCAAGGATTTGTAATTGCATCATAATCTCATTTATTCTTCCTGTCCAAAACTGATCTCAGAAAAACTGACTTAAGCTTGTGGGTCCAACGTCTAAATAATGTCCTGTTTGCTCATCCTGGAAAAAATAGGCTTTCCCGAAGAGCAAGTCACAATTCATGCTCGCTTGCTTAAGACAAGTATTTTGTAGCCTTGGGCAAACAAAATGTGAGAGTCGTAAGGAAATAAACTTTTTTAAAGCCCTATGTGCTTTTATTTACAGTCCCCAACAAACACCCCAAATAGTGCAGTAACAACATATGGCAATCACAGCAGTAACCAGCATGTCTTCAGTTATCCAAACTTGCCGCCTGGCTGTGTACCTGCTGTGAGTCCGTCAATACCCATGGGTCTGTTTACCTCACCCGGAAACACGATAAGGGGCAGCATCTCCACCCGCTGGCCGTCATCAGTTCCTGTGGCACCTGTCTCCAGTGGTGCAAGTGTTTCTGAAGAGGATTCAACAGAATACAACCAGATGGTGACTGGATTTGGTGGGATGAACCCTGAGGAGGGGATGCTGGAAGGTTGGTGTCAGGTACATTTTACACTCACCTTGTTTTAATTAAGAGTTTGCAGATTTATTGTCAGTGTAAAGGGAACTGGCTCAGTTAAGCTTTTCAAGTTGGGCTTAGTTGGCTATGTTACATGTTTTGGTCAAAATGACATTAGGAGTCAGGGTGCGGCTGTGGTCAGAGCACTCGCCTTCCACCAATGAGGCCTGGGTTTGAGTCCCTCGGCGTCGACACCAAACGTGGGTTAAGCTTGTTGTTGCTTCACTCCCCTCCTCCTAGACGTTTCTCTCTTGGTACTCCAGTTTTCACTTTCCTCAAAAACCAACATTTGTAACATTTCTGGACACATTTAAACAAGTTCTGAAGAACTCCTAAGTGCTTCATGGGCAAACAAAAATTAATCACAATTTACAATTAAGTCATGTAAATTCAGGTGAAAAAATTATTGTGCTTGACTGATTCTCAATGTGAAAAATTTCAACCGGAATTTAATTTCAACCTTCAGGTAGACTTGAACTTAATAAGTTATTTTTTTGTTGATTATTTTAGAGAGGAGTTTCTTCCCAGTGAACAACACAGCAGAGTCAATGGAAGTTTTGTCTGCTAGGATATCAACATGAGGGCACTGCAAGCTATCAAGCAAATGAACATTGAAGTCTGTCCCTGGCTAGTGTATAGGATTCATCCTTCACAAGATGTAAATCCACCTTTTATGATTACCCAATTAGTGGTGTGGTGAAATAACATGTTATTGTTCAGTTGTTTAAATTAGAACTAAACTTAAATAGGAATCTAAATGGAGGAAAGAAGCGGTTGGACTGGCTTACCACAAAAAGCAACTCAATCTTCTACCTGGACCATGTACCTTTCAGAAATCGTTCTGTGCCTTCAAAGTAAAACTGGCATTCCCTTGGGAGTACCTGTTTTACAAATACTGCTGCCGAAATAATTTGATGTAGGACCCTTGTTACACTGAAGGTGGCTGTGTTAGTTGGTTTTTGAGTGTCATTAACAGATGTGGTAATGAGCAATGTTACATCACAGAATGAATTAGATTCTTGGATCTTAAGACGTACCAGGAACTTCTGATCTCGCTCTGTTCAGTAATGTTTGATATTTGTAGCTAAGGCAACTAGAAAAGCTGAGATTTCAAAATTAAGTGGCTCAGCCAGACAGAAGTGTTGTGGTTTTGGCATATTTTAAGTTATTGTTCTACATGTAAAGATACATTGGCATAAAATATTACAACTAATTCATGTACAGAGCAAAGAATTTTTTAAAGGCTTTTAGAATAATATTAATGTTATAGTATCTTATTTATAAATTGCATTAGTAGAGTATTTTGGAAAGTCAAATTATAGTAAGTACATTCGCAGTATTTAGATTATTTCCATGCGTAAAAACACCCTAATTAGTAAAAATAGTTCAGACAGAATTTATATAATTATGCTGAGGACACACCACTAACGTTAACGGAAGTCTTGCCATAGGTGTAAAGCAATGCCTTCCAGTCATTGGGAGCAGAGGAGAGTAAAAAATTGTTAATATGAATGCTGTTTGTAAAAAAAATGTGAATTATTTTCATGAGGTTCAGAGAAGTGAATTTATTAATCATCGAAACATGATAGAGCATTGTTTGCTGTAGGTTTTTTTGTACTCTTTATAAACTGTTCGTGGTTTGTTATAACACTGTATTTGTTCATATAAATGGCCATGTATGTTACAATTATTTCTATTTGGAATTTTTTGGATGGTTTGGATTATACATGGGTTTCTTTTTGAGAGTTTTACAAACCATTTTGTGACTAGAATCAGGAAATTTTGTAATTTTGAAAACTTTGGGTCTGACTTTGATATGTGTTGGCTACCAATAGTGAAAGATCAGTATCTCAAAGAGGCTTGTTATTGCAAAGTCTCTTGTATATTTTGGCGGGCCATTTGTATTGAATAAGGTTGTTATAACACTTAGGCTTAAAGGGTAAAACTTTCCAAGCGGGAAGTCTATAGTTTTATCTTCCAACTCTAAGTAAACATTTCGGTTTTAAGTTACTTCAGACTTGGAAAAGTGTGAGTATAATTATGATTGTAGATACTCACCAAACGTTTTCATTTGTTCCTGCTGACTGATTAATTGTTATTAACAGTCAATCAGGATTTTTGTAGCTACAGATCATTTGGTTCTGTAGTTTTGATTACCTTAATGTGCTGTAAAAAGCTTTTCAAAGTTCTGTTGACAAATTGAAATCATATTGCTTAAAAAAAACCTGAGACAAGCGCGCAGTTATCATCTTAGTTTTGAATAACTTTACAGGGATTTTTTTCAGCCTTCAAATATTTTCTCTCATGCAGTGATCTGAGTGCATCAGATTGACTGTAAATTAAACACGACATTCTCTCAAGATGATGACCTGACACAAAGTCTCGTCAGGTTTACTGTTTTTGAGGAAAACATTGCTATAAAACAACCTTAATAAATTGGTAAAGCTGTGTCACAAAATTATTAAAATTCGCATTTTTGAGCTTTGACGCCATCTTGGCAGCTGTTACAGTTCTTCACTTGGTTGTTGGTTAGTCTGAAGGGCTAAGGAATTCTAAAAAGGAAAAGCACTTGTACAGATACTAAAGTGAATGGTGGGAAAGAAAATATTTGAGGTACAGTAGATGAAAAAGCTTCCTTTTGGCTTGCACAGATAGCTTTTTTTGACCAAATGAAGGCATTTTGTTATTCAATAGAAAAATTAACTTATGACAGTGTCAATAATTGTTTTAATTCTGAAACTGTTAAATTGAATCTAAATCATGTCGATGCAAAAGATAGTAGTGTTGATGAATATTTAGATGATATGGGAGATAGATAATGTACACTAGGTAAGAATATAGCCTGAAAAAAATGTTTTGCAGTACAACTGGGTCTGTACATAGTCCAAAAAAATGTTCTTGTTTTATAGATGTGAAAGTTTTGTAGACTATAAAAGAGATAGAGTGGAATTCATTTATGAAATATGCTAGCACTGTACTTCTAAGCTGCTCGGAGCAGTTCTGTAGTATCCTTGGTTGCAGAGAGATTTTCTAAAAGGGCTATCAATCTATTTTAATAGGGATGCTTTTTTTATTAATAATAGTTTTACTACGTTATCTTTGTATGGGCCATATATATATTATATAGTAGTTTTCATAAGATAATCAATCATAGTGATATATGAGACATTTCACGTGTATTCATATAAAAAGAATAGTAGTTGATTGACAGAATGTCATTAGTTTTTTACCTGATTTGGCATTGGAAATTTTTGAAGCAGTTTGTATGTTTTGTATGTGATTGCAGCACCTATTTTGCATCAGCTGTTTCTATTTATTGTTGTTTGATAGTAAAACGCATTAGCTTTAAAACTGCCTGTACAATATGTTCACTAGAAAACCATAAACTGTGCTATCTGCATTTCAAAAAACTCCCAAGTTATGGGCCATTCCATTTAATATCCACACCCCCCATCGATGAGATTTTCCGAGGGGGCCTTGAAAGTTATTTCTGACGGGCTGGCCGTGTTGGCATCCTTTGATCTTTGGAATTTTTCTTAGGGGTATGAGAGAAATGGGCTATTTCTGAGGGGTGGGACAGTGTCGGTACTTTTTCCTTAAGGGTCAAAAGTCAAACTACCTCATCCATAGGGGGGAGGGGTGTGGCTATAATGGAATGGCCCAGTCCAATCCTCAGCCCAGAATGAAAGCATGTCCAATCGGTTTTAGCATTCAGTAATGGCGATCAGTCTCTCCTGGTTCATTGTGGTCAATAACTTGTTTTTGGCTTGACCTGTGATACTTGCTCTGTGCAGGCGCATGGTTAGTCAGGGCTGTTAAGAACCGTCATTTAATTCTGGTTTCTTAGTCTGTTGTATCCGTAGAAAGCATTGATTACTTGTTTTCAGACCATGAATACGTTTTTGTTGTTTTTTTTTTTGCAAGGCGACTTGATTATGATGTCTATGATACTCTGGTTCAATGAGCTGAGGATTACTGTACTTACTCAAATAAGTACGGCGGCGCTTATTAAAATTTCCACGCTTCAAATGCAGCACTAATTCGAGACTATGGTATGCCTGAATTTTCTAACATCACGATATGCTGATACTACACGAAATTGTTAATTCGCTGGCTTTTTCTCATTTTCCCGCCTACTTAACATATTGGCATCGGCTTTGCTTACTTTTTTGCATAGTGTATATCAGTTCTAAAGCAGAGGAGGGCAATGGCTTTCAAGTTACGAAAAGCTCAGTTCTGTTTGTTATCATGACGCTTTGACAGAACTTAGTCTCGCCATTTGTTTGGGATTTGTTAGTTGCTTCGCTTCGCTTTAAAATCTTTGCATAGAATATTAAGATTTAAAGAATATCTTACGATTCCAGTTTGAAACAGTTTTGTATGATTATTTTGAGAAAGATTACTTGGGAAATATGAAATACTAAGGACCATCTACAATTTAATGTATACAAGCTATAATGAAAGTGAAATAAAGAAATAGGACTCAAACTTCTCTTTGTGTGGGGTGACTGCCTCGTACCCAGACGTCTCTCTCTCGATGAAAAAAGGCGGGAAGGAGACAACGCCTGCCGTCTGTACCCTTCCCATGGTCCCTTGCGGTTCATCACCAGTCGCTTCTCTACCTTGCGAAAAACAAAGCGCCTGAGGAGGAGGCTGGTGGGGTGATATGTTAACACTATATAGGATATAAATGAGCGGCACCAAAACCATTGGATAAGGCTTTTGTTCACACATAAGAACGGTGATTTCAGTGCTATTTCTATAACGAAGTGAAGCTGCTACGGGATCGTCACATATCGGATAGGTTTCTGCCACTCTTAGGGCCTGTTTACATTGAGGTGGGGGACCCCAGATAGGTGAGGTAACATGTGGCGGGTCACCCTACCTATCATGTAAACGTGGTCAAATTAACATGAGAGATTATATGGACAAGCGGGTTACCTCACTTACCTGGGGCAGTGGCGGATCTAGACCTTCAGATAAAGAGGGGGTTGTAGGGGGCAGGTCATCCAGACCCTGAGATAAGGGGGGCCCGGTCTCAAATAAAATTTTTTTTCGACCCTTAGGGCCTTAATTTGGTCTAAAAATAAGAGGGGGGAGGCTCGGGCCCCTCCCCTGGATCGCCACTGTGGGGTCCCCATCACCATGTAAAGAGGCCCTTAGTCGCTCTGTAAACAGGTGCTCGAACCGTAGCGGACGTAAATGAATAGGAGCGAGGACTGGAACTTAAAGCATTTAACCCTTCCGGCCAGCCGCTTGGGCCGGCCGTTTTGACAATGAGTTAAATAATGGTGGTTTTCTTTAAACGACTGAACTGATCTGGTCCACTTTACCGTCAAATAATGAGCCACGCATAAATTGGTCTCCTTTAGTTTGTTTAATTCTACTTTTCTGCGACCATATCAAAATGTTCCCCCGGAAACCAGAAAAACCATGTGACAAAAACACAAACTACCGTCACACGCCGGGTAGAAGAGGAAGAGACTCTTAAGGCCCTCGAACAGAAGTGTTGGACAGAGTAGAGGACGGCAGCACCTCAAGAGGCGCGGCGCGCCTTGAAACGGCAACGGCAACTAAAAGGAAAGACCTCTCCAGTGGGAAAACACACACGCGCGTGCGCACGCGTGCCAGGTCCCGAATACGAAAGATAAACACCTAATTACTCTCTGCACGCGCACGAAACATAAACTGGAACAAAAATCAAATAACAGTACATGGGATGTAGTCTACAAGCTTTTTAATGTAGGGTCCACGGTGTACAAGTCATTCTTACATAGCTCTAATTTCTTTAACATACACTTTTAATATCTAACTACAATTTGCAAATTAACCTTTTCACTCGCAGAGATAATAATAGAGAACAATGCAATAACTTTTAACTTTTGGTGGGATCTATGGACGTAATCCCAAGAAAAGTAAAACGGTGAAACCTCTTCGAAAAAGTACTTTCTTCAATATTGCCATTGGCCAATTCAAGAGTTGAGGCCTTGTTGACTGGAATTTTTCACGAGCCGAGCTTAATACATTGAATTAAGTACATGAAAAGTTCGGTGCCTGAATCATTTAGGAACGCCTGTTTCAATTACTTGGAAAGGCTCAGCCGTTCTTTTCGCCTAACCCGGCCGGGAATTTCGCCTTTTGAACGACTTTGGAACGGCTTTGATTTAGACGCCGAACTTTTCATGTACCAAACCCAATGCATAACTTATTATAACGTATTGTGTAAGCAGTTTGACCGAAATCAGCATTTTTCGCCTTTTGAACTTAGTTCAGCTGCAATTAAGATCGGCGTCTGAATCAATTCAGCCGGTCTAAATAATTTGTGTCAGCCTTCATTCGAATTAGCTTCGTCTCATGAAAAGAAAGTTCGGCGTCTGAACCGGGCCTAAAGGGTTACACGCCACATAACCGGTAACATATTGAGAATATCGGGTACGCTTATCCTCTCTTAGCCTGAGAAAACAACTGACTTTAAGCGACGCCACCACTGGTGTCCCTACGAAATGACGTCTGAGGGACGAGCACAGAAATTCCATACTGATGAAGTGTCTCTACCCATATCTGGATAGTGCTTCTAATTTGTTCAAGCAAATTTCCCTCGTGGCACAACCAATCAGAACTGATTACTAACCCAGATCAGGGCAGTGACACGTCATCAGTATGGAATTTCTGAGCTCGTTTCTCAGACGTCATTTCGCGGGGAAACCAGTGGTGGAATTGCGGAATGTCGGCTGTTTTCTCAAGCTAATTTTCTCTCTTTTTGGTTACCATTCACACGTTTGGCAATTTCAACACCTTACGCAGCTCTTTTCGGAAATCCTTCTTGTGAAAGGCGTACACGATTGGATTCACTGCCGAGTTGGCAATCAGCACCAGAAGAATGATCTTCTTGACGGTGCCTTCAAAGGGACAGGCTTCGGTCAAAAGGCAAATGCATCGGTAGTTTCCTCCAAGGTAGGTGATGTTGAAGGCCGTGATGATCAGGAGGATCATGGCGGTTGTCCCCCTCTTACTTACACGGCCAGTACCTGGATGCTGAGAGACTTTGCATTCGTCATTCACTTGATTGAAGCGGACCTGGGTGACCATTTTTCTTGTTTCTCGGGCGAGCGTGTTCGCAAAGTAAAGGAGATGGCATGTTACACCCACGAAAGCTACTAAAGGGGAAATCTGGAAAATGATGACACGCGAGACCTCCACGAACATGGTATACCCTGGATTGTCGTTATACGTGAAAATGGCAGGAAGTGAGAAAAGCAGAAATGGCATGGTCCAGGAAGCAGCGATGAGACCAAAGATAGCTTCTTGTGTCATGACTGCCACGTACCTCAGAGGTCTTGTAACGGCGATATAGCGATCCATGGTCATGGCGAAAAGATTCGCGTTGGAGCAGTACATGAATGTGAAACTGATTTTGAAGAATGCGCCAGCGTGCGTTGCGTCGAAGGTGAAGCCCAGAAAATTGCGGCCAAATATCGGTGGAAAGAACGTCAAAGCTACGCACACATCAGCTACAGCGACGGAGAGTACAAACCAGTTAGTAAGTCTAGTCTGCAGGCGAGTGGATGTCATGATAAAGTAAATAACGATGCCGTTGCCAACCAACGCCAAAGCAACGAGGAACCAACCAGAAATCCAGAACCACATGACTGAGGACGCGGACTAAAATTAAGAAGAAATAATCGACACGGTGTTTTTGTAGACCTTCGCGAGGGAGTTGAAACAAAGTGAGAGGAGGTTCTCGCTCTTTTTCTCGCTGTTTGTCCATATTTTGCCAAACAAAATTTAGCTTTTACCTTCGATTTTGTATTTCAGTATTTTCAGGGCTGGGGGTGAGCTTTAAAAAAAAAATGATTCGTAGGCTCACAAGAAAAAAATACTTACAATATTTGTCTTGCTTGAAAGAGTCGTTTCTTGTTCCGCACTCCAAGACGTGAAAACTTACTCATCGCAATTTTTCATTTAAGCACTATTTATGGCAAAATACTAGAGATTATCTTCTTGACGTTAAGGCAAAAGTACGAGCTGAACGAAAACAACACTGAGTTTCAAATACAAATAAAAAACAAAAGGTCTCAAGTGCTAAGATAAACGATTATGCGAATTCATAATTATAACAAATTGATCAGAATATCGCGCGATGTCGAGCCTTTAAGTGCCGCGTGCAAATTTCTGACCAGGCTTGGTCTGGATTTCGCTCGTCAGATAAATTCAGTTGTATATACTGTAAAATGTTTAACACTGTAAGGATAATGTTTTCTTTTTATAGCAGGTGCAAAGTGCCGATTGCCTGCTTTCTCATCAGTAGAGAAAATAATTTACGGATATTTAGAACATCCGTCAGGTAATCCGTAAAAACAATGATATTACACTGCATTACACATTGTTTTGTTTGGCTTAATGCATTTCTGCCCCATAATTTCCTCTATTCTTTGTGTCTTGATATTTCGGAAGCGTCTGTAAATCAGTTGTTGTTTAGTTACAATTTCTGTTGATTGTAAAGGAGAGACTGAGGGATTTTTTTTTTCTTCATTATTCAAGTTGCCGAAGACCGAGTATTGTGTTTTTCTTCCTTGTTCTAAATTGCCCAAAACGTTTGAAACAAATGACCAGTGAAGAACGCACGACACCAAAATATTACAGCCAATGTGCAGTGTGACTCCCTTCCTGGCAGTTTACATAAAAGAGATGATGGGGAGAAAGATTTGATGTTTTCCTAGGCTAATTTAAAGAGAGGAAAAAATTGCATGATATCTTGAAACTGAAATGCATTTTAAGAAACAGATAAGACAGGCTTTTTCTCCTCCAACATGTCAAGACATTTAAATTAAAAGGATTAAAAGGATTGATGTTAGTTTGAAGTCGGAGAATCAAGCTAAATTGTAACTAAAATGTCACTTATCAGTTACGCAAGAGAATCAATCACTATTCCATCCTTTGAATGTTCAATTTAAAATAAAGGAACTCTAAAGGAACTCATCAACGTTGATTGCAATTTGACTCAGGTATTACTACTAAAACTTGGTCATCTCGCTGGCATGGAATTTCCCCGTGACAACGCCACGAACACATGGAAAAGCTGGGAATCAGAAAAATCAGCAACAGGAGAGAATCGCATGTTCGATTTACGAACGTCTTTTTACGCAAGCATGGATTTTAAAAAAGAGAAAGATTAGTAGACGTAGATGGGGTTGGAAAACAAAACACGAGATCCATTAATGGTGACATTAAATGCTTAAAAAGACATCAGTTGTATGTTAAAAGTAATTTCGCTAATAAACCAGAAATCACGAAAAGCGCCGACGGATTAAGTAGCCATTAGTGTGAGCTTATAAGCACAGGTGCATACTGAGCTATCTTTCTCGCAATTTTAAAATGTTGAAAAATAACATTCAAAGCAGTTACTATCTTGTAGTTCAAGACATTACAGTATATTGAGTCTTTGGACTAAAGCCTGCGTTGTGACCATTAATAAAGTCGGAAATCTTTTCGACTAACCTCTTGCGTGCCGGGTACAAGTTACTTGTCTGTACCTTTGAAAATTTGGAATTTGGAATTTCCCTTGCAATTTAATTGCTAACCCCAACATCAAATTTCACACTCTCTTTAACTACCCACATCACTACTACCTCTCCTCCCCCTCCCCCATCACTTATCACCCCTCGCGGTCGAACGTACTCCCCGAATTTACAATTACTACTAGTCGCAATTACTTTTAGTCTATTACATAATAGTTTTGAATTTTGGTTTGTGCAACTGCCTAACCCTAGTGGATCAAGTAGTATTAGCGAAAGGCTTAACCGTGTGTGCAAGTAATTTCCCGTTCACAGCAACGATTAAACTTATTTTAATAATGGTACCAAAGCAGCAATAGACAATTTTCATAAAATATATTAAATATAAACGGAAGATAAGGCATAGTTGGTCTTTGCCAACTGATAAAATTCGCCGAGGTCAAGCGAGGGAAGTTTGCTAAAGCTAAGCAAATTTGTGTGAAGTTATAAAAGGTTACTACTTATCCTGTTAAAAGTTTAATATTTTGTCAAAACGCTGTTAATTTAGTAAAGTTTGAAACTGAAAACTGAAAGTGGCCTGACTACCAGCACCATTTGTCAACATAATTTCACTGCATTCAGTTCCAACACCAAATATTACAGTTCCTTTTTTCTGGCTGGATAATATAGTCCCACGCTGTCTTCGTAATTTTCAAAGAAATAAATATCGCATATGACTTATGCTCCTGATATGACTCAGTTGAGGTCGACGCCCAAGTTTCCATTTTGTGGAAGATGATTTCATCTTGGAATTATTAAACATCAACAGAAATATTTTTTCTCGTTGATTCCCTTCTACTTTTAGCTTGTTGGCCTTTTATCCCAAGAATAAACAAAATTTACGGACTTCTCTCCACACTTTTGGTTTAAATATAAAGAAAGCAAGGTCAGTCGGAAGGTTTCTACACGGGTCATTTATTGACATTTCACGTTACACATTATATCACGATACGCATTTTAAAAATACTGACAGAAAGATCGATTAACTCCATGCATTCTCTATTTGGAACCAAGAAGATCTCGCGACCAAGCAACAGAAATTCAGTCCCTCAAGCCGAAACTTAAAAGAAATCCCTACTTTCTAAAGATACGAAAGGTTAAGACTAGACTACAATGGCATACCATAAATGATCGATTAAGCGCCGCGGCGCTTATTTCATTTTCCGTGTTATAGGTGCGGCGCTTATAACGAAAGCGGCGCTTACTTCAACTACGGGTAAAACACTGAGAGGAATATAGAGAGAATTAAGTGAGGCGCGTACTAGGTATGCACAATTTCATACGAATAGTATAAAGTATGTACACCTCGAACAGTTATATGAACCTGGTTTCAAGAGTTTCCCTACATTAAAACTTTAGAACTCACGAGTTGGTCGAGGTCTTATTTCTCAAGCGATATGGTTTTGATATCTCTATTATATCAAGCGCCGTAGCGAAGGTGAGGCGTTTATTTGTAAATAACCAAATTAGCGCCGCGGCGCTTATTAAAATATTTTCCGTAAAGGTGCGGCGCTTAATCGATCACGGTACACGAGCTTTACTTTAGGGCTTTGTGGCAGCGTCTGTTGAGTCATGTCTTCACGAAAACGTTTCCTTGGTAACTTTTTTTTGGTCCATTTTACATGACAAAACTGAGTGTGTACGGACCAAAATTAATGCCAGAGGGAGCAGTACTTGTCAGGAAAGAATCGTTGAAATCTTCAGGTCATGCACAGATTTTAAAAAACTTCTGATAAACGCTTACATTTTTGGCATTTGAACATCTTGCGCAGCTCTTTTCGAAAATCCGTCTTGAGGAAGGCGTACACGATTGGATTCACTGCCGAGTTGGCCATCAGCGCCAGATTAACGATCTGCTCGATGGTGCCTTTAAAGGGACAGACTTTGGTCAAAAGGCAAATGCAATGGTAGTTTCCTCCAAGGTAGGTGATGTTGAAGGCTGTGATGATCAGCACGATCATGGCGGTTGTCCTTCTCTTGCTTGAGCCGTATGGATCACGTGCCTGTGGTACGTTAGCTTCGTCATCTGCATGATTGAAGCGCACCTGGGTGACCATTTTTCTTGTTTCTCGGGCGAGCTTGTTGGCAAAGTAAAGGAGATGGTATGTTATGGCCACAAAAGCCACCAACGGGAAAATCTGGAAAATGATGACACGCGAGACCTCCACAAACATGGTATACCCTAGGTTGTGGTTATAGCTGAAAATGGCAGGAAGTGAGAAGAGTAAAAATGGCACGACCCAGGCCGTAGCGATGAGACCAAAGATAACCTTTTTTGTGATCAATTCCACGTACCTCAGAGGTCTTGTAACGGCGATGTAGCGATCTATGGTCATGGCGAAAAGATTCGCGTTGGAGCAGTACATGAATGTGAAACTGACTCTGAAGAATGCCCCAGTGTGCATTTTGTCGAAGGTGAAGCCCAGAAAATTAGGGCCACATAACGGTAGAAGGAACGTCAAAGCCACGCACATATCAGCTACAGCTAGGGAAAGCACAAACCAGTTTGCATTCGTCTGCAGGCTTGGAGTTTTAACGACTAGGTATATTACCATGCAGTTTCCAGCCGCAGCTAAAGCAACGAAGAACCAGCCAGAAATCCAGAACCACATGAGAAATAGAGCTAAATAATCAAAAATTAAAGTGCCTTTTTTTTTATAATGAAGTCATTCTAATTCGACATTTTTCCACGCGTCTTTTACTTCGGACGCCTTTTCGGGATCCGGGATAAAGCTTATTTGAAGGCCGGGATTTGGGAACTTAGAGATTAGCAGTAACGGGCAGCCTACAAGTTCTGTGTCATTATTGTGAGCGGGATACGGGGAAAAAGCAGTTTTATGATGCAAGATTCGGGAAATGTTGTTTCATAGAACTGAGTATTAGGTAAGAAATATAAGCTCTCTATTTTCTTAATTTTGACTCGACACATTTTCTGCACCTTTTCACATGCCTATTTTGAGCATACCCGACACATCTTCTTCCCCGCTACTTGTAACTCCGGTGGAAGATGGAAAGTGGGGCTGTAAAGCAGACGGATCGGAATTGGCCAGTAAAAAGTCGTCGCGATGACGGAACAAACAAGACTAAACATTTCTACCGTCACTCTAGCAGCATTACTAACTCTTCATTCTCTTCGTCGACTCACAAACATGCGTTAAAATCCTACACTCTGATGGTCATTATTTCAAAAGAACGTATATATCATCTATACACGGTCCGAAGTTTTAATGTTTGTAATACAAAATTTCATGGGAGGGTTGCCCTGTTCGTGGGAATAATGAGTTTACTTCGCAGAACTCAATAAGATTTGAAGTCGAAATTGAAGTTGAAAAATGAAAAGTGTAATAAATAAATGAGAGGTTAGCAAAAAAGAAAGAACTCTTACCATCAAAACCTTGCTTGAAAGCGTTGTTAGATCCTACGATCCTCCTACTCTACCGAGCGAACTATTGAAAACGAAACCTTCAGCGACCCTTCTCGAAAAACAAAAAAGGGAAGAATAATTTACTGACGCGTGCTTTTCGAATAATGACGCAAAATTTTGACAGACAATTTTCGAACTTCTTCGCAGCTGCAACACACTCGTAGCTTTGCCATTTAGTTACATAGCCTAAAAACATGCCACGACTTGAATTTTTCTAACGGCCTAAAATTATTCCCAAATATCTGCTCATCTTTCGATATAATCTTTTTAAAGATTATATTATTATTATTTTTGCCAGGGAAATAGGGGCTGAAAACTCAGCCTTCATTTTACAAAGATTAAGACACTAATTAACACCATGTTTGCATATCTTTTATGAATACAGGGTTAAAAAACGGTCACTAGCTTGGCGGAAAAGGGTTTTCGATTTTGCAGATTTTAAGCCATTTGAAGACCAGTTTTTCTGTCAGGAATCGCCCCCGTAATCATACAAAATCCACGACAATTCAGTTGATGTAGTTTAATGCACAATAACGAATCCCAAAGTCACAGTTTTCGCAACTCACTCACTCACAGATATTTTCGGCACAAGTTGGTTTTCACAGCGTGATCGTCTCCCCTCGACTCCCCCAATACACGTGAAACCTAACCAATACTATTATAAAGTGACTGACATTTAGTATTATTTCCAAAAAACCAAATATAGTTTATCAGTTATCACGTTCACTTCGTGCCAATTCCTTGAACTTATCGGAGATCATGAGCTAATTATTTAGCAACCAACGTTGCCATCAACTTGAAAAACAACTAAAAAGGATAAAAATATACTATGAAATATGCACGCACACTATTGGCGCACAATTCCCAACATTTCGATTTTTTTTTCTCTTAAAATTTACGATGTTTCGGTTTCAGTGGGTTCCATATTAGTTTGTCATTTTATGAACATATACAGTTTCGGTTTTTGTTTAAAAGAAAGGTGGTTTTTCGGGTTTTTATATTTACTTCCCTTTCCGGTTTTGATGTTAATTGGTTCATCAGTAAATAGCTACAAGAATTAAAAAAGAAAAAAAATAGATTCTAGGAAGACCATAAGTTGTTTTAAAGCCCACAGATGACCTGAACTAATTCACAGTTTGATTTAGACTTCCTTATTAACTTTTACTTGTGTTAAGTAAGCCTCTTTCAAATGCTCCGTTTGCGTGAGTGAATAAAAAAATAAATTAAAGAACGAAACAAAACAGTAACCAGAAATTGTATGGTCCTTGAATGATTCGTTTAGAGATACGGTTTTCGTGTGTGATGCAGTCGGTACATAGACCGAAAAGAAATTATAGATAATTGTTTTTCTACTTTAATAACGACGTTTCGCTGACCCTGGTCGAACTTCTTAATTATTCGCAAAACGTTTGTTCTTGTTTAGATTCGTCCCAAAAAGTTCGACGTTTTAAAAAAACGTTTGGTTTTTAAAATTTTAAAACCTTTTATCCCTTTAAAAATAGCATTTTAAAATGGTTTCCATTATCCTAACATTAAGAGACCAACTTTCAAACAACTCAGTGAAAGGTGCATTTGGCGTTTTTTTTTTCGGCAGTTGGTCAGAAGATGCCATACATGAATTGTCTATTTTTAAACTGATGACGTGTGGTTAGATAATTAGCAAGTTAACGTATTTTTTCGTGAACTAACATAAACAATTTTATTACATATGAGAAAAACCAGGTGAGCTTTCGCGCGAAAACACGATATCTTCAAAGGTGAAAAGATAACCGTTGCTATGGCTACACAATAAATCGCGCCTTTTACAGCGAAAGAACTATTAAATTGAAAAGGTTTGGTATTTCATTGGTGTTTATATAATAGATAGAACATTACGAGGTATAATATAAAAATATTCGGCCATGCCATGAATATCCTCTATTTATTTCATATTAAATAAAAATACAAATTTTACTTCATCCACTATTGCAGCTCTTGTTTTAGTTCAGTCTAAATATTTCCTCCACGTATTTGCGAGGTACTTAAACGGCATTTTGGTTGTTAAAATTGACATTTGAGTCAAGTGACTAACATGTTTTGCAAAACGTTTTAGCAAGATCACCTTCAGTTGCTTGGTATGATTTACACCCTCAAGCAAGCGAGTGAGCGAGCGGGGAGTGCAACCCGGCGAAACAACAGGCGCTATAGAGTGTTTTCACTCACGTGGCCAGCGTCTATGCAAATTTATTGGAACAAAAAAAAGCGTTTGCCTAAGAAAAGAGTTCAACTCCCAGAGTATTGGTTTGGGACACCAAAATGGCGGCCGTTTCATTGTTTTGGGACACCAGTATGGCCGCCCTGACGTCATGTGAAAACATTCTATATTCGAAAGGTTCGGGGAAAAACAGAGAATAAACATTCCCAAGATTCCACACTCGCCGCGTACGAACAAGGACTGGTGACGTCTGGTGAAAAACATTTGAGTACGGTGTACTGAGGAACCTAGCCTTCGAGTGGGAGCGAGGCAGGCAGTGATCTTCTTTTGATAGAAACCTCATTAATATGCCTAAGAACATGAAAACAAAATAATATAATAATAATGATAATAAGAAGAGCATGATTTACATTTCAGAAGCAGTAGGGGTTTCAATCAAAACAAGGTCACCTCCAGCCTCACTTTTATTGAACACTCCAGAAAATACCATAACATACCATAATGCTCTTTGTTTGCCACCCCAAATTTTGCATAAGCATTGTTTCCAGTTTCTATGCGGGCCATTTTAACTCCCAAGAGAAACTGAAGACAGTGCTCATGCAAAATTTTGCAGTGACAAACAAAGAGCATTGTGGTATGTTATGGTATTTCTGGAGTGGTCGCAAACTTTAACCTCGTCCTCAGAACCCAAGTTTTTTCTCTTGGAAAAGCTCTGGGGACGAGTTTGTTGCAACTTTAGCGGCCAAAAATTTGCCTTTACGACTGAATACACATTTCTCCGTTAGCTATAATAATAATAATAATAATAATAATAATAATAATTGATTGACTGATTGGTTGATTGATTGAGATATAAAAGTCTAATTAAGAACTAAACTGTTACGCTAGAAAACATATCAAAAAATATCAATATGACTTTTCTAAAGGGAGAAAGCATAAGGAATGATTCTGAATACTTGTAGTCTATCAATATAATGCTATTATAATAAGACTCTTTCAAATATGTGAACTGAAATCTGTACATGAATACTTGATATTTAATGTCTCAACTTTCTAAAAACTTTAAAAACGTTTCAGAGTCGCCGAGCACGTAGGTCAGTGGTCGACAGCCTCTCGGGTTTCTGACAGCACACGAGAGAAGCCGAAAGAGCACCGACGACAGAATCCGAGTGTCCACGAGAATCGCTTTTCAATATAACAACTAGCGAAACTACAAACTCGCGTAAGACCAGAGGTTAATACAGGTTTTCAACAAAATATCCTTGCTAATCTTCCTCACTGCACGCTGCACCAGCGTTTCTAGAGCTAGATCTTATTAGAGCCGTCAAAGCGTGTAAATGCGTCTTCGTCGAAGACGGTTGATTTTTTCTTGAGGTTTTCGTGGCCAGAACTTGCTGCCTGTGTCGCCGCTTTTCCTCCGAAACGCTCTCTTCAAGCTGTTTAACTGGTTCACTTGACTGTTTTGAAATCTTCCCGAAAGGTGTTTCTTTTGAAAGAGATCTTTCCTCATTCTTATACGTAGTCGACCTTCCTGACGGTAAAGGCCTTAACGACGTAGCGATTAAATCCTCTTTGTCGTTTCCCGCGAAGGAACTTGACAAACCGCGGGTTACTTGATGATTTTCGTTCGTTTCACCAATGGTAGAAGACAGTTTAGTACTAGCAAACGCACGCTCTGATTGGACTCCACGCAAACACAAACTTTCTCTTTGGTCTCGTTGGGAGATAGAACTTACAAAATGAGGTTGCTTTGGCATGTTGTCATCTCCAGTTGAAATGTCAGAGAGTTTCCCATCTAAACCACGTCTTAATTTTCTGCCAGACGCATCAAAGCGTTCTCTTTTATCTAAAGTAAGAGGAATTTCCATTGCAGACTTTGCTACTTTGTCCTTTGGTTTTACTACAGCCGAACCTGAAGAAAGACCAGCATCTAACCCATAATTTGAATTGCTGTTAAGTTTGGATCGATTCCCAGCTCTTACCATTCGCTTTATAGCTGAATCTTCGCCACCGCGACTTATTCTAGCATCGAAATCAGAGAAGTCGAGATCAAACAGGTTACTAATTTCTTTTGTTTCCAAAGATGGCTCAGGAACTAGAGCACGACCATTGCGCTTTACTTTCTTTGAATTAAACAAAGGTGGAGACGATCTTTGCAGAAGAAAGGAAGGGCAGATAGGATAGTCGGTGAAAACTGAACTTTCGTCAAATGAAAGATCTAAATTTCGTCGTTCCGAATTTTCTAATCCATTTGAGGGCTCACTGAGATAACATCCCCCAAACGGCAGTTTTCCGTTTTCACGGTCACTGCTCAGTACATCACACATTGAAGAAGTATCCACATTGCTGTGTGTATCTCCAATAGTTTTCTGAGCCCTTTTATCCAATTGCGCGACTACTTGATTTCCGCGATGCAAATTTTTAAGCTCTTGCCTAACATTTGTTTGCCTCAGTTGACGCGGCAAATTTGATGTTGGTAAGCCAAGCGAAAAAGTAGCGTTGAAGGAAAACTGCCCCGGCTGCTCTGTCCAATATCTTTTGGTGTCGTAACTATTATCACTACATTCAAGTTTTAGAAGCCGTAGCTCTTCTTCCAATTCATCAAGTTCTCGTTTTGTATTAACCGTCAAACTTTGGTTGTGCCACATTGTGGTTGGAGTACTCCCTGTTGGCGAGACTACGCCTAATTCATCTAGTTGTTTTGTTCTGTTTATATCCACTGTAGGGATTTCTTGAGACCATTCTCGCTTCTCCGTTGCAAAACTGGATTTATTTTGACTCTGTTCTCCAAGATAAGTCAACTCAGAGCCTTGCCGCTCTTTAAGCCTTTGTTCTCTAAGTTGTAACCTCTTAATCTCCCGTTTTAAGTTGGTCTGGTCTGACGTATTAAGCACTCCTTTCGTCCTATTGGAGTGTAATAGGTACAGTGATTCTAGATAGTCATGAAATTGTTCTCTATTCCTCCGCTGTGTTATATCTTCTGTTCTTACGTTTGAAACTATGCCCAGTTTTTCGGATGACACTTGCAGTACAAGACTGACTTTTTCGAAAGGTGAACCAAATTGCAAGACCTGAAATCAATGTTACAAGGCGCACAAAGATATCTGTGAGAACAAATTCAAGACATGATTTCCTTACTTGAACGAGCCCTTTTCCCGCGTTTAGCTTCCGTTGCGCATTTTCTCGCGCTAAGAATTTGTTGCGTATCTTCGTGTATTTCCGCAGCGCTTAACATCCGTATTTTTGGCGTTATCCACCCAACGCACATTTCCCCAGCGCTTAGCATCCGTTGTTTATTTAAAGCGTTAAGCAACGGTACCCACAGCGCATTTCCCCAGCGATTAGCATGCGTTGCGTATTATTGGCGTTCATACAGCCACTGCGTATTTCCTCAGCAATAAGCTCCCGTTGCGTTTATATCGCGTTTGGCACCCACTGCGCATTTCCCCACCACTTAACATCCGTTACGTATTTTTGGTGTTAAGCAGCCACTGCGTATTTCCGCAGCACTTATCATGCGTTGCGTATTTAAGGCGTTTAGCAGCTACTGCGCTTAACGCATTTCCCCAGCTCTAAGCTTTTGTTGCGTTTTTATCGAGATAAGCACCCACTGCGCATTTCCCCAGCGTTGTGTATTTTTGGCGTTTAGCAGCTACTGCGCTTAACGCATTTCCCCAGCACTTAGCTGCTGTTGCGTTTTTGACGCGTTTAGCAGCCACTGCGCATTTTCCCAGCGCACAGCATCCATTGCGTTTAGCCTTTAGCAGCCATTGCGCATTGATCCAGTGTTAAGTATCCCTTGCGTAGTTTTACCATCTGGCAGCCACTACGAATTTCCCCAGCATTTAGTATCCGTTTTGTGTTATAGCGTTTAGCAGCCATTGCACATTTCCCCAGCGATTAGCATCCTTTGAGGATGTTTTTAGGCGTTTAGCAGCCACTGCTTATTTCTCCGCAGATTTTAGTATTTATTGTGTAATTTCTCTTGCTTAGCAGTCGGTGCACTTTCCTCCGCGCAATTAAGGCTTAGCGCTTAGCACCAACTGTAAGCTTTTTGGTCCATTAACAATCCCTTCGCAAAACCATCAATTTTAGATTTTTTTTAATCTCACTTACCAAGTTGGGAACTGCATCCTCGAAAAGAGCGTTTATTAACAAACATAGCACTGTTCCATCTTGGAAACTGACAACAAAAAAAATTTAAAATTAAAAAAAAAAAAAAAAAAAACCGGAGACAACAAACAGACTGCATAAAATTAATTAAAACTAACGAGTTTTGCTTGTTATGAAACTGTGGTTTCTTCACGTTATTGAGAGAAATCTTATTACTGAAATTAATTTCCAGTTAGTGACAATATGCAAATTGGTCAATCAGTAAAGTAATTTTTAATGCCTTGGTATCCTTTGGGAAATATTAAAAGGCTTTCAGAAAAAGTAGAAGTTTTATGATGAATATTGATAAATGTAACTACAATCCTGAACAAAAAGTCCTTGGAACAGTAATACAACATTCATAATTATATTAGCCTACGTGGCGGGCGTTAAAAGGAAGGGGAAGGGGGAATTTGGGTGCGCTCCTCCCTCCTCCCTCGCGCACGGTCTTGCGGCCTCAATTCCCTTCCCCTTCCCTTTTGAGTGCCTGCCACACAGGCTATAATATACATGTTATTTCTAGGTGTCCTCACAAAACAGTGGTTCCTTTTGGATAATATCTTACAGTTCTCCCTCTCCCCACATTATACAATGTTGAAACTTGGAATAAATTCTGAATACCAGTGTTCATTGTTGCTTGTGGGGTGGGGGAAGGGTCTGGCATGTGTGACTTAAAAAATGCCCCAAAAGTGCAAATTTGTCCCATGACTTTTATCCATGATTGAAGTAAGTATAAATCGGAAGTATTACCATGCTTTATTTGTACTTTACCTTTGAAAATCTGTGACTTGTTTGCCAGTCATCCTTGACACCCAGCCAAACAGTGCCGCCAAATGACCTTCCTCTCTAACATGGTGAACTTGATGATTTTCTGCCACTATGAAAATAGATACAGTTTTGAAAATGTATAAAAGGGGCACGGAAAACACTGAACATTTCAGAATTAAAGCATATTGCCAGGACTGCCATTACCTTGACTAGACCCAAAATGTCTATAGAGACAGTGACATAAGGCTAAAACAACCTTAAGATTTCCTTTGACAATGTCTGAAAAACAAACACTTGAATCAGAAATATTATATAAGTGTCAAGTGACTTTATCTGGGATGATTTGCTCCGCAAAGTAGGAAAAACCAAATGGGTCTGTTCAAAAGAGATGCCTTGATATGGTATAGGTATTACAAAAGGTAACTAAATACTTGGCAGGAATTGCAGATGGAAATTCAATGATCATCAACCATCATTTCTCTCCCTAGCACACTTTGGACCATGAAGAAGATCATTTTTTTAAAACTCACTTTCTCTCAAATGGTGGCATAGCTTCTAATTTGCAAAGGTAAGCTCTTAAACTCACAAACCACTGAAATAAAAGCTACAAATACAGAGAGTGTTTTGGAAGATAAGAAAGCTCAAATTTTCTTACCTTCTGCAGTAATGTCATTAACTGACATATTGCAATACTCTAAAAAATTAAGGCAGGTCTGTACATTCTCCATTTTCTGAACATCCAGGGCTGGTTTGATGTGGATCTGAGGAGGATACTCTCCAACTGTGTTGCAAAATTTAAAAAAAACAAACAAACAAACAAAAAAAACAGAACAAAATGAAAACAAAAATAAGAAAAGCAGTAACCTTTGAGCTCTGCACACCTCAGATGACCTTGTGGCTGGTAATGTAAAGATTGTGCAGGGTCGACAAAACCTTACAGAGTGTTACAAGTAAAAATGAACCCAGGGATGGAGAGGCACAATATTGATCACAGTGAAGCTCATCATGGGTGGATTTTGAGGGAGGGGGGCATGGGTCCACCCATCCACCCCTTCATAAATGTTAAGAAGGATTTGTATGAAGTCATTGATGCATAACAGCATTTTTCCCACAAATCTACACTAACAGGCAGATTTTTAGCAGGGGTGGGTGGGGGATTTTTCATCTTGTTCTTTCTAGATATGCCAACCAATCTAACAATTTCACAAATTTTGTTCTTGTGATGTCATGACACACTTCTTTACTCTACTGCAACTGAGATTTACTCACCTCACATTTCCACCAAACTTAGTAGGGTGATTCCATCTCCCAAGTCTCTTGCTATGTCTGTGATTAAGAACTTATCTTGACTGTGCTGAAGAAAGGAGTTGGCCCATTGGGTGAAGAACTGTGCATTGTTGAAGAAACAATTTTGCAAAAAGTGAGCTTCACAAAAAAGGGCAAACAGGCTTATATTTCAGCAAAAGTGCCCCGGTAGTTCAAAATGGATAGTGCGATCCACAGGATAAATCAATATCCAGTGGATAAGTATTAGAGAAACCAATAAGCCAATATCTCTATGGATAGCGTTATCCACCTTTTGGGGCCAGACTATAGACTGGGTTTAATAAATACAAGTATCTGACAGCTATATGACCTCTCTCTACTTTGATGGGAATTACAGAAGAAATCCTTCACAAAACGTTTTACACATAACAGTTAAAGCCCCCCCGCCCCTTCAATGTTCACAAGTTTGAGAATTGTATATGCTTCGAAAACAAAATGGCAAATTAATGATCCAACCTCCTTCTCACTTCTTACTACTTACACTATTTCTTCTCAGACCCCTTACCCCTTTACTTCACGGGCCACTTCGTTTATTTCCTTAAACTTTTACCTATGTTCCCACCCTCTTTCACCCAATTCCTGGCATCCTATTCTCTCCACCCAACAGTCCATTTCTCAGATCCTTTCCCCATTCCTCCAGTTTCCACTCCCGGCTCTTTCTCTCAATTCTCTCCTTTTTTTCTCCCAATTCCCACCCCTTCTCTCAACAAGGGGCTATTAACCCTTTCTAGAAAAAGCCCTTTTTTCTTTTCACGATTCCATTCACTTACCATACATTCATCATATGTTAGCTGTCCCAGCTCTGAAGGATTACAGTGTGTGAGAGTGTTTTTATACAAGGTTGATGCATTTGGAGTGCAGGGTCGTTCAGATGGATGATCAGATAAGCTACGAAGCATCTTACTAATTCCAGGGCTTGGGGTTGATCTTGGTGAATTGACACTGTTAGCACTCTCGGCAGGTATTGGCATAAACGCACTGCTACTCTGCTCAGAGAAGAAATTTGTCAGCTGAGGGCTCACCCTCTTACTGCAATTTCCTGGAATCAAGGGACTGTTTGTAGACAGATCTTCCTCAAGGTCAGTTTGCCTCGCAGAAGTGTCATTAACTGAGATGTCAGCTGCGTTTCCTTCTAAAAGATTTGTCGAGTTGGTAGATCGTGCAGTAAGGAGTACCGATGTCATATCAGATGATGAGTCACATTCACTGTATGCTGTACTGGCAGGAAAGATTGATTCATCACCACTGGCATAGAACACAGAATCTTTCCAATGGACTACATTTGCCATAAGGGGCGAGGTCAAGTCACTTGGTATCTTGTACTCTACCATTGTTTTTGCTGTCACACAGGAATCCAGCTCAGTGCATTATTCCTAGAACAAATCTTCTTCATCACCATGGTGCTACTCAGTAATGTTGCACGCTGTAATGGATAAAACCAATAAAATGTTAACTGTTCAAGCTAGAATTATTATTATTATTATTATTACAACAACATTCTCTTTGCTAAATCGCTGATAATTCACCAGGAAAAGAATGAAAGTACTGCATACAAATGCATTATGTTCGCATGTGCAGAAATTTTGCCAAAAGTACGGTAATCTTTAATACTAGAAACGCGTCATCTAAAAAAGCGTCGGAGGAACTGAGAGGTCGACTCAAGCGGCAACTTCCAAATACATACGTACACGAGGGTGTACGTGTCGCCTGATTAGGTCGCTAATCCCTTCTTTACAATAGAAAGATCTTTTCAAAGGAAGGCAGTCACGATCATAAGAGAACAGAGAGGAATAACGTCATTTTCCTCGCTTAAATTTTGTTTTTTTCGATACCAAGGCTAGCTACAAGTGGTTTTCAGACACACCATGCACTTGGACAAGAATTTCGGATCAACTATGTGCAATACAAGAGCAATTACAAAAATAACTATGATTTTTATTTGCGAAAAGACACGATGCACGTAGAACCAGACCTTTACGGAAAAGTAGAAGCCTCAACGGTAGATACACGCGAACCAATTTCGAGAAAAAGTCAAAGTACAACGTACAACTCAAATGTCAGTTTCACTCACCTTAACATCGGCGAACTCGCATCCTGCGATCTTGACAAGCACAATGCTCTTGTTTACAAGCACTTAACTTGTAATTTACCCAAGTCTAATTAGGTTTCACGAGAATGAGAAAAACTTAAGGTTCTAATGACGAACGACGCACAGAATACATCGTCCTTGAAATCGACGAGGAGGAGGCAAAGCTCGTGTCGCGGATGCCGTGACTGTAAGCGTTACTTTACGTGAAGCATTCCAGAATCACGCAGCTTTCAAAATACCGCTGGAATGTTTGGAATGCAGTTCCTTTGCGTAAACTGTGCGCGGGGAAGAAAAATGTCTTCCCAGTGAAAAAAGATCATCGCAGTTTTAGACCCAACTTTTGCAGTTGCGAAAAAGAAAGCTTGAAAAAAGTTTTGTCTATAACTACTTCTTTCATTTAATTCTTCACCACCCAGTTCCTATGTCTGATTTTCATATATTTATTGTATCAAAATGCTTATTTCTTGACGCTAAAATAAAAACTCTGAATATTGAAAGAGCATTATTTCAGTTATCCCTGGCTCTCCAAATAATTTCGAAGGGTTGCTGCGCTGAAAATTGCACAAATTTCTCTTTCAACTTTTTGGTTTAGTTCATATGTGCCAAAAATGAAAAAAGAAAAAACAACAACAACGACGACAGGATGAAACTGGGTCAACGAGGATTTAAAAACCTAGGAAATCACATAGGACGCTCTATTCACTAAAAGAACTGAGAGACTCAAGGAGAGAAAGGCCACTCAAAACTTTCATGTCTAATATTTCTAACGTTTCGGTAGGAGGTGGGTGATCGGGGGTGGTGCTGTTGACTGTCTACTGCATTCAATATAGGATAGGATAGGGTAGGATAAACTGTTTGAATGCAGAGGTCCATAACTGAGTGAATCCGAACCAACACTCGCGGTGCAGGTCTGTTGTAGGATTTTTAATATAGCAGATGAAGCAAAACCGATGTGTCGTACATGAAGTGTTAACCCATTTAGCAAAAAAAGACATGAGAATATAGAGCCCCCCTCCCCTCCCCGGCGGAATCCACACAAGAGTGAGTGATACCAGCTGCCTCGCTTAGGGGTAGAAATTGCAGCTTTTGACGGAGCGGGGGCGGATCTAGGGGGAGGGTGCAGGGGGTGCGCCCCCCCCCCTGAGATGACCTGCGGTTTTCTAACACAACAGGTATTCTGCAAAAAAAACTATGTGGTTTATTGGAAGAGACGAGTGCACCCCCTCCTAAAAAAAACCCTGGATCCGCCCCTGAGGAGCACTTAGCTGGCTTTTGACCTCACTTAATATTTTTGCCCATGAAGGTATTACTTAGGGTAATGGGCAAAGGAATACCTAAATAATATCAAAAACCGTCACCCTGTGTTGGTGTACTGTATGGTTTCCTTAGGGGTAAAGTAAAACTTACGCCACACCCAGACAGGTCTTGTTTAGGGTTTAGTCTTTTATAAAGAAGTCCCCCAGGAATTGACAACGATAAAACGTTTCCAATACTATCAATACTCGATCCCCATTGTTTGTCAACAGTGAACTTACATTAATGATGAACGGTATAAAGGTATTTGTTTATTCAATTTTACAACGTTTAACAATTCCTTTATGGGAAGCGATAAAAATCTTCATATTAAATCAAATCATATTTTTGAGACAACTGTTCTGTCCCTAACAAACTATAAAACCGTCCACTTCAAAACAATTACCATAATAAAGTTGAATTTTTTTACTTTACAGTTATCTATAATCATGGATTTAAATATCACCATTGCTTGGCGATTCACTCTCTTAAATAAGCCTTATACAACGCTCAATATGTATTACTTTGTCCTTATTTTCCTTATTTTTAACGCGAATGTGGTTAATTAATTTCATCTTCGATTCTATTTTTTATTTTCATCAGTACTCGGTACGTTTAGGAGATAAAAAATGCACCAAATACGAATTCAGCCACAAAAGACTACCATGGAACGTGCACAAATGTACCTTAAAATTAATAAACGGGTGACACTGGAAAGCTCTGGTTTTGAAACTGCACAAAATTACATTTCACAAATCTGTTTTAGCTGTTTCACATAATATGGGTGTTTAGATCTGGTAGTAAAAAGGTTAAGACATAAATAACAACCACAACGTTTGTTTTATTAACTTCAACAAGTCATCTGGCCCCAGTTGTTCGAAACGTGGATATCGCTATCCACCGGATAAATCTCTTTCCAGTGGGCAATGCAATTAGTTTTCCTAAAATCCGGTGGATAGCATTATCCAAAGTTTGGACAGCCGGGACCAGGCGATTAAAAAACGCAATTTCATGTTATTGGAGATTTAATAATCTTTAACTTTGTCTGCTGCAATCTGGTACTATCCTTTTAAAAGCTCTTGCATCATGAGGAAAATTCTCCTCACCATTTTCTAAATTTTCACTCGGTACTTATGAAGAGAATTCGTTTAAAAATTTAGTCGTTTTACATTTGGTCATCAATGCCTTTATTCTCACGCCTTTTCCGTGTAATTAACCACTGACATTGTATGAAGAAAGAAAGTTCTGGTCATATTATGGTTTTAAGGGTAAAATCTGAGGAACTGGTTTAAAGAAAACACACACCAATACGATCTGTGTGACTTCATATCACGGTCACACAACAGCAAGGCGATGACATAGTGTACCTTAATTACACACGAAAAAACCTTACAAAGTTATGCAGCGTGCGTTGCAATCTATGTTACGAAAAATGTATTCCTACTCTGTAATTTTATGCCATGGATTATTAACAATGGTCTGGACATCATTTTAACGATATGCTGCGACGTAAACTTGCAAACTAGACATGTCCAAGGCGTTGAGTCGGGCTTGCAATTTCCTTTTAATACTTTGACAAGAATGAGGTCGTGCTGAAGATCACAAGTGATTCTGTCCTCCAGTGCACTTTGTGCTATGCCGGCATCCACTACCACTTTGTACTAAAATTCACGACTTGTAAGGATTGTTTACTGATCACAAGTATATTCTCCTGAGATCTGATGGTGACGTTATCATGTTGCACTGTGGACACAACTTTTTTGCTCCCTGGAAAAAGCAAAAACCAGGTAGAATTACTATCCAAAGTGAGTCAGATATTAAACACGAGTCAAAGTGTTTCATCCGATATTCAAACTTCGAAAAGTAATATGTCAAACACGACATGGTTTGTGTAATGGCAAGTTTCTTGTAGGTGTTTCAAGATTGACTTCGAGAAGTCTGGAAATTGGATGAAACATAGACTTTCAAAAAAGTCCTTCGTCTGATAAATATGGTACGGGACGAGAAGTCGACCTCTCGCGACTTCGTCGCTCGATCAGCGGCTTCGCGGCGTAAAAAGCTCCCTCCGCTCGCTTGAAAACTCGAGAGGCAGACTTGTGGCAAGTCTAGATGAAACACTGGGATATTGGACAGTTAACTCAGCTGGTAGAGTGCTGGACCAAAGAGCGAGATTTTGTAGGTTTGATTCCAGGACAAAGCATTATTCAGAAAATTAAAATAACTTAGCAAGGAGACAGGTACTGTCTTGGCTCTTCAAACGACTCAACCTTGTCGTGGTTCGGATGAGCATTTGGAAGTAGCAATCTCGTGTTTCTCAACAACTATTGTAGTTCTGGGGGGATTTTAAAAATGACTCATTAAAATAAGGAGCTTTTACTACAAAAACTTGGAAGCTCTCCAAAATATACATGTAAAATACCATTATTGTTACAAGAAAAACAAGTTCATACCAGTGTTCTAAGCCAGCATTCCTCACAATGAACGTGCCAACAAGAAATTGAAGCCAAGGGATTTGTGTATGGTTCCTGAAATAGAGAAATAAGATCATCCCTTTCAAAAGACTGTCGAACGTAATTGCATCATTGCTTTGGCTTTTATGGCCCTAACGCATTGTGATTGGATGACCGATATTGCGCCACTTCCTCAACCAATCAGAATTCAGAAAAAAAGCCAAGTCTGGGCAAGACTTGTAGGCGTTTCCACGCTTGGATTTGATTGGTTTATTTGTCTGTCAACGCGAATTGTCAACCAATCAGAGAATTTGGGAAATCAAAGGTGAATTCTCGTTTTATCGTAGAAGCTTCTCTTTGCTATAAACACACGTCTCTGCGAAAAAAGGCGCCGTTTGTTTCAATGGTTGTAATGAACAAATGATCAAAGATTTGGGAACTCTACGTACCATACAAATCAAACACTTCATCTTGTCAGTTTTCTTATCTCCCTGGTAAGATACAAAGGAAAAGTAACAGTTGTAAGCAATTAAAGTGGTATTTTATCACGATAATTGCCAACCAACTTTTGTGACGGGGGGGGGGAGTGGTTTTGAAACAACGAAAAAGTTGCTACTCACCAATTCTTTTATTCGAGCTTTTAGAGAACAGATAACAAGATCTGGGTTGCTTGTCCTGCAAAAACACATTTGAACTATCAGTCCACATGTTGGGTGCCAGCATTTGCCATGTGGCCGATGATTTTTACCTCATCCTTATTTTTCTGAACATGACTAATTCTCAAGTGTATAATGAGCCTGGGTTAAGACAGCTGATGGTATCTTAATCAGGGCTGCATTCTAGCATCACTGTGTTAGCCTTCAAGCAAGCCCTACATTTGAGGGAGTCTCTCACAGCTGGCTTTGCTCGCCATAATAATTAGAACACTTGCTAGCCGGTTACGCTGTGAGATCTCTAGCGACTTGTTTCCTCTTTGGCCCACAAAGATATCTTAGTTTTTTGCAAAAAATTTGAATGCTTGGCAACAACTTAAAGCCACTCACCCATCAACCGATTCGCCATTTTGTTTTGTCTCAGCAGTGCCACCCTCAGCATCTTTTTCTTGCTCTTCTCTCGTGGGGCTTTTTCTGTCCACAGGTGAACATTCACCGCTGCAAAGAAAAAAAGCAGTTATGAGTAAGCTGCCTCACTCCTCCATCCCTGAAGGTAAGTTGCCCTGCTCCTCCATCCCTGAGTGTAAGCTGAGCCACTCCTCCATCCCTGATGGATAGCTATTCCATTCCTCCTTCCCTGATGGTTAGCTGCCCCACTCCTCCATCCCATTCCCTGATTAAGCTGACCCACCCCTCCACCCTGAGACTGTAAGCCACCCTGATGGTAAGCTGACCCATCCCTCCACCCCATGACTGTAAGCCACCTCACTCCTCCATCTCTGATGGTAAGCTGACCCATCCCTCCACCCCAGACTGTAAGCCACTTCACTCCTCCATCTCTGATGGTAAGCTGACCCATCCCTCCACCCCAGACTGTAAGCCACCTCACTCCTCCATCTCTGATGGTAAGCTGACCCATCCCTCCACCCCAGACTGTAAGCCACTTCACTCCTCCATCTCTGATGGTAAGCTGACCCATCCCTCCACCCCAGACTGTAAGCCACCTCACTCCACCATCTCTGATGGTAAGCTGACCCACCCCTCCACCCCAGACTGTAAGCCACCTCACTCCTCCATCTCTGATGGTAAGCTGACCCACCCCTCCACCCCAGACTGTAAGCCACCTCACTCCACCCTCTCTGATGGTAAGCTGACCCACCCCTCCACCCCAGACTGTAAGCCACCTCACTCTTCCATCTCTGATGGTAAGCTGACCCACCCCTCTACCCCAGACTGTAAGCCACCTCACTCCTCCACCCCTGATCATAAGCTGTCCCACTCCTCCATCCCTGATGGTAGGCTGCCCCACTCATCCATGTCTGATGGTAAGCTACCCCACTCCTCCATCCCTGAATTTTACCCTGCTTTTTAAAACAGGTATTCACCTTATCACGGCTCCCCTGAGAGCTTGTCTGACATGGTCTTCATCAGGTTCATCGGAGGTACAAGGAATTACATCAGCTTCTGTGTACCTTCAGTCGCAACATTACAAGTCAAGGATGGTCATAACAAGAGCTTTGATTCTCACGACTTAACCACAATTGTGAAGGCAAGATTCACACAATAAAAAGGATCAAGCTTAGCCTTCTATATCCAATAAACTGGACTTTTTCACCAAGTTTCACGTGAAACTTCTCGAGAGGTTGTTCTACACCTTCTCTATTAAACCTACATTTAATTCAGATAATATCAATTTCCACTAATAATATTAATCAAAAGGTTAAAAAAGATTTCCACTAAAAAAGGAAATTTGAGTTTCCAGATTCAGGCTTACTTTTGCCTTAAAAAATACAGACAGTTGTAAAGGATACTGAGGTTTTCCATACTCTTCTGAATCATCACCATCAATATTCAGGTCTCCAACATCTTCATCTTCTCTTTTACGTTTTATACCAGTTTGAAAGCCTGAAGCTGAAAAGGACACCACACAAGTTGTTAGTCCTTTAAGCCCCATTATCCACATACAAATTCTCCAGACTGACTGACTGCTTACAGCATGCTGATCACTGCATCTTTTTAATATCAAAAATGAGCTTACTTTTCCGTCTTCTCACCAAGAGTAGTCGGCATCACAGACATTATTTAATCTTGGTTAGTAATGTCTCCAAAGCAGCGCTGATATTATTGTTCTGGACCCTCACAGACTCAACGAATTACCGGAAGTGCTCTTTGAATTTCCTTTCATCTTGATTGGCAAACAGACGATGGCAATTTTAACAGGCCAATCATAGAGTGTAGTCAAATCTTGGTACACAGGTGGGGCCCAGAACAGGGATTTCAATGCTGTTTGGCAAACTGACTTCACCAGAGAGTAGTTTTGTCGGTGGCGCAGGCTACACCAAGAGAAGACAAGTTACCTTTAAAACCTCCTTCCAGAAGAGATGTCGCTCTTATTCTTGTCTGACCTGCCCATTCATACTCTTCAAACACATCATGGCCATTAGCTTCCTCATTATCATCTATTCCACCACCTTCTTTCTACAGATAAAAATTTGGGGAGGATTAAACCTTTGCTTCACATTAGGTAAAAACAGACAAATTATGAATTACTGTAAGTTGTTGTTGGGCAAACAGTAGGGACTTTGAGCAAATCACTATAGTGACCTCTACTATGGCGGCTGGGAGTACAAAAGCTAAAAAATGACGCAGTGCCCTTGCTTAGAAATGACCTTTTGCTGTACCATAGCGCCACATCCTTACTATAAAGTGAGTATAAAATTTGACTTTTCTCCTAATTTTAACAATCACTTGTTTAAAAACCTTTAATAACTGTGGATTGTTCTTCACTTTATCAAGAAAGTATTGGATGGTTCTGGTTTTATAGTAATTGTCTTCCCTGTGTTTTACTAACAGTGAAAGTAAACGAGCGAGAAACCCATAGTCACTGTTTAAGTAGCCTGTGCCACAGACAAAACTTAACTCTGATTACAGTAAGTCTGTCTGTGAAACAGTGCCAAATCCTTGTTCTGGGCCACCACCAGGGCCCAGTTGTTTGAAGGCCCATTAGCGCTTATCCCAGGATTAAATTTAACCCAGGTTTCTTTTTCTTATGTTCAAAAGCGTTTTCTCGGATAATTTTCTCTGTAATTTTTAGAACTTCCAATCATCAACTTTTGGACAAAAACAATTAAAACTAAAATGCTTTTTAAGCTTTCAAATCTGAATTCAAATCTCGCACTAACCCTGGCTTATCTTAACCCAGCTTTGAACAACTCGGCCAAGGCTTTTAGCCAGACATTGAAAACTGGCCGTCCAGAAGGCATAAAATTATAAAAGATTAAGTGAATTGTCCTTGTATTTCATCCAAAAATAAGCGTCCATAGGACGGCTAGACACCCTTCTGGCTAAAACCTTGGCCACCACCCATGTATCAAGATTTGAGTATGCACCATGATTGGCCTGGAAATTCAAAACACACTTTCGGTTATTCATTGAGTCTGTTGGGGGCCAAGAGCAAGGATATCGGCACTGCTTGGCATATGTTACTAACTGAAGTTTAATTACATCTATTATACTACCACATGGGAAATTTCTGCAAGTTGATTGGCCTAAAGCAGTGGTATTTCAGCTTAATTTGAAATACCTACATGTAAAAATTACAAACCTTTTGCAGGTAGTAGTATAAACAAATAATAGCATGATTTGTGCCTTATATTTGGCATAAATACCACTCGTGATATTTCAAAATTGTCTCAAATATCACTTATCTAACGGCTTGTGAAATTACGTATAACAATTTCGAAATATCGATCGTGGTATTTATGCCAAATATCACTACAAATCATGCTATTACCTATACCAACGCAGGCTACTGTTTAGGTGCCGCTTGCTTAAAGTTGACATTTAGCAGGTTACGGTGACATACTATCCCCACGACTCTGCATCCACAACTGCCATAGTAGAGGTCACCATAGTGATTTCCTTTAAGTTCCTAGTTTTACCATTCAAACTGCAACAATGCTGTCAATGTCCTTACCTTTCTTAAGCAAGCTTCCACATGAGAATTTAGTTCATCACCATTGCCATGAATCACTTCTTCACACACAGGACACAATGTTGTCTTGATGCCTGATGGTCCTTCCTCTCCAGCAAGAGGGGAATTTACTGGAGAACCTAAAAAATACAGCAATGTATTTGATGAAGCTGAGTCAGGGTTAGCACTCAAAATGTCAGTTTTCCATTGTTTTTTACCATTAAGTAGTAACTCAATCTTATCAACTCAGTCAATAAAACCATTTTTTCACTCCTCATCTGATGCAGCAATACAGTGTTTTTTTTCTGTCCTTTGAATGCTCACAATGTACATATAGGCTTTAATTAATTTAACTAACTCAAAAGTTAAAACTACAGGATTTCCTTAAGTCAGCTAGTGAGGTTGGGAGTGAAAAGTTAATTAAGGATCTAAGTTATCTGTCTTTCAATTTTTTACCAGCCAAAAAGCAGATTTCAGCTACTGTTATATATTATTACAATGGAAGGTTAAGATAAAGGTTTCTTGGTTTAAAACCTCAGAGCAGGGCTCAAAGAAAGTCCCTCCCCTCGTCCTTGACAAGTAGCTTTTGGCATTCGGCAAGCTACATTGTACTTTCCTGGCTAGCTTAGGGTCATAGAACATAAAAAGAAGAGTGGAGTCGATATAACATTAATGAATTATTAATGTTCATATTATGAATTATTTATAATCGATATCAATGAAGGAAGAGAATTGGGCAAGTGAAAAATTGACCCTGGGAAGTAAAACTGAAGTCTTGCTTGCCCAAAGAGCAAGCTGAAATTTCATTTTTCTTTTTTTCAATCCCTGCTTAGAGGTGTAAAAGAATTTGAAAAGATTGTAGAGAAACAGTAAGACAGCTGAAATTTCCCAGCAGATAACTTCTATAAACTCTATAATGTTACCAAGATTAAAAAGTCATACTTTGAGAACTTCTAGACCTCGTTGGCTTGAGTGGTGCTGAGCGACCAGTTCTTGCCATTCTGTTTGCGCAAACTCGTAAGTAAGTCTGTGAAAAACAAATACAAAACATGCTTGCTAGAAAACATAAACATTGGAATTTCCTTCGCTTTTTGCAATAACAAATACCTGACAAGCAACCTGTGACAACTTGTGTTAACTTTTGGTCATGGCTTTGCACAGATTAGTGGGATTATTTGTTATTAATATTTATTTATTTATTTGCATGAAGGCAGACAATATGACACTTGGTTTCCTACTACATATCAATCATCATAATAGTTTGCATTACTATAAAGGTCTGTATTCCTCCTTCATTACTGAACAGAGTACAGCTCGTTGTTCTATATTGACTTCGTGTCCAATGTTATTTGTTGTTATTGAAAGGGAATACTGGAGGAGACAAGGCCAGTGGCTTAACATCACCACTTACTGATACAACCTGTGAGATCTTGCCAGTTTTTTGAAAGACCTGTCAAGCCGGATTCAAATTGGTGACCTCCTGTGTAGCAGAACAGCGCTCATCCAACTGAGCTAACCGGGTGGCCTTTACCTATTATTATCATCATCATCATCATCATTATCAATATCATCAGCATTATTGCGGGCTCCTCTTGTCGCCCACAATCTCCAGGTTGTTATTACACATGCGTCGCATGTATGTAAGCAGTATTGTTTGGACTTTCTATCACTCATAATCTGATCATGTGTGTCTTGACAATCCATCACGTGAAACTTGTGCAAAGCACAGTGCTGGAGCAAAAGCATTTTGACCTTCAATCGTTGTCGACTGCACTCCACAACCTTTGATTATTACTAGTTATTATTATTATTATTATTATTGACTTGCCTGTTGTCTGGTACTTGCTGGTGTGTCGTCCAAACGTTGGGAAGAATCTCCTCTGTTTTCTTGTTTAACCTTCCTCGGTAAAGTTTCGCCATTCTGAAAAGGACACAGACAGTGGTTATAATAAATGCAATCCAATCTTTACCTTAGCATCCAATGAATCTTTCCATTTTCAAAGCTTCAGACAAATTTGCAATTTCTCAATAAAGTTAAAAGGTACATGTAGCCACATAACCATTAAGAGGACTTGGTAAAAACACAGTGCAAAGATTTAATTAATAATAGTCCATCATTAAAAAAAGTCCAACTAAAATTTGCCCCATATCTGATCAGCATGCAAAGAAAGTCATGTCCTATAGCCCGGGGCTAGTGGATTTTGCTATTGGGCTAGTGATTCTTGTTCTTAACAGGCATGTGCTGTTTTTTAGGGAAATTCAAACTACAGAAGGATTGTAATCAATCCTGCCAATCAAAAAGGGTTTTGGGGCTAGTTGAAATGACTTGTGGGCTAGTACATGCTAGCTAAAGCTTGCCCGAATGGCAGGCTGTAAAACTGACTTTCTTTGCACCCTGCTGATGAAAGACTATCATTACTTTTTTTGAAGCAGAAGATTTACAAAGGACTAAAGGAAATAAAAAGTCAACACAATGCACACCCAACAACATTTCTGGCCGCAGCAGCTGGGGATAGGACTATCCACTGGAGAGAGATATATCCGGTGGATAGCGCTATCCATCTTTTGAACAACTGTGGCCTGAGCCAGACTTTTTCCAGACTCAAGGTTATCAAATAGGTGATCAACAGAGGCCTTAAACAACGCACGAACAAAGCTTTTTTCATGATGCACTGCAAACAGGTGAAATTGGATAAGATTTGACCAAAACAAAAAAAAAATTACATAGACATTCTAGACTTGAGCTCTATTTTCCAGGTCTGGAAAATTGCTGGGCAAATTTCAAGACTTTTTCAAGAATTCAATACTCTGCATGAAACCCTGCTTAGAGCACAGCCTTGTATTTTGTAAAAACACCCAATTTTCACCATATGAGATACAAAGCATGAAATGCACATACCTTCCTTGCTGCAATAGCAGCTTCTCTCTGACTTCGTCGCAGTTTTCTGTACAAAAAAACATACATTGTGTTATCTTCTATCTTGGCATAAACATAAAAAAACGCATACACCTTCGACCTCAAATTTTTTGCCCAAAGATCATCTGAAAATATCTGAAGTTGCTTCACGATTTCTGTGTACATCCTATGAATTTCTGGAAGTGTACAACAGCCCACGTAAAATTCTAACATGACTCCAAGGCTTTCTCATTGATTTTCTATATTTGATTTATGTTTCTTCAAACTGATGATGTGTCACTACCCAGCTCTGGGTAGTGCCTCTGATTGGTTGAGGCAAATTTCCCTTGACGCACGACCAATCAGAAGCACTACCCAGATCTGGGTAGTGCTTCTGATTGGTTGCAACACGACATGGGTATGGAATTTTCTGGCTCGTTTGTGAGATGTCACTTTGCGAGGAAACCAGTAGTATCATCATGAAATTTCAGCTGTTTTCTCAAGCTTGCTGCCCCTTGGGTTCTACAAAGGATGTACGTTGCTACCCCTCCCCTCCCTGGATCTCATCTCACCTGTTTTCATCAAGGAATCGCTCCATTTCCCAAGCAAAGTGGCTTTCCATCTCTCCTAGTCTGATGCTTGTGCCACATATTGGGCAGCAAGGTGTTTGACTTGATGACCTCTTTCGTCCTGATGTTGTGTCAAAAATGAAAGAGTAAGTTACACATACAGTTTAGTAAAAATTTATGAATGATTACGCTGTAGTTGGTTAGTCTCTAAAGAAATTGTGGTGTTGTGTCAGATGGCCAGGGGGAGTGAAACGCAAAAAAAAATTGGTTTCAACAATAATGAGTTGATAAAATATATATTATTATTCATTTAAAACATTTTCCCGATTCTGATTGGCTAAAAGCACACGCACAATTCCCCATAAGCAGCTACTGATGACCAAATTTGGAAGAATTTTGTGTTTAACGAGGAAATGACGTCAAAAATGCAGCGTTCTTGCAGGTTAATGCACCGTCAACCGAGAAGCCCTGGGGACGAGGTTGAGTTGTTTTGGTTGCAAAAACAAAAAATGGCAGACATTTCACTCGTTTCAAGAGTAAGAACTAGGCGAAATTATAGCTAAAAACATGGCCAGAACAGAGAGAACACAACTCGAAGGGCGACATTTGCTATTTGGAGAATATTTGCGGAGCTGAACAACCCTAAACATGCACTATCGAAGGTGAACTTAACATCGATGGGGGTAAGCGTGTTTTAGCTTTGTTTTTAAACTAGGAATTATTTTGAATGAATAATAAAACAATTATTGAATTTGGCTTTCGTATCATATGAAGAATTACGGAGATCTCGGAGGGTGTTAGCCGCCTCGACCTACTGCCTCGACGGATAACACCCTCCTCGATCTCCATAATTCTTCATACGATACTCAGCCTCATTCATTAGTTGTTAATTATGCTACTGTAGGGATTGAGAAGCTGACATTTGGCATTCATCATGAGCTAGTCATTTATTATTTTCATAATCTTGATTGGTTTTGGGGGGTCATTTTTGGATAAGGTAGCATTATCTAGGGGTTTATTGTAACAAATTTTATGAAAGTAGTACAAAGCGGCAAGGGGCAAGAATTGAAATTAAATGTAACAGCCGTAAATGTACTAAACAACAATCTTTAATTAGGGGGTCGCTTTGAAAATCTTCCAAGCTTTCTCAAAATGGTAGACCCCCTAAAAGGTAATAAACGATCAGCACCTCAGGCAGAATCAATTTTCTCTGACAGATGGCTAGGGCTGAAAACATCAGCTTCTCAATCTACAGTACCCTATCAACTCACTTGATAGAAACCACATCATACTAAAAATAAGACTGATGTGAAACCAAAGTCATCTTCGTTTAGTGAAAAATCTACTTATATTATACTACGTTGAATATTACGCATGTATGTATGTAGACTTGCTTCAATTTCAACCCTCTGGTTCAACATTTCTTGGTTTTAAAAATAGTCTCTCAATTTTCTTGCACCATTAATGCACTGTTAGGCAGAGAAGTGGTGGAAATTGAAAAAAACCTCAACTTAAGGACAGTCATGATTCACCAACAAAAGCTGACTGATCAAAGTCAATTTCTCTTTTAACTACTTCTACAAAATAAGCATAAACTTCTTTTATAACAATAAGACATATACTGGGAATGTAAAAACCTGGTTTATTTTTAAATCAACAAAAAGGTTGAATCACAAAAGGATTTGAGCAAGACACTTAGTCCAATCTTGGATGCAACACAATAAATAAGTGTTTTGAGACAGAGCTGAAGGACAGACAGTTCTGACAGTTGAAAGAAGCATGTTACTAAGAATATCTGAGAATGAAAGGTTTTCTAAATTTTTAACTTATTGACTGTCAAAAGCTGTTGATACTTCAGCACCACTTTTACATCATTTGATGAAGTTGCTTTTGAGATGAATAGGAACCACATAGGAACTATTCCGATCAGAACAAAAACATCTCACACCCCTGAGAGGCAGCTGAACTACATGCAAGTTAAATTTACCAAAATACTAAGGAGGAAAAATGGTTGCCAAGAAACGTAATTCTAAATGTTGGTGTTTAATTCAGCACAAACCAGACTCAATATAACACAGGCAAAAGAAGGTGGGCTTCCCTGAAGTTAACAGTAATACATTGAGACCAGTTGAAACTTTTCAAAGGTGCTAACAATGTTTTTGTTCCCAGAATGAATAATGAAGTCTTATAAAGAGGTTATACATGTAACATTTGAGTCGGTAGACAAAATCTTGTGGTGTGACTATTCAAATGAAACCTCCACAACAATACTTTTAAAAGGCACTATTTGTTTTTCAGCAATTTATGAAATGAATTCTGGAAATTTTGTTGAATTTTGACTTTACTCACTTTTGGACAGTCCTTATCAACATCCCTGGCATTATAGAACTTTGAGTTTCTTTTCAAAGTTCAAGGCCAAAAATAAAGATTATACAAAAAAAATTAAAACCAAAATGCATAATTATTGAGCTTTTCCTTCTAAATTGTACCAGCTCAGACTTAACTTCATAATAGCGAACATGGCTAAAAACCATTACAAACACCTTCCAACAATGCTGTAATTTTCTGTCATTATCTTCTGCCACCTATCATTCACTTGTAACAGACAGTAAATATTCACCTTCATAATACACAATCATACACTACAGTGTCATTATGTAGCTATGCATTGGAGTATATTTTACCGCGAAAAGCTAATAAGCAAAGAGGTAACAACTGAGCCATCACGTTTCAATGGATTATATTTCAAACTAAAAATAAAATCACGAACAGACATCAAATTGATGCCATGGAAACCATTTTTTTCCTCTTAAAAATTTTTCTTTGACCAAGACTTACGAAACCAACTTAACACGTAAAATGTTTAAGTTATTAAAAATGGAAGAGGTATGCAAAATACATGAAGGCCTAGCTGTAAAATAAAACAACATTACAAAATAGTAGTGTAGTAATTATTATTATCACCCTAAATCCACATTGTTAGAAGTGAGAAAACTATTTGGCTGGAAGAAAACTATATGACAATTTTTAACACTGTGTACATTTAACACAACTGCCCCCATGTGGAGAAGAGTATCATTTATAATTACAGGTATTTCACTGAATAACTAGTATAATTAAAATCACCCTAAAATACACTTTTGGTCACGTAATGAAAATGCATGAATTACACCTCATTGAAATTGAACCCTAAACAGGAAAATTTATGTCATCAGAATAGTAATTAGACTTTGTATGTTATTTCTCTTGATATTTTTTCACAAAACACCTTTCACCACAACAAAATCTTTTTGGAGGGTTTATTTTTAATATTGCTCAAAAAAAAAACTCAGGATGTTAAAACAATCCCTTGAAATATAGCAATTACTTGTTAACTCCTACAGCAACCCAAATGAGCAACTAATAAAGGAAAGTATATTGATATCACTTATCTTGGCTAAACACGCTAGAAAGAGACAACAGGGCTCCGAGAAAATTAGCTCCTCTCGTTAAGAAAAAGCAAAAGAAAAAAACAGAGACAATAGGGAAGACCACATGAATGGCTATTTAGCATACAGGTGTAAACTGAAAATGATTGTTGAAGAGTACAGTGTGTTTAAGAACTGTCAATGACACCACTTCTAAGCTCTATCAAAAAGGTGTACAAGTGAAGTTTTCTTGTAAAGTGTGTTTAACAGAAGTATGGGTTTTAAATGTTCTCTCTTGAAAACAAAAAGAATTTTAAACCATATTTACAAAATTTCCCTGTATTGAAAAGAGGGATCAATTTTTGTTCATGGTAACAGAAACAGCTACCAAGCATGTGACATTGTTATGTTAATTCACATCTGCTTTCACAACTTAGTAGGAGTATATTACAAATCACCAATTTCAAACATCTCTCAATATTTACAATAAACCCAAAGAAGTGAATATAATCACCCGCTTTGATGGAAACCCAATAAGCTCTTCCAACCTGCTTCCTTTCACTTTACAAAATCACATTGAGATATTTCAAATAAATTCGAATAACCTGACATTTATGAGTGAAATTACTTTTAAAAGTGTAAGTATAAAATAAATGAATGGATAGTATTTCAGTTGTCCACTAGAGCACCAGTAGTTGAAAACAAATTACTTTTTGAGGAAACAAATTTATTACAAAGTTGTTCTGTTCATATATTTTTAAAAGTCTTGGCTCATGAACAAGACTAGATTTCATCTTTGCTGGATCTAAGCAACTCCATTTTTCAATTTAATACACTTACTGAACTTTCTTAAATGATGATTAGCAAACAAGAAGGATAAAATTAAAACACACCACTGAAATATCTCCATTATTATGTTCTTAAACCACCATGCACATCAGAGCAAAGGACACCCAGCCCCCATATCCAACACTTTAGAATTTACAAATTCAATATAATTTTAATCAGGATTTAAGAAGACCAGTTTTTTGGCAAGAAACCTGACACAACTAGCATTTAAATAAATAATCTGTATTCATGTGACTTTCACTCTGAAAATTAAGTTCTTGTGCTGAGTCACAAAAATTTGCAAATTTAATATATCCGAGAATGCCTTTTGACTACAGTGTATGTCAAATGAAAGCAAAAAGACAAACAATGAAGAATACTGAGGTGTTTGCAGTATTATTTTTATAAAGCTAATGGCTCATAAGAGCATTTTAATAAATGTCTAGGGTAGAAAACAAAACACAACCGGCTGATATTATCACATCTTCAACCTCTCAGGGTTGAAAATGAAACAACTAACATTCAAATTAATTTAGATCTTTTGGAGCTTAAGAGATGATAATATTATCACAGAAGTCTTTTCCCCGTTGCTAAATCCTTTGAAATGTGGTTATGGAACTTTCAAGTGGGTAGATGGAAACACTCAATGCTGATATATAAATATACACCTGTAATTAGGGCCTACCAAGGAATACTTTAGATTAACTTTGTTTTCATCTTTTTTTTAAAAAAAAAATCATGATCTGACACTTCAGCAAAAAACATTTTGGGTTTCACTGCAAGGAACAGGATTTAGAATAATTATTTAAGAGGTTTTAGAAAGGTTGTTTTAAGAGACAATGTACATACCTTTTAGTGGCAAATCTTCACCAACTTCGGTGTCTTCCCCACTGCTTTTTCCACATTCACTGTCATCGATTTGCTCTGTTTTGATGCTTAGGGTTTCAACACTCGCATTATCAGACTCTTTGAGCAAGCTTGAAGTCATCCTTGGGCTAGGACTCTTTGACTTGCTGCGTTTGAGCAGCATTTCACTGTCCTTCTCAGGTTTATGTGGAGAAATCCTCTCCTTTGCAATTCTGTCTAAGCTTGCTTCCTTATCAAGTTCAGAGTTTTTATACAAGCTTTCAACATGTTCTCTCTCTAACCGCTGATGTTGAAGGTGATGGAATGGGAAAGTGTGCTCTGGAGGTAATACCCTTCGGAATGCGCCTGTCCCATTAAATAGCGCTGTCGGCCCACTTGTCTTGTGCAGGAGACCACCGCTAAGGTGGTGATGAAGTTGGAGAAAGTGAGGGCTAAATTCATGAGGCATTCTATCAGCATAATGTTCTGCACCAGGATACAATGCAAGATGGGAAGATCTATGCTGGTAGTGCGACGAATTCAACACCATTCTGTGAACAGTCTCACCATCAATGTAGCGACTTGATGGTGAAGAATACACTGGGTGATAGTCATTCATTGGTCCAGGAGATGATGAGGATGAGCGTGCAGCCTCAGCTGTTGAAGCTAATACCATAAGTGCCGGAGAAGTCAGTGGATTTGGAATATAAGCAGGTCCACCAAGTTTTTCCATCTGACTGTACAATAATTATTAATCATTAGATATTTTCCTTTTGCCTACTACAGGGCATTGCAGAAAAATGAAATTGAAAATGAAATTCTCACGATAGATTACTTCAATTCTACGCTTAATCTAGTATGTCTTTTTGCACCAGTACCGTGCATTTATAAGCTTACTTTATAATAAACTTCAATATAAGACGAGTTTCAAATTAAGCTTAAATTCATGTCATGCTAATGATCTGACCACAGAAGCATCAGCGAATAATACGTGAAAAGAGACACCAAAAACTCAATTAAAACAGAACTAAGCTAAGCGCAGAGTGTTCCCCAGTTCATAAAGCAAACACTGTCTATAAAAGCCAAAGTGTACGCACAAGTCAAGCAAGAAATGTGAATCAGCTCCACAGTTCTCGGCGTTGATAAACTGCTGGTCCGTCCGTCATCGAGTTTATTCCCGAAATAAGCGAATTCCACCCTCTCACGACGAGCAGGCAGTCAGGTATCAAATAAGCAAAGCCGATGCAGGGCTTTCGAAGATAATAAACACGATCGTGTACTCTAGCTGCTGAGCGACAAAACTGGAAATTAGCAATAAAAGCGAAGAGCTTTGTAAACCACTTAACAAAACCGGAGATGCATCCGTAAGCAAAAGCGATAAGATGAATGCCAAAATACCCGTTCCAGCGTCAAGAAGGACTTAACTTCTTGGATCAGGCGAGAGCTTCTGCACAGTGGGCGGAAGATGCGGTAGATTAAGCAAAGATGGATATCTCTTCTTCCAAAGAAGGAACAGCGAAGTAAATTACAGCTGGAAGGAAGGCGCTTTTATTTTGAACCTAATGAGCATGCGTACTGGTTTCAACTCGTTCCCAGCCGCCGCGAAGGAGAAACACTGGCCACTGGCCGATGAAAAGCGAAATAATTTCCTCTTTTCGTTGTGCAAATAAAACATTTCAATGACAGAAATTTCTCCCGCGAGCCTAAACAAGATAGCATGAATTTTCATATTTTTAAAAGAACCTGCTGCTCGGCTTCTTAAACTAACAGTTCGCGACGACAGTTTTCAATATCGTACAAACATCCGGATTGCAAAGTCCAACTTTAATAATTTTTTTTTGGTTAAGCACCTCAGGGAAATGAGTTATTTAGCTTCATTTACGATTCCGTGGCAAAAAATATTATTTAAGACTGCAAACATGTATATACTTACCAAAAATTATTTTTTCTCAATTTCGTAAAAATTTTGATAGATCTTCAAAAACAGAGACTTGAATCAGAAAGTGTAAACTAGATTTTCCGAGAAAATTGTTCTTCATATTAGATTGCCTATTAAAAACCAAAGCGAGAGACATCAAACAAATGTTAGGCAAATGGTATTGAGCAAGTGATAACAAAGTTATTTTTAATGAACAAAACTGATGAAATAAGACATTGTTTACAATGCAGATCTCCATGTCTAATTTTTACAACTTTACTCACGCGCCGAAAATTCGTTTAGAGCCGAACGCAATTAACCTGACTTCTCTTTTCAGTTTTCCGGCAGTTGTACGCGATCCATCTTTATCAATTAGTTCCCTGGTGTCTGGGGAAGTTTCCGTTTCTAAATATTTATTAAATGAAGACTCCAGTTTGTCATAGAACAGGATATGAATTTGTAAAGCGTTCAAAAGCCCTCTCGCCAACACATTGTTTCCAAGAGGTTTTGAGCCTAACACTGTATTTAAGTCGGCAAAGTTAAGTTTTCCAAAGTAAAGAACTATTGAGAAATGATACATTGTTTTTTTTTCTTTAGCTACTGTTCCTTGGGGATTCTGATCACCGCAAACCGAGCCGCTTTCTTAATTTAACTTGCAAACATTTTGACTGTTGTAGGCCAACTGCTCAATTCGCAATATACAATTTCAGCGACTTATTATATGAAAGGGGAGTTGCCATGTATTGCTTAAAACACAGTTTAAAAAAGAAAAGATCATTAAAATTTTTACTTTGAAAACAAGTTCCTGCTGCGAGTCTAATAAATGTGAGTTTATTCTAGATCAAGAGGCAAATTATAATTTTTTTAACTTGCGCATTGGAAACTTTTAAGTCAGTAAATATGTTAAGTTGCCGAAATTGCTTATCCGACCCACTAATTCACTCGGGAAAGAAAGCAAAAATCAAACATTCGCAATCCATTAATATCCCGTTTAAAGGTTTAAATTATAATCAGGAAACGAACACTCGCAGACTTGGACCAATTTCTATGCTAATTAAAGTTATTTAAACTGAGAATGTACCTGGCAAGAGATTTCAGCTCCATATTAAAAATTACGACAGTTCCAGTCTTCGTTCAGATAGGCCCCTCGCCGAGTGAAAATTTATGAACGCCATTTAATTGTTTAACGAGCTCGAATTTCTTTGATAAAAAAGCAATGATTTAAAAAATAGACTTTAAAGTGCTCTGGGCTAGGATTAAAAGATGAATTGAGGAAACGATTCTTGAGAATTCCGCCCGCTTCGGTAGTGGTTAAAGATAGCTAAATTGTGATAACAAAGTAACTTTTGACACTTCGCTTAACTGGGTATGTTGTGCGCGCATAACCTTCTGCGGACTAAAATTAATAATTTTTTTTAACAAAACCAAACAAATCTTGGCGCTGCTAAGTTATTGCATTTTGCCGGTAACTGGTGTATTTGAAAAGAAAACTTCCGAAAAAGTATCATAAATTTGTCACCCACGCTGTTTAGAAGTTTCTTTCTTTTCTCCGCGTTGTCCTAAGGGTTTAATACTTATTATAAACAGCCCGGTAGGATAGAGGATGACAAGAACTACGAGACGAAATTAACTTGTTTCAAAATAGGAAGGAAATACTAACAAAAGATAAGCCTCTTGCTGTGCCTCGAAGGTCCATTTTGGCAAGTTTTCACTTTGGAGTATTTTCCACTAAATTTAATTTCGTTATCAACACTCCAACATTCAGTTCAAAGTGGACGAAATAAAGTTTCACTACCACGCGCCGATAATTGGTGATTGAAGAACAGCAAGCTTTAAAAACAATCGAATGGATTTGCCGTTTTCTGCTCGGCTACAATTTAACATCTTCTAAACTCTTTTAAGAGAAATTTAAAATTTGCAGCTGTCCCCAATCTTTTTGTTCCAGTGAAATGATTGCATTATGATGGTTAATAAAGCCAAATTAATCTAAGGTACCAGGCTTTTGTTTGTATTATACAAACTGTGCGCATGGAAAGCTAACCTACTCTGATAGGCGCGCAACATAAATAAAGCACTTCCAAAACAACTTTCCCAATTTACAAATTTTATAGAAAATTGGGTGCGGGGAATTCCTGTTTACAATTCTCGTAGTGCAAAGACTGCAGACGCGTATTGGTTTTTATTTTAAGTCCGCGATGAATAAATCGAAAGAAAACAAATTGGAGAAAAAACGCAACTTTTTAAAAATTGAATTCTCAACTTACATAATACACCGAAAGCGATAAGCTAATATTACAGAGACACCTGTCTATCTATATTTTTTTTAAAAAAAATAATACTAAGCCGGGCGATAGAACACGCGAAAATTTACAATTCTAATACATATTTGTTAAGGTTTTGACTCTCCAGCGCAGAGAGTCATTTTCACTGCCACTAAATTTTCGCTTGATTCAATGTGCTAATATCGCCGAAAAAGTCTTCATTTTACAAACTCGGTGTTTTTATTTGATAGTTTCTTCCTGTTATTCGTGGTTGTAATCTAGTTTCCCTTTTTATTTTAGTGGTTTCTGGCGTATGTTTAATTTTAGTGTTGCATGAAACAACCAATTAAGAATATCATTCAGTCCAGCTTGGAAATTGTCCATCGCATGAGATCTCATTACGCCTCTTTAACGGCCTTGAAATGGGCTTTTAACGTTGAATTTTGACAAAGGCAGATCGCTCATTTGGCATTTTTATATTCTTTGCTGTTTTAGTTAAATATGTCGTTTTGATGTCGACAGGTACGGATGAACAAAGAATTAGCAAGGAGAGTACTGAGAAAATAAAGTCTGTCAAGGGAAGACTGAAAAATTATCTTCTTAAGGTTCTTAATGACTTAACCGCAAAATGCGGGGGATCGCCTTTTTGCTTAAACAAGTTATTTGTTTAGGCTTCCTCTAAGAAAATTTATGACGCCGATACAAACTAGTTTGTGTCATAATGTTCTACCTTTGAAACCATTAAGCTTAATTGCCGGGAGCGAAATAAGTAGTACTAAAAAATAGGATCAAATTTTATGCCTTTTGCCGGAGTGATGAACGCGGTTTTCAATTTTGTATTCTAATAAAGTAAATTTTTTTTCGTTCAAAGTGACCTTTTACTTAGAAAAGGTTCGAGGAATAGTTCAAACAGAGAGGCTTAAACGGAAAATTTAATAACAGAAATTTTAATAAAACACTTTCGATTGAGGTCTAACTTCGCTTGGTTCTTTGAAGTGTAAATACACATTAAGCTAATATGCAAATTACTAACGGTATCTGCCTTGTAAGTATCGTAATTAGCTTAAATCCTAGTAAGCCATATGCTGCGTGAAAGAAATGACATCTTATCACGACATGCGATCGCGACCCATGCTTTCAGTGCCACGAATTCTAACTTTGCTCGTCGCGTTTACTAACTCAGCACAGCGAAGAAAGATTTGCGATTAGTTGATATTCCCACGCAGTGAAAAGTACGAGCGAAAACTATAAATTTAAGAAAGAAAAGAAAGAAACAGTTTTTGCCGGAAGGCATGCTTGTTATAAGCTAAGCCAACAAAAACGGCAAGAGGGAATTTCGGATTAGTTCTGGGAAATGCAATTAAACGAATACGGCGCAAATTAAAACCCACATTTTGCGCAGGAGTTAGCTAGATCTATAGAACCTCAGTATTCTTTAAGACAGAGCTGCTTTTAGATTGAAACTGCGTTTTTTGGGTCGAAATGGAACCAGGATAACATAGAAATGAGAGGAAGTTATTTGTTAAAATCGACATCGTTCTTTGTCACAGATAA